CTCTCCAATACGCTATGCGGGTGGCGCAGCCATCCGGCCAATTGTCCCGATGGTTGGAGGTCCTTCAGGACTACCAATTCACGACGATTTACCGCAAGGGGTTGCGCCACTCGAATGCGGATGCATTGTCACGGTTGCCGACGCGTACGGAATGCGCATGTCAGTTGGGATCGGCGCGGTGTAAACCTTCTGTCGATGTCCCCGCGGAAGTGGTGCTAGCCGCCACGGATACTACGGGGGTCGACGCCTCCACGGGGAGGGACTCACTGTTAGCATTGCCTCTCATCGAGTGGGGCCGTCTGAAAATGGCCGACAGCTCCCTACTCGCGCTACGTCGGAAGGTTAACGTTCCCGAGGGCGGGGAAACGCGGGTCGGTTCCTGGGTGTGCAGACAGGGCCTCTTGATGAAGTGGGACTCCATGTCCCGGCGTCACATGCTTGTGGTGCCGGTTGCTGTACGGGGTAAGGTCGTCCTGGCTGCCCATGAACGACTCATGCATCTGGGGTTTCACAAAACGCTCGCCCTCATTCAGCGAGACTACTATTGGCCTGGGATGGGCAGTGACGTGGCGAACATTCTTAAGGGGTGTGTAGGGTGCGCTAAAAGAAAACCGCCACCAATAGCGGCTAATCCGCCGCTTCAATCCATTCAAGTTTCGCGCACGAACGAATTGGTCGCGCTAGACATCTTGGGGCCCTTCCCCACTACACCTCGGGGAAATAAGTTCCTGCTGGTTGGCGTAGAGTACTTCACCCGCTGGCCCATGGCGTGGCCACTCGCCAACCAGTCGGCTGCGGCAGTGGCGGACGCCTTTGTCCAAGGTTACGTTTTGGACAAAGGCGCCCCCGAACGCTTGCTGACGGATCAAGGGAAAAACTTTTCGAGTGTTTTGTTGCGCGAGGTGTGCGACCTGTTGGGTACAAAGAAAGTACGTACCTCCCCGTACCACCCGCAGACTGACGGTATGGTTGAACGTCTGAACAGGACGATTACGTCTATGCTGTGCCAACAGGTATGCGACGACCAGGTGGATTGGGACTTACAGGTACCGGGGGTACTAGCGGCCTATCGGATGGCACCCCATGCGGCGACGGGGTTTTCTCCATTTTTTCTGATGTATGGGCGGGAGGCTGATCCGGCCATGGACGTCCAACTGGGGATTTCACAGCCACGTGCAAAATCTAAATTGGCAGACCACATTAAGTTTAACATTGCCAAATTGGCTGAGGCGCGAGAGGCTGTGAGATTGAATTCACGCTCTCGGCAGATCGCGAACGAGCGATTGCATGAACAGAAGGTGCATACGCACAATTGGGAACCGGGCGATAAGGCCTGGCTGCATTGTCCACACGCACCGTTGGCTACGTCCCCCAAACTGTTGAGACCATGGAGGGGACCGGTGGAAATTGTGCGGGTTGCACGACCCCAGAGTATACAGATTAAATGGGGAAAACGCCGTTGGTACGTGCACCCCTCCCGACTGAAACCCTACGCGGCGCCGCGTGACCCCGGGTTGTGCCGTGACGACCGAGCGTGTGATGTGACCGTCGACTCGGGGAGGGATGTGTCGCAGGTTGATCCTCACGTGTCTCCACCTGACCCACCCCCAGGTGTCTCGGACCTGACGGCTGTTGACCGTCGGGAACCGGAACCCCGCGGCTCGCGCGGAGCCCCGATGCCTGGCCCATGCCTTCCTGAACGGCCGGCGCCGCCGGATGGCCAACTGCGTCCTGTGCCGTACGACGGTCCGGCAAGGCGGACTCGGGCAAGGACGCAACACTTTTCATGAAAAAAAAAAAAGAAAATTTGTTTTTTCTTTTTTTGTTAAAGCCCGACTTCGTTGCCGGCTTCCCCCTCTGCCGGGGTAATGTCCCGTTCAAGGGACGCTCGGACATTGGGACGCTGCATGAGTCGGAGAGAAAAGAAGAGAAAATGATTAAAGAAATTTTTTTTTATTGTTACTCTTTCCGCATACACAGTATCGTTGCCACTCGCCGGATTGTGCATGTTGTTCTTGTTGCGGGTGTGGCGGTTGCTGGGTTTTGCGGATTGCGGTGTTCATGTTGTGTTGTTAGGGTTTGTGTTATGTTACGGGGCACACATGGGAGTGAAGGGGTGTTGTATGTTTTATTAGCAGCCGGGTCGGCTGCGAGCTATGTGGTAGGGGGTGATGTAGTGGTGGTATTGACGTGCGCCGGCAGTGATGGATCACGGGGCGCGGGGTTGGGCACGCGGTGTGGGCGTGGCATGGACGCGCGCGCCGGTGGTGAGGCGCGCTCACACAAGCTGGGAAAAGAGGATCGTAGCGAGTGCGCAGTGATTGGTCAGATAAGTGGGTACTCTCAGCGACGTCCGCAGGAGGGGTATAAAGGGGGACGCGCGAGAGCACTCGTGGTCAGTGTTAACCAGTTGAAGACCGAAGACGGGGTGGAGGAGGTAGGGGCCCGAGACCCCTAGTCCCGCCGTCCTTGTGGGGACCGGGGCCCTGTGTGGCTCGGAGCCGAGACTGGGGGGACCGTAGTCCGACGCCCGTGTGGGTCGGGACGGTGGTACCCAGAGCCGAGACGGGCACCCCGGCTGGGTGTGTCCCGGAAGGCTACGGGGCGTAAGAGCCCGTGTCAGTACAGCTGAGTGGGTGTTGGTCACCCGTGTAGCTGAGTGGGTGTTAGTCACCCGTGTAGCTGAGTGGGTGTTGGTCACCCGTGTAGCTGAGTGGGTGTTAGTCACCCGTGTAGCTGAGTGGGTGTTGGTCACCCGTGTAGCTGAGTGGGTGTTGGTCACCCGTGTAGCTAAGTGGGTGTTGGTCACCCGTGTAACGAAGTTGTAGCTGAGTGAGTGTCCGTCACCCGTGTAGCTAAGTGGGTGTTGGTCACCCGTGTAACGAAGTAGGGTGTTAGTCATCCGTGTAACTACAAGTTGGCGAAAATAAAGAGTGTGCTACCCGTGAAGTCGTCTCCTGCCGAGTTACTACTTTACACTGGCAAAGGAGGTCCCATGATGTAGATGCTCGCCCCGAGCTCTCATTACTCTGAGAGTGGCATTGTCTTTGTGCTGTACTACTTTTGGCGTCCTCTGGTCTAACAGCGTTTGAGACGAGGCTCAAAAGAAAGCTGTTTCTGGTGTGGACCAATCAGTTGCAAAGACAATGCATCTATTATCAGAGTATGTTTTTTGTTTGCATTCTGACCACAAGTATTGTACTCGAGAATATGTATTCAGATTGAGCATTGGAAGGATGTGATAAACCACGTTAAGTTTTAACTGCTATGATTTTCACTCACCCACCCGTGTCTTGTTGTCCGATTACTACAAGTCCATTTACTTGCTCATTTCTCCAGCCCCACCCGTCCATGCACGCCACAAACCCTCCCCCCTGCGAACCCCTACAGCCAAACTTCTCCCCCTCCCCAACCCCTACAGCCAAACTCCTCCTCCCCCTCCCCCCTGTGAACCCCTACAGCCAAACTCCTCCTCCCCCCCCCGTGCCGAACCCCTACAGACAATCTTCTCCCACCCCCCTCCCTCGTGAATAACCCCTACAGCCAAACTCCTCCTCCCCCTCCCCCCTGTGAACCCCTACAGCCAAACTCCTCCTCCCCCCCCCCCCGTGCCGAACCCCTACAATCTTCTCCCACCCCCCTCCCTCGTGAATAACCCCTACAGCCAAACTCCTCCTCCCCCTCCCCCCTGTGAACCCCTACAGCCAAACTCCTCCTCCCCCCCCCGTGCCGAACCCCTACAGACAATCTTCTCCCACCCCCCTCCCTCCCGTGCCCAACCCCTACAGCCAAACTCCTCCTTCTCCTCCCCCCTGCGAACCCCTACAGCCAAACTTCTCCTCCCCCCACCCTCCCGTGCCTAACCCCTACAGCCAAACTACTCCCCCCCCACCCTCCCGTGCCTATATAAAGCCACAACAGCAGATATTTTTTCTCACCTGAAGACGGCCGCTGGTGTTTCGACCGAAACGTCGTGTTTTCTTTTATTATTTTTTCTATCTACGTGACTTCACTGAAAGAACCAGAGAATATGGATTCCTGCAGTCACGAAAACTTCAAATCAAGATTTCACAAGTATTGTGGTTAATGCAGACATGATTCCTTGTAAAAGGTTTCAGTTTGGTGTTTTAAATTAACACCTGTTTTGTTGCCAGAAAAAAGGGGAAACACCTATTATCACGAGATTGTTGTTGTTAATATGTTTTTTGGAGGCAGTAGGAGGCTGCGGGGCAGAGGCAAAGGTGGTTCAATAACAGTCAAGGTGTGAATGAGTCCTAGTATGACTCTTCTCCATGGTATTTTGCTGCTTTATTCATGAAATCTCAGTGTATCTGTTCCATTGTTGCGGATGGTTTTATTTCAATTATTTTTATTCAGAAACAATTTGTTTCACGATAACTTGGATTACCACATCATTTCCAATTAGTCAAATGCTTTAGAATGCCACAAAAGCTAGGCATATTGCCATTCGGTATTCATTCATATTTTCCAGAATCGGACCGACAGTATTTGGTCAACAGCAAAGTAGCCTTTCTTAAACCTGGCTTGCTCATGTGGCTGGCTAGCATCTAAAATTTCCATTATTGTTGCCAATAATCTTGTTGAACAATGTATTTAAACGTGACGTATAAAGGAAACTGCTATTCCAGGAACGTTTACTCCCTTGACTTGACTGCTTGGATAACTGGAAACAAAAAATTACAATTGTAAAGTTAGGGCACAAGAGCCCATTGGGGCCCGTGTCCTATTCAGGTCTATGAGAGGGCTCAACATCACGGCCTGACCCAACTCCCAATCACGGAGAGCTGAACCGTCGAGAGCCACCAGGATCGTAGTTGAGAAGCACTGCACCAGCGCAATGGGACCATCTCGTGCGGGTTTGCATCACGTGCACCTTATACACCTTACAGTCTCACCGTGCCCCCCCCCAACCGTCCCCCCCCGCCCCCCCCAATGAGTAGCTTCCAGTGACGCCGAGCATGTTGAGAAAAGTCGCCAGCAATGTTTCAAATAGTTTAATCTCAAACGGTTCTAAATATAAAACAAAGTACGTGTATTTCATAGGGTTACATACTTTACAGATCGAGACTTGAAGCCTGGTGAGCAGGTCCCAAGTCTCGAGCTGTAATTCCGTGACTGGAATCTCAGAGCATCGCCGGCCCCCGTGCTGCGATTAACGCGACGGGGCAGATCGAGTCCAAAATGGGTGTGATGGCATCACATGCCCACTTTAATCTACATTTCACATCACCGCACATGTTCCTGCAGCAGGCAAACACACATTCTCATATTCAGTGGTTTAGCTGTGAATGGAATATTTTGGTGAGGAAACAACAACAGGGCTTGAGCCTGTTCACTGTGCAACCCAGGCTCAGTGGCAAGTTAGCCGAACACACAGACGGGCCGCCGAGCCGAATGCACGGTGTAAGACGGCCACGGGTTGCTCACATGTCATCTGAAACGGAGTGTCAACCCACACTCGTTTGTATCTGGGTGACGATCACATTCTGCTTCCCTTTATCATTGCTTCAGGCACGTGCTGCCAGGCAACTCACAGTGTCTGTGTTGCCATTTCTACACTTTGTACTTATATACTTTATTTATTTGTATTTATTATTCGTGACTCGCTTACCTTTTCTCTATTTTGCCCTATCGTTTTCTTTATGTACTGTTTGTTGTTTGTAACTTGCTGACCCGCCCCTTAATGAACATCTTGTGAAACAGAGATTCATAGCTCATCGGATTCCTCCAGTCCAAATGAGGATTCTGATTCCGACCCAGAGGTCAGGAATTCATTGTACAGGTCGCTTGCCGCGGCACCCATGCTCGCCCACTGGCACCAGCACATGGGTGTACCGGCGGGCGGGATGGACTACGTAAAGCGGCTGTGGCTGCAGCGTCGAGGTTGACAGGGAGAGGTGGCATCACTGGAAGGAGAAGGACGCACTTGGGGCTCCTCCGCACCACTGGCCCAGGAACTTGATCACGTCCTGGCACTCGGGGCTGTGGCTCGTCTGCGTGGCATGCACACGCACACACATACAGATACACACACGCAGACACGCATGTTTATTATTATCATCACGTTTGTTTACACGGGAAAGCCTCACCGAGTCTCGTCACTCTCTTTAGGAGGGTTCTGCAAAGTTTAGCATTCGGGAGCGATGATTGCGATGTATAATCACAATTTAGTGATTTCAGTGATAAAAACATAGAAAAAGATCCCCCATATAGCCTGTCACAGACTATTGGGGCAAGTGCTGTTAGCGAGTAGCACCTATGAAGGCTGGCACGCCACACGAAGGGGGTAGGTAGCCAGCACCACGCCTGGCCGTCTTTGTCTCCTGAGTGGCAATGATTAAACACCATACCAGATACTCGTTTGAGGCTGAGTCGACCTAGGGGAGGCCCAGGACCGGTTCAAATAATCGTCACTGGTATTGGCCGTGAGCGGGAATCGAACTGGGGTCACTGGGTTCGTAGTGGAACGCGCTAACTGCTACACCACCGCTCCCCACAGTAATACACACACACACACGTACGCAGACACACAGCATGAACACAAGGACACACCTTGACCGCCATCAGAAAGCGGTTCCAGTCATCCTTGTTGGCAGTTTTCCCTGGCTGCTTGAAATCCACCTTGTTCCTTAGCACCGGGTATCCTGCAGAGCACAGTACCAACGCAGATTGCCCATATATCATTTTACCACATCAGTCCATCTCTTCTCCAGACCGTGCCATGCCCATTTAGCCCCCTTCTATCCAGCCAAACAGAAGACGCTTGGTCATGCGGTGGCTGGACATGCGGGCTATATGACCCAGTCAATGCAGCCTCGCCTGCTGGAGGAGCTTACTGATGATGGGACTGTCTACATGTTTCAAGGATCTGTGAGCTCATCACCCTGTAAACCAGTCTGTTAAATCCAGGATAGATCATAGGCAGAATAGCCTGAGCAGATGTTCCTTTCAAGGGATCCGCATATTGCATAGAGAAGGGAGAGCATAACTATGGCAAGACACATACATACACACACATGTGCGGGGCCAAAGTAGAGTTAATGGAATTACTCGTGTGAACAGACAAGAACACAAGGGCCCCATTGGCAGGCACACCACACGATGATGGATACACAGGGAGGGGAGTGAACGATGCCAGCAGCGTCACATGAAGGGGACCGAGCAGGTGAGCGTGGCACAGCGATACCGGTGATGAGGCAGGGCAGCGCCCGCACGCCAGTTCCGGAGGCCACCAGCGAGGCCTCGTAGGTGTGGCGTTCGTCAAAGGGCAACACCTGCTCCACACGCTGGTCCATGGACACGGTGAGCACCCAGTCGCGCACCTCCTCGCGCTTCTCTTCCTGCACGAGCAGCACGAGCAGCACGAGCCACGTGAGCCACGTGAGCCACGTGAGCAGTACACATGGCCATCAAACAAAGACCGTCACTGCATCGCAGGCTTTCAGATGCGCTTCTGCGGCCGTCTGGAATGCTCTTCCTTCCGATATTAGGAAGCCACTGGAGCTACGCACTTTTAAATCATCATCTAGATTGAAAGCACATTTCTTTAGAACTGCTTTTTGTATTTAGTTTGCTGTTCTTCCCCCGCACCTCCGATTTGCATGGTTGGCTATGTACGGTGCGAGAGAAGTTCAACATACATACATACATATGAGTATGCCATTGATAATAATGTTCTTTGTTAACATAGGAAAGCCTGAGACTCTAGACTCTTTTTTCACAAGTATCCTGCTACATTTGGATGTTTCAGAAAATCCCTTTTTAAATAAGGAGCATTTTTCCTTGTGTGATAGGAAATTGGAGTAACTGGGGAAAAAACCCAACCAGGCATACAAGGGAATATAACACTCTCACAACCCTAAGTCATTCATGTAAGAAATGTGCACGTGTGTGAATATTAATTTGAGTATGGGGACCAGTAGTTCAGCGGTTAGCACGCTGCGCTAAGAACCCGGCGACCCGAGTTCGATTCTCCCTCATGGTCATCACAAGTGACGATTATTTGAACCAGACATGGGCCTCCCCTAAGTCGACTCAGCCTCAAACGAGTATCTGGTGCAATGTGTAAAAATTGCCACTGGGGAGACGAAGGCTGCCGGGCATGGTGATAGCCACCCACCCCCTTGTGTGCAATGCCGGCCTTGATCAGTGCTCACTAATAGCCCTTGCCCCAATAGTCTGTTACGGCTCAATGGGGATCTTTTTCTTTATATGTGACACTTGTGTGTAATGCCGGACTCACAGCCACGTGTTGTGTTGCTGGTAGAGGCACCTCCAGGGGAATGTCAGTATCTGTGAAATCCGTGTTGTCCAGCATGTCCGAGCTGCCCTCCTCTATCGCCTGTGCACGCCACACCGCACACCGTTGGGCTACACCACCCCAAGCCATGCCACAGCACAGCACTTCATGCATACCCCAAAGCCACATCACCAAACAAAAACATCGTGCCACACGGTGCACCACACCATGTACCTATGAGAAACGTGGTGTGACTTCACACTGCACCGATCATGCAATGTGGTTCGGCATCCTTGGTTAATGCAATTAGCCGTCAAATACACCAACAACAAAAACACCGCTGAAGGGCAGGGTGTTGGCAGATGTCATTCGTTGACGAAAATGATGGTCACGATTATCATCACCATCATCATGACGACAAGGGCACAGTGGCCGTGGGCCATACGTACGTCCGAAAGATCCAGGAAGTGGTTCAGGAAGATGAAGGCCATATTCTCCCAGTCATTTTCCTGCAGGAGGAAGAGGGGAGAAGAAGAGGTGTGAGGTGAGGAGGAAACGGTGGTGAGCGTGGAGAAGACACGTGACTCGGCCATGCTACTGCTGGCTGCTCACCTTTGCAGCCATGCCAGCTTCGTAGAAGGCCTTGTCAGCGGGGATTGCGTCCGTGTGTCGCAGTAGAGAGATGGACAGCTTTGCCGCGATGGCGTTCTGACCGTGGTAATGAAACAGGAGTGCAGCACATGCAGTCATCGGCAGTGTGAGCACACACAAATTCTCAACTCGGGGACGAACTGAAAGTGATCGCGCCTCGCCCATTAATTAATACAGACATCGTTTGTTGAATCGCAGTGATCACTGTCGTACAGCTGTTGTTCATCGTCGCCACGTATAAATGTATCGATTCAACAATTAAAATCGATCCTTATGCTCACGATACAGACATAGTAGTGTGTGTGAGAACAGATTATTCTAAGCGCGTGCAAATTAAACGCTTGATGACGTGGGAGGTCACCAGTTGCGGTACGGTGAGCGAGGCGGAGCGCGTGGCGTAGTAGTGCGCGATGAGCAGCAGCCTCTCAAAGTCCTCGTGCGCCGGGGAATTCGCCTCAGCTGACCTGGACAGATTCTCACACTGACGAGACACACGCGTGGCCACCAACACAGCCTCATTGCACACGACCAACGTCGCATCACATAGCCGACACAACAAACACGGCCATAAATACATGACACGTGCCACACAATGACACAGATGACCGCCGTGCACAACCACGACGCACGCAGCGACACAACACAACCGGACCTCACGCGCGCGCGCCAGTCAAACAGCAGCGCGTCGTCGCATCCTGCAAGCAGTGCCGTGCAGTACAGCTCAGTAGCAGGTGCGGCGTGTCTCATCAAGGGGCCCACCAGCATGTACGCGCTACTTACCAGCGCATGTAGCATGTCCCGCATTGCAGCCCACGTACGGTACGCGTCGCCAGTGGCCATGCCAGGAAGGCTCAGCAGGTCCGATATGATGCGCTTGTAAATGTTGAAGTTCTGTCGTGGCACATGCACGTGTCGTGATTGGTACGCGGCCGCAATGCCATTTGTACTGCGCCGTCAGAGCAAGAGACAGCCGTTTTGAACTGGTACTGGTAAATACGCATGCGACATTTAATAGATTTTCCGCTTTAAGGTTATTCATATGCTCACAATAACGTCAATGGATTGTGAGTGCGTAACATTTGATGATTTACAATTCCTATACGTTGTATGAAATTGGATCATGGAAACCTTGCATCCGGCAGAGGTGCTACACGGGATAAAGAGAATGGCAAATTCTTTAGTAGAATCGTGTCTCCGAACCAAGAAAATTCATGGAATCGTGCAAGTTATTCGTTCCGATTTTTTGTTGTATATCTTTTCAAATTTTGGCGACCCAGGTCAATCTTTTAAGTATGCAGCAAACATTTCCCTACGCAGTCGAGCAACAACTCGCATTCGGCAGCAATTTACTGTGCATCTGAAAGCACACGACGGCAGAATGCTGACCCAAGCAGCTTTGAAGCCCCGACCTAAAGAAAACAAGTTACTGATCTCAAGACAAGCTGTATCCCAAGCCTGCATTTCATGTGGCTTTATCTTTCGGTAAATGTACCATAGCTGCTCGAGTCAATGAGCATGTGAGTGACAGGTTGGCATTGCTTAATCAGTGAAGGATAAAATGTGCATTTTGCAGCATGAGATGGGCCTCATGCTCGCGTTGTGCAACCTGCGTGCTGTGTGTGCCCCGTCGTTTAGCTGCCAGCCCATGATGTGTGTGCGTGTGTGTGTGCCCCGTCGTTTGGCTGCCAGCCCATGATGTGTGTGCGTGTGTGTGTGCCTCCTGGCTGCTAGCCCATGGTGCGTGTGCGTGCGTGCGTGCGTGTGTGTGCCTACTGGCTGCCTGCCCACATGTAAGGCCCTGTGTCTTTAAAATACCTGTAGAAAACGCTTTTAAAAGAATATGCCATGCATTTGGCTACATCCCAGCTGAGAACTTGTCAGTGAGCCAAGTGCAATAACCTCCACCTGGCCTCGCATTCCGGTGGTGTCCCTTTCATAGTCAATTTATTCCGTGGATTTTGATGCCAATCTTGCTTTTTGGCAACAACAAAAAAGATGTTCGGAGTTTAAAATTACGACATTAAATCATAAACATGTTTGTCATGTACACACCCATACACACTGCCCTGTTTGTGTGCATATATTCGGCGTTATAAATATTCCCACATTGTCCCTCGCTTAATTGTCACCCAATTCACTCATTCACCCACCGGCCGACTTACTCACGCATTCACCCATGCACTTACTCACTCACTCACCCACGCACTCACCCGTCCATCCACTCACGCAACCCACCCTTCTCACCCACTTGCGATTACACGATTGTTTAATTCCTCACAAAGCGGTGCCTATTTTATGATAGTCAACTCCCAATCAGGATTTAAACTCGCAACCTTTCCGCTTGCGAGTCTCTTGCTCTACCGCCGAGCCACCTTGCCAGATGGATACATTCTGACCCAGTCTATTTGCCCTAGCGAACCCTTGTTGTTGTTGTGCTTATCATGAATTATGCAGCCTACATATCACAGGGCTCCACTTGATTAAATCAAGGTTATGAACATTGTCTGCAAACCCTTGGCTGGCAGCATCTGGCGACTGTAGAGTAGGTAGATACTACTGTAGAGTTAGTATATACTGCTATAGTCAGTAGATACTACTATAGTGATAGTAGATACTACTATAGTGATAGTAGATAATACTATAGTCAGTCTATACTACTGTAGAGTCAGTAGCTACTGATATAGAGTCGATATTTACTATTATAGAGTCGGTAGATACTACTGCAGAGTCAGTAGATACTACTATAGAGTAAATAGATACTACTATAGATTCAGTAGATATTAATATAGAATCAGTAGTTACGACTATAGTCGGGAGATACTACTATAAAGTCGGTATATAATATTACAGTCAGTAGATACTACTGTAGTCAGTATATACTGCTGCAGAGTCAGTAGATGCGACTATAGAGTAAGTAGATACTACTACAGAGTTAGTTACTACTATAGTCAATGGATACTCCTACAGAGACAGTAGATACTACTATATAGTCAGCAGATACTACTATATAGGCAGTAGATACTACTATATAGTCAGTAGATACTACTACAGTCAGTAGATACTACTGTAGAGTCGGTATATAATGCTGTAGAGTCGGTAGATATGACTATAGAGTCAGCAGATACTGCTATAGTCAGCAGATACTACTATAGAGTTGGTTGATACTACTATAGAGTCGGCAGATACAACTATCGAGTCAGTAAATACTGCTACAGTCAGTAGATACTACTATAGAGTCAGTAGATAATACTACAGTCAACAGATACTATTATAGAGTCAGTAGATACTGCTGTAGAGTTAGTAGTTCCTACTATAGAGTCGGTAGATACTACTGTAGGGTCAGTAGATACTACTATTATGGTCGGTAGCGACTACTTTACAGTCAGTAGATACAACTGCAGAGTCAGCAGATACTACTATAGAGTCAGCAGATACTACTCACTCTATTGTATGTAGGATATGTAGGTATATATGCCTACGTGGGGGTCAAAACAAATTTTGAAGGGGGGGAGGGTGGGGGGTCGACAATTTTTCGGAAACCTTTTAGATAAACTATTTACCCCCCACTTTCTATAACTTTCTGGACTTCTGCAAGCCTCATAATTTTGTTGACGGACAAATGTACAGACAAATAGCACGCCGGGCTTTCACAATAGCTGAGAATTTGTGTATCTATATAGTTATGTTTTTAAGAGACGTTTTGAAATATATTTTTCCCCCGGGCAATGCCGGGTACTTCCCGCTAGTATATTATAAAGGGGCCCTAAATAAATAAATACATAAATATTAAATCACAAATTTGTAACTTTAACAGTAAAGTCATTGTATTTTTTCATTTGCTATACAGCCAGATAATACGACAAATCGCTAACGTTAAACACCCAGTCATTCATAAAAGTTGAAGGCAGTACAGTACTATAGTAATAGAGCAAGTGCAGAATCACTGAACCGGAATTGATAGCTTGAAAGCATTTAGTGCGGGGCCCTTGAAAGTACAGGGCCCTTGAAAGTGCAGGGCCCATAGCATTTGCTACTTTTGCTACTAGGATAATCCGGCACAGCACCATGGGAACGTGGAATTTCCACCACTGACTCAGGGCCACCATTGGAGATTTGAGTAAACATTCCGTGCTCGACTGAACAAGGAAACACTTATAAAGTGTCGAAATAAATTAAAATCTCAAGATACTGCTCGTATCGTTGCGGATTATAATTATTGTTGATGTTGCGACTGTGGAAGTGGCTTGAGTCTAATCGTAATTGTTGATATCAGTCAGTGAAGGTGCTGTGATCGATGCCCCTGCCAGACTCCTCAACCACACGTGTAATGAGACCCCCATCGTCGTGGTTGCTGCAGTTTTGTTTGCTGCTGTGGCTGCTGTGATTGTCATGTGTGTAAATTGCGGTGGTTGTGGTTGCTGCCAGTGCGGCTGTTGTGGTTGTTGTAATTCGTGGAACTGCAGTTGTAATGGCCATTGTGGTTGCTGGCGCTGCAGCTGTTTTTAGTGCTTGCTGGCAAGGTTTGTGGTGAGTGTGGAACAGTGGGTATTGTGGTTGCTGGGAATATAGTTGTTATGGGTGTTGTGATTGCTCGCGGTCTGAACGCTGTGGGCTCTCGCGATGGGACCTGCCTGTGAGTTGGCGGGTGTCCCGTGCTGGGTGTACAGAGCCAAGGCTTTCTGTGCCTGCCCCTCCTTGATGAGATGCGTTGCATACAGAGCCACGTATTTGTGCAGCACCTTGTAGTTCTGGATAAGCAACAAACACCGACAGAAATCGAGAAAAAAAATCGATGACAGTAGTAAACAACACATTTTCGAAGCGACTTTTAATATGGTTATATATTATAATTGCACAACTTTGCAGTGCCGTGCAGTAAATGTGTCAATCATGCGCACCCACTTAAGAGAGGAAGATTTATTGACTGAACACAGACAATGCTGCATGTTTACTCTTCATCTTAACATTTACATTGTTTAACTGTCATGCTGCCAAGTGTAATTCCCTTAACGCTTGCATATACTCCACCATTAGATTTATCATGTGGTCTGAACAAATAGGTCGGTTACATCTTTCTATCCAATGCCAAACTTAATTTATGTATTTAATATGGTGGTGTTGGTTGAAAGGGTTCACGATCGCTGCAACTGGTCTTGAGACTTGCTACCATTTAGAATATCTTTCATCATCACCGAGTTTGGTGGTGGTTGGTGGTTATTGTTGTGGTGATGGGGTTGAGGGTAATGCAAATAATGGTGATGGTGGCAGTGGTGGTGCTGCTCCTTGTGGTGGTAAAGGTGGTAATGATGGTGGTGGTGGATATGGTTATAATAGCAATGGTGGTGGTAATAACAACAGAGGCGGTGATTACAATGGCGATATTGCTGGTAGTGATGTTAGTGGTTATTACGATAAAAGTGACAACGATGGTAGTAGTTGAGGCGGCAATGAGAGTGGAGGTGGCGATGAGGGTGATTGGAGGTGCTGCTGGTTACGACAACGAATGTGCTTGCTCACAGTACCTGCTTGGCAGCTGTCTCGATGCACTTCTCCCACTGCCCCCGCTCCATGTACATGTCCAGAGCGGCAACAACGTCAACCCCCACGAGCTGCGGGAAGAGTCCGGCCGCAATGAGGGGGGCGGGGTGGGGGGGAACAATGGGCAGCACGGCCTCCACGCTGCCACCCCTCGCACGCACCAAGCCGCACTCCGCACACAATGTCATGGACAGTACTCGCTGTATTTCTCGATATTGATCATAATTTCAATAATAATAATTAGGGGCGTAATGATGCATTAATTCGAGTGGCCTCTTATTCTCATGATAAATGCATACAATTGTGTGTTACGACTCGATGTTTCTCTTTTTGTAATGTCGTATGCAATGGAGTTATGTGACCCATATGGCTACATTAACCGGAACATTAAACAAGCATTGATAGCCGATTCGAAATGCGGCCCTGAACTTTGACGACGAATTGAACTACAAGGGGTGTGAACCATTACACTCCAATTCCAAGGTGGGCACGCACACACAACGAGGCCACTCCAACACACTCACCGAGTCAACCTTCCCTTGATTTTTCAAGTACTCTTTGTATTTCTCATCGACGTACCCCTCAAACCTGTAAACGTAAGACAGGACACTTTAAATACGGAGATCGCGTCACATTAACAGTGGGTGAAAAGCACAGATACAGCCGCCGTCACTACGCATAGCAATGTCTGCCCTGCTTGCAGCACTGCTCCACAGAAAAGGCTTTCAGTGAGTGCCCTCTGCAGACGTATATGATAATTGTTTCTTATACCTCGGCACATTCTGGATAGTACTTGGATGCATAGCGGGTGTTGGAGACTTCTGTGATACTACGTTGAAGGGGAAAATGGCAGTGACGCAAAACCAATTGTAATACTGAACTTCGAGGCTCCCCGCCTTCACCAACCCACACTGACCAACGTGGTGAATTATGGACAAATAAACCCCACTACCCATATGCCGTGGGGAAGCGCTCATCCAGTGGTGGATTGACAAAGGGCTTTCCATGTTGAGATTATACAGATAAACACTAGGTATGTATTGATAAATCAATTCACGAATTTAAATATATTCTTACGTTGACGATACACGCATCTATCACGCATGTTAGAATCAATGATTTCTGATTTGTATGTGCTGCATTTAATGAATTCACGTGACCCCAGGAGCCATGGTAGGTGCTGCATATTCACGACAATATTAAACCAAATCATGATCCCCTGGGATCATAAATAGTTCATCAATGTGTGAGGTGAGAGAACACATCGTTAAACACCTAATGAATACCACATCCACCACAACAGCTAAATATAATAATAGACTTGTGAATCAAATTGCAAATTATGACAATTCTTCAAACTGCAGAGGAGTGAATCGTTACACCACTCATTTCACGTAGAATCAGAATCTCTACTTAGACTGGAGGAAACCCATGAGCTATGAAGCACTCTTTCACAGATGTAGCGTGCGCTTGTGCGCCAAGCCAGGCAGCAGCTTCATCACTTGCAGAATGCAGCAGTGTCTGTCCTCAGATCGCCGCTGAGCTCGGTCAGTGGACAGTCTTCAACCGACTACCGATGGGTTCAAATGGCTGAGTGGGCCAGTCCTGGGCATGGAATCCGTCGCACCTGGGTTCCATCTCCTTGGCCACACGCTTCGCCTTGTTCCATTCCTCGCCGTCGATAAACGTGTCGATGGCCTCTTTGATCATGTCCATGTTCAGGAAGAGTTCCGCTGCCTGCACAAATACAATGGCAATGCACAATACACACGGGAGTAATCGACATGTGAAATTTTTTTTTTTTTTAGAAAGGATGCTGGAAAGTATTCGTTTTTTTCTTTCCTGTGAACTCTTTATTGAACTGATACAAACATTTTGATGTTAGTTCATTGGAATGGCACGGACATTTATTTACTTGATCATTTCAGTCTCCATCCTGATGCATGCACTTGCCCCCATGGGTAAACGAGGCCAGCGCTCCATCAGAGTGAAAGTATTTATCGACGAAACATGACAACTTGCAAACAGCATCTTGTACACAAGGGTTATTTCAAAATGCTACCCAAGTTGGCCATCCTTCATAGTGCCGAGCAGACGAAATTGTGGGGGTGCCCGATCCGGGCTGTACGCTTGATGGGGCAGCACAGTCCAACCGAACTGTCAAATGGCCTCAGTTGGCCTGGGCTCGTGTGTGGTCTGGCATTTAACGTGTTAGATGGAGGAAGACTTCTGACGTATCTATCGAGTATAATTTATCGGTTTAAATAAAAAGTAATTCTGAATACAACAAGAGACATTACTTGTTGAGTACCCGTAAATCAGCAACGCCTCCATCGTGCACACGGGCTAAAAGCATGCCGGCGAGGAGCCACAGCTGAGAAGCGAACGTACCGTGTTGTGTTTCTTGATGCCGATGAGGCGCGGTCCCACGGTGCGCACGACCTCCGTGGCTCGCTCAGGACTCAGGAATTTGATGGCCAACTCTGCCGCCTGTACAACCACACGCGCGGCACGGCAGCAAACCTCAACGATGGGCGCGCAGGCCATTCGCTTTATTGTCATCTATTTGATAAGAAAATCTATAATTGTTTTGTGTAACAGATTGACATGCTAATCTCTCACAATACAATGGCCACCTCCACAGATCCGAGTCGTGGCGGTATATTAGCTATCCGATCTTGCATTTACATGCAAATTCCATCTCTAGCCCCGCCCATTTACCCTTGGGCTACACCCATCTCAAACCTATAAACATCCTGCTTCAGCAGCTCTCCCACTAATTTTTTTCACCTGATGATGATTGCTTGTGTTGCGATCGAAACGTCGTGATCTATTATTTTCTATTCACGTGACTTTGCCGAAAGATCCAAAGGGTATGTTTCGTCTAGTTTGCACCGTCTTATTTGTGGAATCTCGTTTGGAATTTGTCTATGAAATTATTTTCTCGTGTTTGTTCGACGAGTCTGAAGGTAATATTTACAAACAATTCTCTCGAGTTTTACACACACAATTCCACGCATGTATTGTGAGCAAAAGGATACATTTTAATCAAGGACTCGTGACATGGCCACGAAGTGTGACGTCACCATGAAGATTTTAAATCCTTCCATTACCCACAGTCCCACACCACTCTTGAACAGCACTCTGAAAGCAGTGTCATGAATTAACATGGGAACCGATTGGCTAAGCACCGGGGTTTTGGTTAAATAAGTCAGCATTATGACTATCACCAGACTTAGTTTTTAAGGCACGATTATAGGTTTGATGATGATGAGTTGAGTGTTGCTCTTTCGAAGGTAGAAGTTAGGGTAAAAGTCCAACGGCAGTGGGCTCGCATCGGACACGTGCGTCACATACCTTCACCCAGCACTTCTCCATGACGAGGCTGTTGCCCGTCGCCTCCACCCTTAGGTAGCTGTCGACGGCGCGCGCGTACTCGCCCGACTGCTCCCACTCGCGAGCTTGCTCCACCTGGCCCTCCCCGCCCCTGCGACGGCGCACACAGACGCACGGCTCTCTCAAACCCGCGGAGGGGCTGGCGGGCCGCACGGACGACGAGCCGCAGGCCACGGGAGGACGTTAAACTGGGGAGAATTCGTCGTCATCGCCCATGGCCAGGTCACCCAAAGCGCATCCGATCTTGTCATATCTCGGAAGCTAAGTAGAGTTGGGCCTGGATAGTGTTTGGATGGGTGACTACTGTGCACATGCAGGTTAATGGCTGTGGAGCTATGTGGTGGGCAGCAGAGGGGAACAGAGTAAAATACATTGTTGTACTGTGCTTCTATGCTCCCACTTGCAGGCTACCTTCATAAACCTGCACTGACCAGCGAGGTAATATATGGCCAAATAACCCAAATCACCTGCACGGCGTGGGGAAGCCCTCATCCAGCAGTGGACTGACCAGCATCACTGTCAATATATTACTGCCTATGCATTTAAATATGAGAAACGAATGGCAAGTTTTGTCCAGTCAATGACAGCAGAGTTTACGGGACCTCCTTTGCCAGTATCAAAATATAAGAATAGGTTTTCCCCTTTCTGGCAATAAAACAGTTGTGTTAAGATGTTAAAACACCAAACTGAAAGCTTTTGCAAGGAGTATTTTGGTATTGGCAAAGGAGGTCCCATAATGTAGCAGCTCACCCCGAGCTCTCAATGTCCTGATAGTGGCGTTGTCTTTGTGCTGTTCGCCTTTTGGCGTCCTCTGGTCTAACACCGTTTGAGACTAGGCTCTAAAGAAAGCTGTCTCTGGTGTGGACCAATCAGTTTCAAAGACAATACATATACTGTCAGAGCATGTTTTTTGTATTTTCACCACAAGTATGTGTGGTTAATGCAGATATGATTCCTTGCAAAAGGTTTCAGTTTGGTGTTTTAACATCTTAAGACCTGTTTTATTGCCAGAAAGGGGAAAACCTATTCTTATACAGCAGAGTTTGTTGAAAAAAATTGTGTTTGATGAACAACGATTGACAGGGAACAACCTCGAACAGTCGAGTAACCTCTGTAATCTGATTGGAAGCTGCCATCTCAAGAGGGAGCAGCACTCAGATTATTTTTTTTAACAATAGGAATCCTACCGCCACTCCTACTGGTGACAATTGCACTCCATTGCCCGAGCTTGTCACGGCCCTTCAGGTACGGCCTTGTTTGCAGAGGGGCGGCATCTGCTTGCAGAGCTCTGTGTGGGGGCGGTAGTTCAGGGGGAGAGATTGAGGGCCTTGGGCGGTGCAAGGCCTCACCGTGCGCCCTTGCCAGCCGCCTGGCTCTCGTACTCGTCCTGCAGCTGGCTCAGCTTGCCCGGAAGGTATTCCTTGCAGATGCGGATAGCGTCGCTCCACATCTGTGCCTCCTGCGCACAAGGTATGCGGAGTCAGAGCGGAAGGCCTATCATGATAAAAAAAACAATGCCTCTTCATTTGTATTGCGACTTAAAAGTGATATTAAAGGTCAATATGCAAGTTAATTGCGGACTCTGTAGTTATTGGTGAAGTAGAATAAACCAAGGCCATTCCTTCAGATAAGGATCTTAGAAGGCGGTTAATATGCGACTGTGGAGAGGGTATCCAAATAATAATGCATTTTATTAACCGAGGAAACCAGAGGAAACCTACACATACAACACAAACATTGAAAGGTTGGCGTAGATGGGCTCACAAACAAATTCATTTTCTGTACTTCCTTCTTCTGGCCACCTCACAGCCCATTTGGTTTTGGAGTTTCACTAGTCTGTGTGATCCACTGACCCTTGCCTCCAAAGCGCTGGATGACAGGCATGTGACATGTTGCCTTGCTGGACTTGTTAAGAGTGCCATACAGCAGTGCAAGATGCATACCGCCCAAACCTCCGACTAAGCACCCTCCCTGCCCGACGGCACCTTGTAGTGCTTGAGGGCGAGCTCGGGTCTCTGGGCGCGCAGCAGGAAGGCCTCGGCTCGCTGGAAGTCGCGCTGCTCAAAGGCGGCACGTGCTTGCGCCACCAAGACGTCGGACACGCTCGTGGGGTCGTGCGCCTCGGCCACGGCTTGAGCCGAGTCCCAGTCCTGGCTGTGGACGTACCTGGAGATCCGTGAGCATAGTTCAACGATGGTTCACACACGGCATCGGCCACTCGGGCCAACGCTTATGGAGGGAGCGGTATTAGACCTTGACACAAGAGCAGCGCTGCAATGCGCACTGATACATGAAGCCTGCAGAGCACTGCGATTACCGACAGAGCCAGACCCATACTTGTCCAGTGACCAAGCCAGTCCAGACCAAAGGTCACAACCTATCCTGTCCAAACACAGCCTCATGTTCATTGGCTCGACCAGTCCCACTCCCGATATAGCCAGTGTCAGTCCAGTCTAATGACTGAAACAGTCACATCAATGTTGATTATCTATTGATCCTATCAATCATACCCCTATCCAGTATCTACAGACACAGCCAGTCCCACTGCTCTGATACAGATCAAACCTCCATCGCTTACATGAGAATGGCCTCCTTGGGCTTGCCAGCCTTGATGAATTCCACCTCCGCCTCCTTGTACTTGCCCTGCAGAGGCACGCGCGGGGAAAATCCCATGCGGTGAGTGAGGCCTCCGCATCTCTCCATTCACTCCCATTAAAGTCAAGAATACACAAAAAACATTAATCAAGACGTATGCACTTTCTCCAACACACAGTGGCAGCTTTTATCAAAGAGCGTCACGTGGCAGTGCTCGCGGGGGAGGGAATACCTCCTCCTTTGTTATTTTTTGACTTGCATCACACTGAGATTTTTGCACACAGCAGTTTTTTTTTTGAAGATTTGCTGGTTTATCCAGGAAGTTTCTGTTGCGCGTCGTCGCTTTAAGATGTTTGTTGCGGTTGCACCCGACTAAAGAGTCGCATGGCTTACAGGGCTATACCAAATAAATGAAACTTGAAACTTGAATACCTCGTCCTCCAGAAAGATGGCGTGCTTGAGATGAATATCGGCCATCTTGCTTTTCATGGCTCCCCGCGCAAGGTCAAAGGCAAACTCGAAGGCACTGTGAGGAGCACAAAACAGCGAGAGTCTATTCCAGCGACTCCATCTCGCAGGTCATGCACAGGCACCAATGCAGATGCAACGCCCCCTACGTCCAGAAGCCAGTATGGCTGCAACCGATTTTACCAATTTACGTAGCAAACTATAACCCACAAAAGAAGGCAGTGTGACTGAAACACGTCTTAGTCAAAGCAGTTGCGTTAAACCGTATGGTGCGAAACAAGTTCAACATACACACACATGCATGCAAACGCTCTGTTAACCAACACCGCGTGGTGCTCGCGTGCTGTTGCGCTAGTGGAGGAAGCGCGGGGGCGGTTGGCACCAGTTGTCGGCGGCGTAGTCGATGGCCGTCTCCAGCAGCCCGAACTTGGTGAGGAGCTTGATGGCAGACTCGCCGCCCAGACTCTTGGCCCAGAGGTACGCCACCTGCTTGTGAGCCGTCGGGCCTCCGTGTGACTTGGCCACCTGCGACACCAGCGACAGCGACCAACTTCCACGGCCGTTTGGGAAGAAGCACCTTGCCTCATTTATGGGTAACCCGCATGGGGTGACTGAAAATAACACGGCTCGAGAGACGAGCAAGTGGCGCTACAACAAAGGGTGAGTTGTTCCGTTGGAATTATATTATGTTCTCTGCAAATGATATGCAAGAGAAAATCCACAGAAATGTGGAAAACAAATTTGGGAAAATCCAGCACAACTTGGACAAAATGGGTACAGCGTTTTCCGCATATTTCAACAGTTAAAGAATCACTTGCAGCAAAAGCCATTTCTAGTGATGGTGAAATGCCATCTGCAGTGAATAAGTGATTGTAGGAGAGAAATACATTTATAAAAGGTGGGGATGTCAGTCTAAAATATCAATGAAACTTTAAGGGAACAATGTGAATGAACATAATTTCATCAAGGTCACTCTGCTTGATACCAGGCATCAGACTTTTCTACTTCCCCTTGTATACCCACTAATTGTGTTAAGGTGAAAAGGTTGACTGAAAGTATCTGCAGGAGAAAATGTTCTATGGAAATCTCTTGTGTGACCATTCACAGACCCACAAGGTCACAAAAGCTCTGCGACAATGAATTATTTATCTTTAGGCGTGATGTTGACAACACACTGTGGAAAACAATTACAAGATTAAAATAAGAAAGATGAAGACAAGGGGTCGGCAACCTGCGACTCCACAGCCACATGCGGCTCTTCACGGACTGCTTCGTGGCATCACGCACGTACATCTTCAAAGCATTGCGGCTCTTGACATTTTTAGTTTTGTGCCAAATTCGAAAAAAATGGCTCTTTTTGTTATTTTGATTGCCGACCCCTGGTCTAAGATGTAAAGAAGATTGAGATGCAAAAGAGGACAGAGAGCCGAGAGAGGCTGCACAAGTCTCTAGACCGAGCAAGGTAGGGACGGCACGTGGGGGGAACGCACCCTGTAGGCCTCCTCCCACATGTCGGCACTGCGGTACATGTTGACGGCCGCCTTCCACTCCTTGCCCTCCAGGTAGTGGTACTCAGCCTCCCGCAGCTGTGCATTGGCCTCCAGCTCCTGTGCGGCACGGGCGTGCGGAGAGAGTGGACGCAGAGCAACGGAATAATGTGGTCGGTAGGATGACTGGACGCGCATACCCAAGTGCGTGCGTGCGTGCGTGTGTTGAGTGCCTGCAGAGGAACACCTCAGCCTTAAGTGGGTACCCGAGGCCATATCCCCCCATCTCGGTGAAACCGCTGACAGGCATAATTTTAGAGATTTTCCCAAATGTTGTGTGATAGTGATACAGTCCTGCATTTAGGATTAACTTTTTTTTTCACAAAAATGTACATCATCCGAAAAAATGTGAATCGGTGTTCATAAGGTGTTTGATAAAAGTGCGTGCTCCAAGCAGTCCTGTGTGACTGAACGGAGGAATTATTTCGTCTTCCGTGTCACACCTTGGCCAAGTGGAGGTGCGTGTCGGCCAGCAGGTCCTCGTGATACTTGGCCACCAGTCGCACCATGTCATCGAAGCGCTTCAGCTTCTTGTACATGGTGATGGCGAGGTCGGGCTCGCCCACCGTCACATACAACCTGCCGTGGGCACGGTGTCGGGGAGGGGGGGGGGCGGCACACACACAGTGAACACCGGGGCGAGTGCACCGACGATAGACGAAATGAAAATTCTTCACTCTGAATAATTCCCAAGGAACTAGTTGAGAACCTGTTGCTCAGCAATGGAAAATAAGAGACGGCTGTCACGTTCATCCTCTTCTCACAATCCTGTACCCAGAGGACTAATAGTAATCTGCTTTTTTACGAAATAAAATGCCAAGATAACATGTATTGTGAGGTTTTTTTATATTCTCTAGGTTTAAAAAATATATATTGCAAAATAATTACACTAAGGAACACTAATTGAAAAGTTCGAGCAATTTTAAATTAAGCGTGTCAGTCTTCTGTATTATCCATTATAAAGGTTTTTTGGGTTAGATCATGTAAAAATTAGATGTGTCCTTCAACCCACTACCACCCGACAGAGCTAGTGAGTAAGGTTTGTCACATAAACCAAACATGCCAATTAGTTACTACTTTAGCACACCTGTGTGTGCAGAGTAAACCCACAAAATTTACAATTTGAGTATGACGTTTTCGCTGGTGATTACCACCAGCTTCATCAGGCAATTTTCCATAATTGTGGGAAGTTCACACTGGACAGACCTGTATCAGAGTGTGCACATTCCTAATGTCCTGTTGAAGCTGGTTGCAATCACCAGCGAAACGTCACAGTACTCAAATTGTAAATGTTGTGGGTTTACTCTACAACACACTGGTGTGCTGAAGTAGTCACTAATTCAGTTTAACACGTAGGCTTTCATGACTCATATTATCCATAATAAAGCTTTTTTGGGGTTAGATCGTGTGAGCCAATCAGGTTCAAAGACACAAGTGACAACATCACGTTTATCTCTCTATTTAAGAACGAAACAGGATTTCTCCACAAATCTGGCTTTCGCCTTATGATGCGAGTTGTAATTACTGGCGAAACGTCGTAAATGTTGTGGGTTTACTCTCCTACACACTGGTGTGCTGAACTAGCAATGAATTGGCATGTTTTGTTTACGTGACAAACCTTACTAATTGGCTGTGTCGGGCGGTGGCGGGTTCAATGACACATTTATATTTACGTGATCTAACCCTATAAAAACCTCTATTTTAGTCACTAATTGGCTGGAGTCCTCACCTCTCGGCCTCCTTGTACTTGCCCTCCTTCTCCAGCTCGTGCGCCTGGTTGATGTAGAGCTGTGCCCACCTCCTCCTGCCTCATGCACCGCTTCGCCAGCTGGGCAGCTGTGCACGAGCGTTAGGAAGTTCACGGTGTCAGAGGGTTCAAAGGTCGGGGATTAACGTAAATAAGAGTTGAGGGAAGAGGGCGTGCGTGCAAGTGTCTTGGGTTTTGAGTGATGGGATCAGCGTTTGATTTGCAAAACAATATTAAACAATCATCACCATGTTACACAAAAAGGTAATTGGAAGAAAACAAATCACACGTCCTCATTAAACAATGGCCAGATGGCAATCCATCCTAGGCTAATTAAATGAGAACCAATCTGCAGGAAGAGACCAGTGGTCATTCTACTGGAGAGACCGTCGCCTACCATAGAGAGTGGAATTCTAGATTGAAAGCTAAATTTCTGCCTGTGACACACGGCAGGTGTGACACGCTGGCGACTGTTACATGCTGCGACTGGGACATGCGGTGGCCGAGACACGTGCTGACCGTGGAGAGAATTGGGTCCAGCTCACCCTGTGCGCATTCTCCCACTGTCCGGCCTGCGTGTACATGTCGATGGCGTCCTTCACCCTGTCCGCCTTCACGTAGAACTGCTCGGCCAACTGCAAGCGTGAGATGACAGCGGTGGCAGCAGCAGCAGCAGCAGCAGCAGTAGGGCACCATCAGCATGGACCTTCGACCTTGACTGGACAAGCACTTCTTTTTTTTGTCTGGCGCCTCTTGCTCTCATATTATGCTTGCACTGCGTTTTCGATTCGCGTGCGTTTCGTTTGAGACCGTTAAATACCTCATTTGTTAGTTGTTCAATATTCCTTAAGGACCCTGGTGTACTCGTTCAATGCAAAATGTTGTATTTTGTTGTTGCTGCTGCTGTGCTCTCAGCAGCACCATGGATCTCCCGTGTAAAATAGCTAAACTGGATAAACGGGACCTTATGGATAACAAATGGAATGAACTGAAACTTATTCTTGCATCTTTGAAGTCTATGTCCAGATGAGTTAGGCGTCTCTCCAGTGGTGATGTTTACACATCTCACCAGGTAAGGCCCAGGACCGGTCAAGATAATCGAATTTGGGTCGCCGGGTTCGTAGTGCAGCGCGCCAACCGCTACTACACTATCGCTGCCCACGCATGCACAGACACAAACACGTAAGCAATCACCTCATAGTCCTGCACGGAGGCGTAGTGCTGGGCGATGCGGACGTAGTACTTGGCGGCCGTGCGTTCGTCCTGCATCTCCAGGATGCTCGCCGCCTTCTTCCACTGCCGCGAGCCCATGGCCGCCTCCAGCGCCTTAGCCGAGCACCTGGCGCGAGGGCAGCCGAGACACGCGAGATAACGTCGACTCAGTCTCCAATGAGTACCTAGTGCGGTGTGAAGTAAATATCGCCACAAGGGAGACAAAGGCGGCTGGGCGTGGCGTTGGACACCCACCCCCTCGTGTGCCTGTGGCGGCTTTCATAGGTGCTTGCTAACATGCACTTGCCCCAACAGTCTGTTCTGGACTATAGGAGGGATTTTTGTCTTTGTAGAAAGAATGAGCGATGTGACAAGGGAGCCGTGTTCTGGTAGTGAGAACACGTAACAGGTTTTGCTGTTTGGTACCCCTGCACTGAGTTGGGACAACAGTAAGGTGCGGAGTAGTTGCAGAGCAGTGAGATGGTTTATAAGGAGGGGTTGAAATATATCATGCATTATATTGCTTCGCACTGACCAGCGTAGTAAAGTATTGTCGAATGACCGACCTGCAAGGTGCAGAGGTTTGTGAAGGTGATGATGATGATGACAATCACCCCGCCTCAATGTAGTGGTTGAATGGCCGCGTCCAGCTGCTTCTGCGCCACCAGGTGGTCGCCCCACGCCTCCTCCAGCTTCACCACTTCGGCCGGGTATGCGGAGCGCGCCAACTCCACCGCTGAGACAGCCACCGTCACCATCACCAACAACAACATGCGTCATCATCACAGCCACCATCACCACCATCACCACCATCACCATCAGCCTCCCACCCCCCCCTCCAATAGATTACTCACAACACACCACAGTGTTACCATCTGACAACCATCGAGGTGGGGTTGTTTTGCCAGGCACCACCACCATCATCACCGCCACCACGCCACCACCAACAACACAACCACGATCATGAAATATTTTTCTGTGTACTAGCGGATACATTGCACAAGCCATTATCACTACAAACACTTGTTACACACCCTTGCGAAAAGAGCAGCCCTTTTTATAACAATCCAGAGCAGCGCTTGTAGTTCTTGGTCTTCTCAAATAAGTCACCGGCCTGCACACAAGACATACGCATCAGTGCAGCGTTGTAGAAAACACCACTATCAAGTAGGGGTGTAACAACTCACCCCCAGCCCGGTGAGAGTGTGTCGAGAGTGCGGTGCGACTGGTGCGAGTATCGTGAGCGTGGCTCCGGCATGTGTGTGCCGTGAGAGTGCGGCGAGCGTGGCGTGGCGCAGAGTGCCGAGCCAGGCGGTACACCCCACCCTCTCGTGCAGCTCCGCGCGGACGAGCGCGCTGGCGATGCGTGCCACCAGCTCCTCGTTGCCCAGCAGCTCGGGGCGCGAGGAAGCGACGCGCGCCGCCGCGGCCGGGAGGCCGGCCTGCAGGTAGAGCCCCACGGCGCCCACGGCGTCGCCCTCGCTCTCCCGCACCTCGGCCGCGCGCCCGTCCTGCCCGCTCACAGTGAGCCACTTCACGTAGCTCCGCCGCAGGCTCTCCAGCTCTGGGTGACCCTGGAGGAATGAGGGATAAAGGGATGAGCGGTGAGGGGCCAAGGGGGCGTGTAATAAGGGGGGGGGTGTTAGTGAGGAGTGCAGGTTGTGAGGGATGAATAAGAGGTGTTTGGAGCGAGGGGTGAGAGGTGAGAGGTTAGCCACCGCTAACATGGGATGTTAGCAGGTAACTGGGTTTGTAGCTCAATATGCTCAATACTACGCTACCACTCCACACGCATATAACCAACCCACCTTAGCCTCAGCGACAGCGATGCACTCATCCCACATGTGAAGGTTCTGGTACATCTGCATAGCCTCCTCGATTGCATTCTGTCATCAACAGAGCACAGAAAATCCATGAGGCAGGACACATCACAAGCAGGAATGATGGCCGGTGGTCGAGACATCCAAAGTAGAGAACTTATTGCAGAGAGATGGAGCAACTAGATCAGCACGTGTGCAGGAGCTATGTAGATTATTTCACTGTCTGCTGGTGAGGGATGGCGACGGCTTAGGAAGACCTTCATCCAGCAGTGGATAGATCACGGCTGATGATGATGCGCAGGGAGGAGGCATGCGATCCAGGCTCCAGGACTCACCTGCTCCAGGAAGATGCTCTCGGCCAGCTTGTACTGCTTGTCTAGCATGGCGAGCCGGGCTCGCACACGGTAGCTGTCGGTCCCGTCACCGCCCTGCACATGCCACGGGGCGCGGGGTCAGCCGGCAGTCCACTCAGCACAATGAGAGGCCTTTCCGTTACCCACGACCAGTGCACCAACCGTTACGACAGTCACAATCATGTCAACCACTACAACTCCACCTACACCCTAAACGAAACACTTTTTTTATTTTACCAGGTAAGGCCCACTGAGCTGTATAGCTCTTTTTCAGAAGTGACCTGGCTATCACAAATGATAGCTCAACGAAGTGGCTTATCATGTGGGAATTTATAGCAGCTAAATACCCTAAACGCATGTTTATAAATTTAGAGGTAAAAACCAGAGGACCTAGAGAAAAATCCACATGACCACCGGGAGGAAACGCAAACCTCAAATATACAGGCATCAGGGTCGGGATCGAACCCACGACCTCCTGTATACCAGGTGAGGTAGTTAACATAACACCACCGTAGCACCCATAACCGCATCCAGCCACAATCATGTAAACCACAACTGCATCAAACACGACCAAGGAAATCACATCCGTGACGACTACTTAGCATTTTACAATGACGGGCTTATCCTTTCCCCTTGTGTGTGCAAGGTGGTCTATTAGGCATGTAACAATTGACCCCGCTTCGCTGCGATGCGATGGAATTGTCACAATGCAGGGTCGTGTCAAATTTTTTCTCTCATTTGTTCTGTCTCAATTGTACAGTTTTGTCCGCTCCATTATCCCGAATGTATTGTTTGCGCATCGCCTGCATATAATTTTCATAAATCGTCACACAAGCACAGTTTAATGTGTTCATCGTTAGCGCAGGAATTTATTTTAATCAATTAACTGACGTATCGTCACATGCCTATTAAGTTTACAACGGCACGAGCGGCGTTTGAATAAATCGCAGCGCAGAGCCTCATTGCCAGACGAAGTAGCACTCACAAACTCCTGGGCATCCAAGTCAGCGATCTGATTGGTTTCGCGGAGGAACTGCACCTTGGCCATGTCTCCCAGCGCGGCAAAGCACCTGGAACAGAAGCAGAGACCAGGGGCTCAAACCCCCAACTCGCGTGTCGGTGTGTGTGCCGCTGAACGCGACGAGCCACTCCCCTCGTGTGTGCCGTGTGTCCGTGATGTAGCAACGGCCACTTTGTGAGTGGAGGTTAGGGGACTCCAGCGTGGTGGTACGATGGAATGTCTGAAAGTCACACGGTTGTGATTTCAAAATTGTATTTCTAATTAACAAAACATCACTCATTACAGATATCCAAATAGAGTTTTTTTGGGTTAGATCGCATAAATATATAAATGTGTTGTTAAAACCCACCACCACACACAGCCAACTAGTAAGGGTTATCACATAAACAGAACGTGGCCAATTCGTCACTAGTACAGCACACCGGTGTGTTTGAGAGCCAAGCCACAACAATTACAATCTGAGTATGACGTTTTGCCAGTAATTACAACTAGCTTAATCAGGCGACAGCCAGATTTGTGGAGAAGTCTAACTGTTCCGTTCCTTATATAGAGGCGGAGATGTGGTGACCACGCTTCTGCGCTCTTGCGCCACGTGGGAGGGGTGGGATTACTGAAGCAACGTACATTATGCATTATGCGAGCCCTTTGAACTTGTCCTTCCTGACTATTGTGTATATTAAATAGCCCTTACTAGTTGGCTGTGTCGGGTGGTGGCAGGTTTAAACGACAGATTTATATATTTACGCAATATAACCCAAAAAACCTCTATTATGGATGATATTGGTCGTGAAAGCCTACGTGTTAAACTCATTACAGATAGGCCGAGTGGTATTCTTCAAAAGAAAAGCTGTTTGTTGTTTGGATTGTCTTCCTGTAAGCTGTGTGGCTATGGGCTCACTCAGCTTGCCCCCCACCTCTCAGCAATGTGAAGCTGTCGAGCTTCCAGAGCCAGGCGGCCAAGCGTCCTCCACATGGCCTCCGCCTCTGGTCCCATCTCTAGTGTCTCCAGGAATGCCACAGCCCTACAACCACAATCGCAGCCACGTCAAATACCACCACACAAACACAACCATAATACAAGCACACACAACCACAGTGAATACCACCACTACAAAGATCCCCTGTATAGCTTTAACAGACTATTGATTCAAGTGCTGTTAGTGAGCACCTATGAAGGGCCGCACGTCACACGAGGGGGTGGGTGGTCAGCACCACGCCCGGCCGCCTTTGTCTCCCGAGTGGCGATGTTTACACACTGCACCAGGTACACTACAACAACCACACAGTCATAACTATCACAATAACCACAACCACACACAGCCAAAACCCTGCCAACCACAATCATGACAACAGCACCAACATGACCACACACAGCAACAACCATGTCAAATCCCGACCGCATCACAACCGCATCACACCCACGCAGTCACGCAAACTCCGGAGAGCTGACAGGGCACGCCGCACCGCTCGTGGTCGCCGTCGTCGATGGCGGTGCCGAACTCGACGAGCCCCTCGTCCAGTGCGTAGGACGCGGTGCTCACGCCCTCACTCACGACCACCTCCGTCTTGCCGTTGTTCTTCTCCACGTCCACAATGTCTCCCTGGCGCGAGGAGGAGGAGGCAGGCACGCAGAAACACGCCGGACGTCACGTCGCTTCTGACCAGCACGCATTGGGGTCACCAGAGCCGTGTCCACGTAGCGCTTTGCAATGAGGGCTGGCTTTTCTGTGACCCCTTGTGCGTATAAGGTAGTGTGCTAGGCATGTAATGATGCACCCCCCCCCCAAACAGCGATTCGATGAATACATTCTGCACAATTATGGAGAAAAAATGTCACTTTGGAGCAAGAGAAAGGTGTTAAAGTTATATTTGAATGGAGGGACAGCTGGTGAGGAGACTACAGCAAAAAGGGGAAAATAGTCTTCCAAGAGACATTGTCATAGGCAGAGGATAGCTTGCCTTGGACTGAACCTGTCCTGTGCATTCCCTAGATTGACTCAGACTTACACGAGTACATTCTTCTGCGAGTGAACATCAGTATCGGGTGACAAAACCAACCGACCGCAGTGCTGAGCACATCATCTCCTTCGTGCGCTGTGCCAGCCTTAATAGGTGCTGACGAAACAGCATTTGCTCCGACCAACTATACAAATTAATGTGCGATGTTTGTCTTTATCTGTACATGTTTACGTTTGTGTGCGTGCGCGTGCCAAGGGGCCACACCTTGATGGGAAACATGGTGACACGCTCAGGGGCGTCGATGTTGTACCACACGCACAGGTTACCACGGTTCTGCGCCACCACCACGTCGCTGGCCGGCACCCACTGCACGTAGGAGCAGTAACTGAGCAGAGTGGTGTGGACCCCACTGTCCACGTCGTACAGGTGCAGCTGTGGACGAGGACGCAGCATCCGCGGGAGCACGTTAACATCCCCGAGGCGACCGCGTGTACCCCGATGTGATCTCCGCACCTCCGATTAGCACGGCTGGCTACGTACGGCTTGACATACATACATGCATCTCGCGTACCCTTGTGCGGTCCATTATGTTGCCACGCGCACCGTGGTGCCATGCCCTTTGCCTACAACCGCGTTCTGAGATGGTGGGCCTCGTGCCAAATGCTCAACGGATCACTCACTCTCCACCCACACACGCACTACCGGAATATATTAATCGTCATTTTCACGCCAATGCAGTGATGTTACGGAGGTGCGTGTGACAGTAACTTTTATCTAATTACCAAACCGCTAAATTTGTGTCAAACATCTGAGTACTTACAGCATGGGGTCTGCTTCTACAAGAACAGTTTTTTTTAGTGATGCTTTCCTTTTAAAAGAGAATGGACAAACATCCCATTGCAGCACCCTACTGTAAGAATTTTGAGGCTCGGTGAGACTATTCTGAATAAAACAAAAATTTAATTACATTTGTATTTTTGCTCCATAGGCAAGCAAAGATACCCGCTCTTCTGATGTGTGAATATGATTTTTAGCTTTTATTAGTACACTTATGTTACCCAGGGAAGCCTGGATCTCATGTCGGGGGTGGTGCTGCTGCTGTGTGCAATTACATTTGAGTAAATTGGAGGTGTATTTTCAGCATTGGGATATTTTCGGCCAGTACGATTTATGATGTATGAAGAGTGGAAGGACTGTCTACCCCCAAGCGTTCGTGTCCAGCTCACCCGCAGCTTCTTGTCGCGGAAGAGCAGCTTGCGCCCAGTCTCGCTGAGCTCCAGCCAGTCGACCTTAGTGTCGTGATTCAGACTGCCCAGAGCACACCCTGACACCAGGTCGACTGCACACGTACCGTGCGCGCACATACACAGAATTAATTGCACGTATGTATGTTGAACTTCTTTTGCACCGTACGTAGGCAAACATGCTAATAGGAGGTGCGGGGGAAGGACAACAAATTGAACACAAACCAGTTCTAAAGAAATGAGTTTTCAATCTAGATTCAATAGTACATAGCTCCAGTGGTTTCCTCATATCGGAAGAGCGTTCCAGACATCAGAATCAGAATATTCTTGGTTCTTTTGGTAAAGTCACGTAGATAGTAAATAAAAATAATAAAATATTATTTTCAATTTATTTTACATTTTATTTTATTATTTTCTATCTACGTGACTTTACCGTAAGAACCAAGAATATTAATTCCTGCAGTCACGAAAGTTAAGTTAAAAATTTTAATCAAAATATTTATTTACACTGGAGGAATACAATGAGCTATAAAGGTCTTTTTCACAGATGTCTAGTATATATATAGTTAAGTACAGTACATACACAGTTACATAGACACATTTACACACACACATAACAGGTGAGTGAAAAATAATTAGCAAGTTTTTTTAACAGGAAAGGTCTTGCTGTTTCTGCCAAATGGCCTTCTTTGGAAAATATTAAGGTTTACAGAAATAATTTTAGATCAGATACACGTGTCAATCGACACCCTGGACACACTTGCAAATTAGATGTTCCATCTCAAGGGATTTTAAGAAAAGGAAAATACAAGACATATGTAAACACACATATATATACGTACACACACAGTAATGCACACACACACACAGTTAAAAACGTAAAAGAACAAAGATGAATATGAAAGGTCTCACCTATGGCGATGGTTTTCAAGTCAACGAGGTAAGCCAGCTTCTTATTGTTCTCCACCCCTCGCTGCTTCCGCTCGTTCAAACGCACGCTGTGGAGGTACAGCAAAAAGCCAGTCCCGATCGCAACACATGCTGGGCCTCTTTACATTGTCCTACCATCTGGATTTAAATAGTTTACTTCATCGCCAGCCTCTGAGTGCCACCCCAATGTCTGTCTCATTAACCCCTTTCCCATTCCGATGACGTACACATACGTACATGTACATCATTGGAATGGAATTAGAATAAAAACTTAAATAAAACAACTTTATTGGTATCTAGGCTCCCACAAGGCCATGCGGGAGAGCGTGTGGCACAGTTTGGCGCCAGCTATCATAAAGTATGGTCGTGTCGCTACAGTTATGTGCGGTGAGTACAATGTCTTTAAAAACAATGGCGCTATGCCTCTCTAAATAAAGTTAACGCTAAACTGCTTGCGCGTTCCGAGATTCAGCGGTGAATGGGACCCCACCCTGCAACTTGCAGTCATCTTGGAACAGGAAAGGGTGAACTTGCCGTCCTCCAGCCTGGACACGTCGTCATCCCACCCATCACAACCTCTTTTTCTTGATTACATCTACAATTATTTCTTGTCATGTTCCATTCCAAACTTTAAAATTAATTATCCGATCCTGCCATGTAATTCCTAGCATCCTCCACATGCACCTATGCAAAAGAACAGAATCTCCTTTCCCATGATGATGTTGGCGAGATGGATGGCAAAAGGAAACAACAGTGATGATGTTTGCGACAAAGAGATGGATGCGAGGCCTCACCTAATGAGGTGTGGGTTCATAAACTCTGTGCGTACAGAGCCCAGGACTTCATTGCTTCCATACTCCACAAGGGTCAGCTCACCGGCATTAAACACCATACACACCTGCATTGGCCACACACACACCGACCGTTAACACCACACACACACCTGCATTGACCACACATGCACCTACCGTTAACACCATACACACCTGCATTGACCACATACACACCTACCGTTAACACCATACACACCTGAATTGACCACACACACACACCTACCGTTAACACCATACACACCTGCATCGACCACACACACACCTACCGTTAACACCACACACACACATGCACTGACCACACACGCACATCTAAATTTGAACATCAAACACACTTGCAATGAACACCATAAGTATGTACACTGAACAACATGCCCATAAAAGTATGCATAATGCATTACACTACGGGCCTCTCTTTTTACTTACATTTTCATTTTCAAAGAAAAACTTTTCATTTCCACCGGAGCCCTGCCACGCAATCTAGGAATGAATAAGAAAACACCAGGAACAAAATCACACGCTGTCTCAGCCGATTGTGGATAATGCAAAATTATTACACCATTTTTTTATCGCCACAATAATGGAACATTGAAGTCCATCGACGAACGAGCAATCCGGATCGACGTCCTCCGGTAGCATTTGCTTAAAAAAGACGGGCACGAATGAGACCCAGAGACTTAGGGAGGAGACTCCGTTCGCCACCGTCCTGATGTTTGATCTTCCACCCCAAAGCCAGCAGCCCACGCACCTCGCTGAGGCGGTTCGTGGAGAGGTCGCCCAGCAGCAAAGTGTCAGACGTGTGCGCCACCAGGTAACGATCCTTGCCCATAATCTTCACTTCCTCCACCTCGTAGCCCAGGTGAGACTTGAGGACGGCGCGTGTGCCTGTGGACAGGTTCTTGACGATCACCTGGTGTCGGTAGATACAAACTCGCTGTTACAGGCCGCATGCATGGACTCACCGTCACTGCACAAACTATTAGACCATTTAGCAGCTCGCAATCATCACAATACACAATTGTGTTTTGTTCCTAAGAATACAAACATATGGCTATTATATTGGAGGTACAGATGAGTAGTCATAAGTAGATATTGTGACGGCAAGATGTTGTGACATCCCTCCCCCATATGCCTGCGAGCACACCGCTAGATTATCACGTGGTCCACTGGATATATAGATTAAGAACTCTGCTGTAAACCACAATTGGTTGAGAAATTATCATTTTATTCCATGCGCTCTGCTAATAATTATTATTATGATTAATTATTAGCAGAGCGCATGGGGTAAAAGTATTATAATCAGTTTACGGGAAGGAATGAAGAGCACCTCTTACCTGGCTCAGACCGACGTACGTCATCTCAAATTTGTTCTTGTAGATGGAGCGTCGCAGGCAGCAGTCAAAGAGCTCCACTCCCCCACACAGCGTGCCCTGCCCAGGATGCACATCAAAGATGGCTATGAGGATGCCATCACACAAAAGATGAAGAATGTGTGGCACAACAGAGCTCCATTCTGCTGCTGGTACTGACATGTACACATTGTAAACATAACGTTAATTGTTTTCGAGTCTGTCAACCAACTGGCCTTCTGGGCTAATGTAATCCAGCAGAATTCGTTTAAGCAAAAAAACTCTGGACTGGTTTCAACCTTGTTGGTCTCATGAGCGCATGGGAGGTGATTAGCAAGAGCACTCTATCTTAATAATTAGGCCCTGTTCAGCTAAAAATAAACATATTTATAAAAACTAATTGTGTAACTTTGTAGATCATTTTGGGGGCACTGAAACACCATCATCATCAGCAACGCTCAGTCCACGGCTGCATGAAGGTCTCCCCGAGGCTGTTTAATATATGCTGCGATATGAATCCCCTGTGCAGGTTCCCCCCCCCTCTGCTTGCACCACGCGGCATCGTGCTTGAGCAATGCATACCGCGCACAAACGAGAGCCGTCTTTCTTCCAGGCGAGTGCCGTCACCGTGTACATGTTCTGGATCTCCTTGGGCTTGGCCTCGTCCCACGCTGATCGCCGCGGGCTCCAGTTGTACACGCGCAGTCTGCGAAGACAAACGGCGTGCACACACACTCTGGGTGATGGACTCGCTCACATTTTTTCATCCTCGCAGCAGTTGCTTTTGGCTAGCCATCAAACAAAGATGGTCACTGCACTGCGCGCTTTCAGATGCTGTTTCTTCAAATATTAGGAAGCCACTAGAGCTGTGCACTTTAAAATCTACATTGAAAACTAATTTCTTTAGAACCGATTTTGTGTTTCATTTTTTGTCCTTCCCCCGCAACTCAGATTCGCATGGTTGGCTACGTACGGTGTGAGAGAGGTTCAACATACGTACAATGAGTTGAGAGCTCACCGGTCATAGCTGCCAATGACCACGGACTGGGTGCTGGGACTGGCGGCCGCCACCGTGAGCTCCCGCTCCGTGGGGTCGCGGCTGTAGTCGAACGTCTGCAGCGTCTGGCCCTCTCGCCCATACGCTACCACACGCCGGTCGCAGCCCCCCGCCAGCGGGCCACTTGCGCCCCACGCCAGCGCATACGGGGGGCAGCTGTGCGTCGCAATCTTGCCCTGTGCGCCACGGCAATACGTGTCACCTCAAATTCCGCTCACGTACGTTAAACACGTGGTGGGGGGGGGGGGGGGGGGTTTGTAAGTAACACAGACCTGGGACTCTCCGGAACCCTCATCATCAAAGAAGTAACGCACGATGGTGCCGTCAGCATGCCCAGACAGGATTCCTTTACCTGACGAGCTGAAAAACAAATCACAATCACTTATATGGCCTGTTGCAACCACTGAGATTCACACTACTGTTGAAATTTACACTTTTATTCAGATTTACACTTCCGTTACATTACAACGCATGCGAGCAATGGCACCGACTTCATTCTGCGTTGCTTACTTTGCGGTCAGGGACACGACGTAGGAATCTGCTCCGTAGATGGTGGAGGATTTGTTTGTCTTGACATTGGCTAGGCGCACCTGTGAGCAATGAAATGCACGAATCACCGCGTGGAACTCCCAAGTTGCACGTTAAATAGTGTCGGAGTGTAAAGGGACGGTTGAGAATGTGCTGCACATGACTACATAATATTATCCTAAAAAGTGAAATCAATAAAACATTTACGCACACACGTCAAAGGGGTAGGGAGGCATTTCGATATACAAACATTTTGTGCACACAAATTATACATAGTCGCGAACATGCATATTAATTATGACTTCAAAAGGCAATTCCATTGATATGTTAGAGAAGATTCTCCTATGAGTGGAATGAATGTTGTACAAAATATTGTATAATTTTGCAAAAGGAAACCATCATATGATCTAATTTGTCATCAAGTACGGTTTAGTTGACAATAAGTAGATTAAGTGGATAAAGTGAGTGCATCATTAATTTAATTGTGCAGCGATCTGTGGGGAAACTATACAAGAATAAAAGTGGATTATTCAGTGTTAGGGGCAGGACGTCTCCCTGTGCATCGACTGACAAGTTTGGGACTGGTGTTGATGCCCAACTGTCCTGCATGGCATTACTGTTGACAAAGTGAACCCAAAGCACGACCGGAAGCCTTTACCTTTCCTTCAGCGAGGCCAAACACAATGGCATGTTCCATGGGCCATATGAGAGCAGTGACAGCGCTCTGCAATAAAAACATTCCGCAACCATCAGCCAATGCCCTGCATGCAGCGGTGACCTAGTGGGTAGCGTACTGTTACTATGAAACAGGTGAGGCTGGGTTTTATTTCCAGCCACGGTTAAAATCAGCAGCGAGTGATATACAAACCAGTGCTGGGCCCTCCCCGCCTTCACCAACCCACACTGACCCAGCTTAGTGAAAAACGGTCAAACAAACACCATGACAAACACTGTGTGGGGAGGTCCTCATTTAGCAGAGAATTGACAAAGAGGTGCAAATTGTCCAATCAGAGAGCAAAAGACATGACATTGAGCAAAGCACACGCACACGAGGACTTACGGTTTGAACGAATTTGTTGCAAATCACTTTCTTATCTCCCCTGCAAAAACGCAAAGATCAGATATTTTGGAATTAAACAATGTAAGATCACACTGGTTTACTGAACAAGAGAACATTCAGTATTGAATCATGAATCAGTTTTGTGGCACGGTAGCAAAGCATTTAGCTCACAATCGCAATGCTGCAAGGTCAAATTCCGGTCAGGTTTCAACTGAATCCATAATAATTTTCAGCATGATAAAATGAGGACAATTTTGGGAGAGGCAACAGTGGTTTTGCTATAGATTGACTGGCACCCGTCAGAATAATGTTGAATTTTACCACTGTTGCAGGACAATAGATAGAGTACCAACCCATCCTCATTTGTGCAAATATTTTTCTTAGCAAATGATCTCTTGGGAACCCAAACTAACCAAAGTCAAGCATGCCATGTGCGAGCTTCTAACGTTGTGCGTATAACACGAGGTGACAGCCCTCACCACTCCTCTCCAATCTTGTAAACAAAGATGATGTTGTCCGTCTGCCCAACGGCAATTTTTGTGGAATCCGGAGAGAACGCCATTCCTTTCACCATGTAACTTTTCTTGCCGTACTTTATTTGAAATAAACACACACAGTAAGACAAAGTAAAACATATTACAATGGAGACTCGTGGAGGTGTGGTACAGTGGTAACAGGCTATCTGGCTCAGCGGTAATGCGAGTGGCTCACAATTGGGAGGTTGAGAGTTAAACAAGTATAACCCGTAAAAACTAAGTTTTTCACTATAAATCCTTTATATGCGTAGCGGCTAGAGTCCTCTCGTCCTCTGGCTTGAGATGGCTGCCACCTATGGGTCAGATGATTGCATGGCAGCATTAAGCAATTGGTAATTAAATATATTTTTGTCCTAAAAAGTGTAAAATTTTGGAAAAAAAATTTCACAAACATTAATTGTCACGCACAACGAGTCTGTGTGGAAAATGTCAGCTCGATTGGATCACGGGAAGTGGGTTAAAAAACGACCGAAAGATTTACACGGTCGTAAGCAAGCAAGCGAACTTAATATAAAGGATTAAAAAAATACCGGCCAGGGGTTGATTCAGCCCACCATCCCACTGGGGTCAATAAATGCAGCACCACTTTGTGGTGAATCGGAAGGTTGCGAGTTAAAATACTGGTCGGTGGTCGACTCAGCAATCCTAGCAGGGTCGATAAAATAAGAACCGTACTACTTTGCGGAATAATGTAACAGTGGTTGTGCCATATGGATCGACTCGTCCCCACCTGAGGAATGTGCAATTTTCACCACTTGCTCAGGACTATAAACAGGCGGAAAAGCACCTTCTCAGTGATGATTTCATTTGAGAAGATCAATGTGACTCGGCGGTGTCATGGGCGGCACTGGGTATTTCAGGGGGGGGGGTGCGACTCTGGGGAGTGGGGGGGCGACACTTGGGAGTGGGGGGGCGACACGTGGGGGTGGGCTACACTGGGGGTGGGGGGGGGGGGGCGACACTTGGGGTTGGGGGGCCACTCGCTCTGTGGTTCCGCGTGCCTTGGCGTCGGTGGGTTTTGTAGAGAACTTGTCGCGCCGCTCTCCGCTCTCGTCGTACAGCAGCACCACGCGGTCCACCGTGCACACCGCCAGCTTGCCGTTGTTGGGCGCCCACGCCATGCACGTCACCTTGGCCGCACCGTTCTGGCAGCATCACCACCACCGGAGTAGCGTGGTCATTCGCCGTGTGTGCACTCGCGTATGTATGCGCTGGGCACATGCCCAGAGCAATGTTATTATCTTACACAGAGTACACAGAGCAATGTACTGCACTCAACTACACATATACAGCACAATTTATACATTGAAACATATTGGACCTACTCACAAACAGAACGATGTTTCTTCTTTCGTATGGATGATGTAGATGCAGAGCAACAACTACAATTTCACATCCACAGAACGATGAACCTACTAAACGCATGCACGGCAGCGGCAGCAGTATATGATGTCCAGAGCAATGTGTATTTCACACACACACTACTTTGCACAGTACTAAGATGCAAAGTCTCCATGGCGCGGATGTAATGCAGTACGCACACGGCACCTTGTAGCAAAGCTCATTTGCGCGACTTCAGTGGGCAGGTGAGGGGACAGCGAATGTCAACAGAGGAGAGTTTGAAACCCCGGGGGAGGCTGAGTGCATATCGATGGGCCCTGTGGTGCATGATTCTTTAAACAGTATACCATTTTTATTTTCACCAGGTAAGGCCCACTGTGCTATATCGCTCGTTATTAGAAGCAACCTGGCCACAAATGATAGCTCAACTAATTGGCTTAGGGGCCGTCCATAAATGACGTCACGCACCTAGGAGGGGGAGAGACATTTGTGACGATGTGTGACGATGGGGGGGGGGGGGGGGTTTGAGAAATATCACATCAAAATGCGCAACTTTAAATAAATATAGACAACACGTTCTACTTAATTAAATAGACTTTTTGATGTTTTCTCCTACAATCATCAGAGTGCAGCGCCACATTAAATACGCACTACAATGACAATAGTTTAAAGCGATTTAAAGCATTTTTATTTTGGGGGGGGGGGGGGCAGAGCATTGTGACGTCATATTTGAGGGGGGGGGGGGTCTGACTTTGTGACGTCGTGTGACGAGGGGGGGGGGTCAACAATCGTCCAAAATCGCGTGACGTCATTTATGGACGGCCCTTAAAAATATCACGTGGCGATGTATAGCAGCCAAATACTCTAAACGCGTGATGTTGATTCTAAATGTGGAGGGGAACCCCGGAGAAGATTACACGCGACCACGGGGAGATCGACACGCAAACTGCAAACGCACACGAGGCGTCAGGGTTGAGATCGAACCCATGACCTGCTGTACACCAGGCGAGGTAGTGAACATCTCCTAGCCGCCGTGGTTCTCTTGAGAAAGATGCCCTTGGAAGGGTCCGTGAGTAAACTGGATCTCCTTGGGAGTGCCTCTGGATGTGGTTCTCTGGGGGGTCCCTGGTGAGGGGGGACCCGTGGCGACGATTCCTGGGGCACGGTCCTTGGGGACATGGGTGTACAGAGCGGGTGCGTGGAGAATGATCCCTCGAGCAAGGAGGCCCCCCCCCGACCCCCCCGGACACGAGGCTGAGCCCCCCTCTCACCTGGGGACGAGTCTGAGCCCCCCTCTCACCTGGGCACGAGGCTGAGCCCCCCTCTCACCTGGGCACGAGGCTGAGCCCCCCTCTCACCTGGGCACGAGGCTGAGCCCCCCTCTCACCTGGGGCGTCAGCAGCGTCTTGAGATGCCGGAGCTGCATGGCTGCTCCTGGGGTGAATCTGGGGAGTCGGAACTCGTCTCGCTCCTCCTCCTGTCGCCTGGAAACTCTCCGCTGTCTCTTCTCCGCTCCTTCTGGAGCCTCTCTCGCCCCTCCTCGATCTCGCCCTTCACTCTCCCCGCAGCAGCAGCGGCAGAAGCAGCGGCAGAAGCAGCAGCGGTGGCGATTCCTGGGCCGAGGCTTCGTCTCCCGGTGACGTCACGACGCGTGCTCAGCGACGCGTTACCATGGCGACTGGTGACGTATGATGGGCCCCCCCTCCCTTCCCACCACATTCACCCTCTCTCGGTCACGTGACGCCCCCCACCCACATTCACCCTCTCTCGGTCACGTGATGCCCCCCACCCACATTCACCCTCTCTCGGTCACGTGACGCCCCCCCCCCCCACATTCACCCTCTCTCGGTCACGTGATGCCCCCCACCCACATTCACCCTCTCTCGGTCACGTGACGCCCCCCACCCACATTCACCCTCTCTCGGTCACGTGACGCCCCCCACCCACATTCACCCTCTCTCGGTCACGTGATGCCCCCCCACATTCACCCTCTCTCGGTCACGTGATGCCCCCCCACATTCACCCTCTCTCGGTCACGTGACGCCCCCCCCCACATTCACCCTCTCTCGGTCACGTGACGCCCCCCACCCACATTCACCCTCTCTCGGTCACGTGACGCCCCCCCACATTCACCCTCTCTCGGTCACGTGACGCCCCCCCCCCCACATTCACCCTCTCTCGGTCACGTGACGCCCCCCACCCACATTCACCCTCTCTCGGTCACGTGATGCCCCCCCACATTCACCCTCTCTCGGTCACGTGACGCCCCCCACCCACATTCACCCTCTCTCGGTCACGTGATGCCCCCCCACATTCACCCTCTCTCGGTCACGTGACGCCCCCCCCACATTCACCCTCTCTCGGTCACGTGATGCCCCCCCACATTCACCCTCTCTCGGTCACGTGACGCCCCCCACCCACATTCACCCTCTCTCGGTCACGTGACGCCCCCCCCCACATTCACCCTCTCTCGGTCACGTGGCGCCCCCCCACATTCACCCTCTCTCGGTCACGTGACGCCCCCCACCCACATTCACCCTCTCTCGGTCACGTGACGCCCCCCCCACATTCACCCTCTCTCGGTCACGTGACGCCCCCCCCCCCCACATTCACCCTCTCTCGGTCACGTGACGCCCCCCACCCACATTCACCCTCTCTCGGTCACGTGACGCCCCCCCCACATTCACCCTCTCTCGGTCACGTGACGCCCCCCCCCCACATTCACCCTCTCTCGGTCACGTGACGCCCCCCACCCACATTCACCCTCTCTCGGTCACGTGACGCCCCCCCCCACATCCTCCTCTATCGATCACGTGACGTCCCTATCACCACACCCGGTCAAGTGACCCCCGTCCCCCCACCACGTTACTCCTCTCTCAGTCACGTGACTCACCCCCCCCCCCTCTCACAGTCACGTGATCCCCCTTCTCCCTCCCCACCACATTCCCCCCCTCCCACGTGATGCCGCCACTACCACACCCCCCTTTCTCGGTCACGTGACATTCCCCCACCATCACGTGATCCCTCTTTCGGTCACGTGATGCACCCCCTCCCACCACATTCCCCACCACACCCCCCTCTCGGTCACGTGACACCTCGCCACCACACACCCCCCTCTCACGGTCACGTGACCCCCCCCACCAATACTCTCTCCCCGCCACGTGTTTTTGAGCTGCCAGTAGCGGCCGGCGTTCATCAGAGGGCGGTGGTGAGGCAATGTGTCTCAAAGCGGTGGGTGATGTTACATCCACGAGGAGACGGGGATGTATCTGAACTGTGAAGGCCGAGAGGAGTCGTGAAATTCGGAGATGGAGACGTCAGCTCGTGTGCCACGTGCGTCGTTACGTGGTAGAAATCGTGACAGCTGGCGACGGCTTTCATCCAGCAGTGGGTTGACCATGGCTGGTTATATGCACCCTGCAGATGCACTGCACCTACTGTGCCATCCTGTAGAGACTCTTTATCACATTCTTGGTTCTTTCGGTAAAGTCACGTAGAAGGGAAATAATAAAATAATATAAATCTAAAACAATATCAGGTGTGAAATCCACAGCAAGAAAATGTTCTTTATCACCTCAAAATATTTAATATGCGTATTTTTACGATCTTCGATGGAGAGGTGATGTGACTTTTTTTAAGTGCATTGAAAAATAAAATAAAAATCACGACATTTCGGAGGCAACACAAGCTTCTGTCTTCAGGTGGTACCGTCACAGCCACGACGGCTGTATCAAGTAAATGAGAGATTGTAGGAGCTACCACTCCATTTATATAATGGTTGAAGATGGTGGTGGGGCAAGGGCCGCATACTTTTATTAATATGTTTTTACCTACGTGACTTTACCGAAAAAACCTAAGAATATGAATCATTGCAGTCACGAAAGCTTCAAATCTAGAATAAAATAAAAGTTACCCGTGGAGATGCCGGGGATTGAACCCGGGGCCTCATACATGCAAAGCATGCGCTCTACCACTGAGCTACATCCCCGCACGTCTCCAACCCGCGCGTAGGGGCTCTTAACTCTACTACACCCACATCAAAGATCCCCCATGTAGCCTTAAACAGACTTCAGAATAAAGGGGTTTTTTTTAGTGGTGGGTATGTTCGCGTAAATATAAATGTGTCGTTCAACCCGCCGCCACGACACGGTACAGCCAATTTAGTGAGGTTTGTCACGTAAACAGAAGGTGCCAGTTAGATTATACAACATCAGCACACCGGTGGTGTGTTGGAGAGTAAACCCACATTTAGCATGAGTCGTGACGTTTCGCCAGCGAGTACAACAATCAGCTTCATCGGGCGATTTGCCAAGATTGTGAAGAAGACTGTTGGGTAAAGTGCTGTTAGCGAGTCGTCCTCATGAAGGTCGGAAGGTGATGGATGTTGGACTTCTTTCGCACCGCACGTAGCCAACTCTGCTAAACGAACTAAACACAAAAATCAGCCCCAAAGAAATTAGTTTTGAATCTTGATTTCAAAGGGGGGTGGGTGGAGAACACCACGCCCGGCCGCCTTTGTCTCCCCAGGGGCGATGTTTCCTACACACCGCACCAGGTACTCGATTGAGGCCGAGTCGACCTAGGGGAGGCCCAGAAAATCGTGAGCGGCAATCATCGTCACGTTGCTAATCTCTCACATTAACATGCCCATCTCTCACATTAACATGCAAATTCCTTCTCTAGCCCGCCCACTTTCCCTTGGGTTGAGCCCACCCAAATCCGATATGAACTAATTCTATATCAACTCTTGTTGGAGCAGCTGTTTATCCTATGTCAGCAGTTCTCCTGTTGTATCTGCTCCACCTGATAACGGTCGCTTGTGTTGCGATCGAAACGTCGTAGCTTTTTGTTTATTTTATATTTATTATTGAGATGACATGTGCATATGTATAAACCACTCGCTTTGCAAATCCCTCCCATCGCTTCAAGTCCCACATAAAAATTTCCCCGCGTGAACACGGCTCATCAATTGGCCGATAACGCCGTCACATATGGAGAGGACCGCAGAGCTTGGTGTGACGAACATTTGACGTCAGCTGCTCACCACGTGGTTGTTGTTGCTGCTTCCTTATTACAACCTTGCTCAATTTAAATAAATGGTGAACTCGTATTCAATGCAGCATAACTCTGTTAGTGCTGTTTGTTGCCGGACCGTTCAACGTCGTGGGTCATTGCTCAGCAACTCCAACTACTGTAGCTGCCGGTAGGATTTTCGGATTCAGTGTTTTAGACCGATGGGCTTATCAAACCCGACTAAACTGGCTCTGAGATTACTTACCAACCTGTGCAGTAGTCGGTGGGATTCATGCCGAGCCCCCACAAAGGCAGACGAAGGCGACCTTCTGGATTCCCCGGGTACGAGGTCGTAGACCGGAGTCCACAAATCGGACCGTACACACCGTATCGAGTAACACATTCCTCCTGCGGAGGGAGCTGGTAGGAACGTTGGGTTGCTCGGTCAATGGCCAGGGTCAACGGCGGCGTGGTGTATTCCGCAAATATGCCCGACTGTGAGGGCGGGCACAAGCCGGCGTGAGTAGGTTAAACGTTGAGTTTTATAAGGACACCACAAAGTGACTAGTCCCTCCCCACCCAGCCCCACCCCCCACCCCCTCCCCACCCAGCCCCACCCCCACCCAGCCCCTCCCCTCCCATCCCATTTTCGGATACAAGACAGACGGACGGACACAATAACCAGGAGGTTCCCACCAGTATAACGCATCTCGCTAGAACCGTGTGGCTCACTGGTCATAGTGCCCTCTGTTCTCTTAGACCTGGGAACATTTTACCACGTAGCAGCATTTCGCGACCACTATTTAGATTCGTAACGGATTTTTGTTGTTGCTGCGTGGATGGATCTCCCGGTTCTTGAATAAAGGTTCGAATTCTGAAGGTACCGACCGGTTCAAAGCAGGCACGTTTATTCACGTGGCAATTTTATGAATTCTCTGTCGGGTGGAGGAGGGTTTACGACACATTTTTAGTTAGGCATTCTGACCCAAAACTCAATTATTGACCTGGGAAATATTAAATTATTTGGTGATGCTGCTGCCTTGGCAGTGGTGTAAGAGTACACCAACAAAAAATACATTCGTCAATAAAACTGGTCTGGAAACGAAAAACAATGTATGCGACGTAACTGGCAATAAAAAAGCATTAATATATGCCCTGCGGAGGTATATTTTTTGACAACACAAGCGAGGGCAGGTACTGTGTTAATATTGCAATTCGCAGCGAGTCTTTCCTGCTCGGCAAGATGATAATTAACTGTTGTTCCCTCGCGTGGTAATTGCAGGGACAATTTACAAAAAACAGTACAAGTTTGTCCGATACATCACTAACAATACGACACTAATGTAGTCAATTACGTGCATTGGATGTCCAATGTTGTTTTCATTTTTGTTGTTGCTCAAGTTGTTTATTCTCGCGAAGATTTTTTGTGAGAAGGGAGATTGAACAACGGATAAAGGGGCATGCTGCCAAGCAAGTCCATTCAGTGAACCTCCATTTTGTTAAGGGCTTTGAACTGCGGTGCAAGGAAATGTGGCAAAGGAAATTCGCACAAGTCGTCGATACGAAGCGCAACTTTTACATGCATAAAACACGATTGTTGTTAAGCTATGTCAAATCTCACCCAAAAAAACAAGACCTGGGCTTTGGTTATGGGAGCTGTTCGCCAGGTTATGTAGCGATTGGGTTAAGGGAGTTATATGCTTCAAGACAATGCTCTGGGGTACAAGATAAACACTATTTACAGGGCATACAAAACATGTTGGTACACCGCTAGCTACAAAAGTTTATAATTATAAATGTTACCGCTTATTGCACAACTGGAATATAACATGACGCAGACTGCTGCACGTGGTTACCAAGCATCTTGCAATCAGGCTTCCAAACTCTTTGTAACATTCATTACAAGATGCGTTATCAACCTGGGAAACGCTCCACTGGAGTTGCCCCAGGGTTGTAATGTGTGAATGTGCGACTAGAGACATTGGTGTGGAGGCAAGGTTGGTAGATCACAGATTGAGGTTCCCAATTTAGCATAAATGGTCACATTGGCAGCACAGCACCTAAATTACCTATTTAAAGCTTTCGTGACTGCAGGGATTCATCTTTTTGGTTATTCCGGCCACAACGCAAGCAGTGTTGTGGCCGAAACGTCTTAAGAATTGTATTTTTTTTCCCTTTCTACGTGACTTTACCGAAAGAACCAAGAAGATAATCGACCTTCCTGTATGGATTTTGAGTGTTACGCCTTCGTATGCATGGGTCTTTTCCAGGTTCTCAAATTGGAAAACAGGCGTTCCTGCAGTGGGCATTATTTACCATGGGCAGATTATCCTGCACAGCATCAAAACACACATCCCCTGGATGGAGGCTAGCACACACACACACACACAAGTTCCCACTGCCAAATTATGCCTGAATGCTTGCCAACAGATGTGAAAATAGATCCGACCGATCAACTCGATCCCTCTGGGTATTATAACGAGGCTGTTTAGATTTTATATTTTCCTACAACCTAATCGACAAACGTTCATCAATCTCAGATGCCTGAAACAAAGCACCATCGAGTCTGGTTAGCACTTGCATGGGTGATCAATGGAGCCTGCCAGGTGTGGTCAGATGGGAGCCGTGGTGACCAATTGCTGGCAGGACAGCGTGACCCACCCCCTCGCAAGTTGGATCATCTTCAATTTCTCGAGTTCCGACATGAATCCAGAGAGCAATGTTCTTCGCCAATCGTCACGATAAAAGGACCCCCCCCCCTCCTTAAAGTGTCGAGACCGAGGCTTTTCTGGACAAAATGCGCTTTGTATCTCACACGGTGATAGAATGATTACCATCCCATTACCAGAGAACTTTACTAAGCCCACGACTGTTACATTTGCAGAGCTTTACTTGCAGAGCAAGCAAGCCTTCGAGCAAAACACAGATCTGGAGGCCGTGCCAGTCGCGCTCGAACTTTGGTACGTTGGCAAAATGTGCGTGTTACAAGTCGTCTTTATTCCTCGCACATCGGTCAGTGGTTTACTGCCAACACAAAGCGGCACCGAAATACCATTTTCCGCACAGAGGCAGGTGGAAATTCAACATTCCTACAGCAAAAGTCCAGCCACTGTTCGTGCAAGTGTCCCCAGGTAAAAAGTCATCAGCTTGTACACTGCAAATTTTTTTCACATTTTGCATCCTCCTGCGTCATCACAAGCATGGGCATTTAATGCATACCTTTATCGCACACCATACAAGTTACATGTGGTATACCTTTGCTATTTTATGTACCAGTTTATTTTAAACTTTGAAATCAGTTCCAAGACAGCAACACATTTATGACTAATATATTTTGATTTACACAAACTGTATACATACAGTATCTTGCAATAGCAGGCTGTGCGTGCAAAACGGTGCACAAAAAACTCAATACAAACCTGTTTGGGAGTTTTTTTTCCAGTGCAGACTGCTTTTACATACAGTATGGGTTTCATGCAACTTGTGTAATGAAGTACAAATTAACAAAATTAAAAGAGACAAAACGGCGTGCTTTGCTAAGTAGGATATTGTGTTTATTAAGGCTAACGTTTTCTAAGAGAAGAAAACCAACGCCACTGTTCTCCCCGGCCATGTTGTTTATCTGAGCGAGCGGCTCAGAGACCTTGGGGTTGAGAGGAGGGAGCCACTTTGGCAAGTCAACAATGATGCTGAAAAGCACGATGGTGTGTGTGTGTGGTTGGAGTTTCTGTCACCAAGGTCCAACAGTACGATTTCAAAAGTCTGAATCCAGTCTTTTTTTTAAAGTCATCGGCAAAACACGGTGAATGTAATTTTTTCACTCTTTTTTCTCCTTTTGACCATCTACGATTTTTTCCAAGAAGGGGTGTCCCTGCGTCAGTCCTCAAAACCCAAAAAAAATCAAAGATAAAATACATTAAATGAAAGACGGTTTCTTTCGATTACCAGCAAGCATTGAAGTAGCAAACTACAGTAAATCAGTCATTCAGCTTCATTCCTGGAGCATGTATTCTCTATTGTGGCCACACAAATGTATGCATAGTATCACTGCTTACACAAATCACAGCCGCAAAATGAGATTCAGATTACACATCACAAAAATAGCAAAAAACTACAATAGAGTTATTTTAAAAAATGGGTACGACATGGATATCAGGTCAGTCTCCAAAAACAAAATCAATGAAAGATTTTTTTAATCAACATTTTTGTGAACCATTCACGAGATTAATAGTCATAGTAATTAGGTATATACGACCATCTATACCGTTTATTTGCTACTACGCTTCAAAGGGACAGCGTTAAAGACAGAAGCGAGATACCACTGAACGCACAAGGAAGCAGCTGCTTTTTTTCCCCCTTCATCACCATCGTCGTCGTCATCATCTCTTGGTGCAGTGCTGCTATATTAGCAAAGCTTCACTTCTCCAAGCCTGCACAGTGTCAGCACAAGTTCCAGTGGCGCGTCGCCAAGCTCCGCACGCTATTTGGTACGGGTCTGACGTTCCTGAAACACAATTCGAGCGACAATATCAAAAAGCCGCCAAACTCATCGGAACGTCAAAGTCAGCAATCGATTGGCAAGGCTCACCCACGTAGTACGCATACAACAAATTACATTTATGTGTTCATAATAACAAAACACCTCTGAGCAAAGAGACGATTAAAAAAAGTGTTTGTGGAATCATTGCATCCAATGTCCATCCACAGTTAGCGTATTCATTTATGTAGTTATTGGTTTTACAACCTGTATTAAATAGATACCACTTAACAAAATAAATCCTTGCGTGCGATTGTAGTGGTGCATAATAAATCCAACACCTTCGGAGGTGAGATTGGTGGCACACGGATAAATTATTGTGGGGGAGATCATTATAATGAAGGTCGCCTGGAGAAAGTAGCAAGTAAATCGTTTATAGACGTGGGTGGATTGTTTAGTCATCCCCTTGTATGCAAGATATTTCCACTCGGTACTGTCATCACACATGCAAACCCATGAAATAATGTAATTTTATATAATATTACTGCAGGACCTTCCCGATGGCCCTACCGTAGAAGCGAGTCTTCCCTGAGTGAATAACAGATTACAAAAGGGATGATGTAAGTCCATGTGTCGACAGAGCAATGAGTAACCTTGCTGAAATATTTTTTGTACATTGTTCCCTTTAAGTGGACTGCACATGGTCCAGTGTTGATGCTTTCATCCCTCTAAACCACTCATTTCACGGAACACATCTCTTCCATATCAACAGAAAAGAGCTTTCCCCTTAAGAGACGTATTTCCGTGCAAACAGCTTGAAAGCACTGGCAATGAGGCCAGGCGAGTGGTGGGTTTTCTCCAGAATTGTATGAGTTCTCAATATTTATTTTCATACATCTCTGGTTTTTGCCATTCAATTAACACATACATACACACACACGAGATTAATTCAAACGCTTGTGTAAAAAAAACACTAGTTAGCCTACTGCTATTAAAGTCAATACTTAACATTACATACCATTAAATCAATTATCCAGAATTATAATCAGGATTTCTTCTCTAGAGAAACTTATCGCTCCTGTCGCATATCTGCTTTAAAAACACAAAACGCACGTTACAAGCATCTTTCGGCACGCGCTAGGAACACTCGCCATTCACGCGAGGGCACCATACTAACCTTCTTGAGGTTATCCTCCTCCTCTTGGCGCTTCTCGTAGTGGCCAAAGTCGTCGAAGATGGAGGTGGTGTGCTTGTACGCGGCAATGATCTTCAGCACCTGCTTGGCCTTCTCGAGCGGCACCTCCTGTGTGTCGCGCGAGTTGGTCACCGGCTTGTTCTCGTTGTTCTCCAGCCGGATGTGGCGCAGCTGGGCATTGGGCACGTCCTTCACATAGATCCACTTCACCTCGAATTTGCCCTTCCACTTGTCCTGCGACCACACGCCGGCACACGTCTGGTAGTCCACTGGCGACATCATTTCGGCCACACCGCAGAAGTGTCCGCTCCCGTTGACGCTGAACAGCAGGTAGATGGGCCCTTTGCTCTGCAAGGAGCGGTAAGCAGAATCAAGTCGCTTGTTGCCATGCTCCGTGCTGCACCAGATAGAGTACTTGATAGAGCGGTGGATATCGTCCTCCGAGTAGCTCTTAATGATAAACACGCGCGCATTCTTGGGGCTGCAGTCAAAGTCACGGGGGTTGTAGCTGTTCATGGACTTGAGTTTCTCCAGCACCGGGTGCACCTCTTGGCCCAGGCCCGGCTGCGCCACGCTGATGGGAATCAGGCCCGGCACGTTCACCGTGGGGGGGCCGTCCCCAGTCCTGTTGCGCGGCGCCACCCAGCGGTTCTGCAGTGGCTGCTGCAGATGCTGCGGATGCTGCTGCGGATGCTGCTGCTGCTGATGATGATGATGCTGCTGCTGTGGCGACTGCGAGGGCAGCAAGTGCTGCTGCTGTGGCGGCGGCCCCACGTGGCCATACGCCATCTGGAAGGTCTGCTGCTGGCCCGGCATGGGAGGCTGCACCATGGGCTGCTGCTGCATCTGCTGGGGTGGAGATGGCTGAGGTGGCGGTGCAGCCATGTGAAGTGGCACGTGCTGCACCTGATGCTGTTGTTGTTGCTGTTGTTGCAGCTGCTGTTGCAGCTGCTGCTGCTGTTGTTGCAGCTGCTGCTGCAACTGCTGGTGTTGGTGCTGGTGCGGTGGAGATGCCTTGCTCTGGGGCGCTTTATTATCCCAGGTGCCGATGTCCATGTTGTGTTTGATGGGCGGTGGCGGCAAAGCGGCTGCAACCGGGACCACGTTGGCAGAACCAGGCCCCGATTTGGGCTTGAGCTTGGGCTGGGGCTTTGCCGGCTTGCTGGCAATGGCCGCCCAGGACGTGGGCTTGGGCTGCGACACGGGCGGCTGCGGGGTCGCTGTGGCCTGCACAGGCATTCCACCCCCCACAGCGACACCGCTGCCAACAACTGGGCTGCCCACGGCGGCGTGCGCCGGTTTGGCCAGTTCGGCGGGGGCACCGACAACGCCGACGCCGCAGCCAATCTTGAGTCCGGTCATACCCTGCTCGATGCTGTTGATCATGGGTGGAGGCACCAGCTTGTTGCCCAGCGCGTCACCGTGGAAGCCTCCCGAGCCGTCCATGAGGGGAGCAGAGCCGGGCGCCGGCGGGTAGCCGTAGCTGCTGCTGTACGGGGAGCTTTGCGACTGCGCCGGCTGGGAGGTGCTGGTAGCCCAGGCGGAGAAGTCCACGCCGCTGCTGGGGAAGAAGCTGAAGGCGCCGTGCTGGCTCAAGTAAGGGGGGGTGCTACCCAGCCCACCTGGCTGCCCGAACATCGTGTCCGGCAAGAAGTGGTGCTCCCCGTTACTCAGCTGTCCGTAGGTGGGGAGGTACGGCATGGGGGGATCCCCGCCCGTTGACCAGGGCGCCTCGCTTAGAGAGTACGACGGGAATCCCATTGAGGGACCGTAGTAGCTGGGCATGTAGGACTCGGACATCCGGGGGTAGCTGTTACCCTGTGGGATTCAACGTGCAGGAAGCAAGAGTGAATGCCAGTGGCAACACACACACATTGTTTTAATAAGCAGGATGTTTGTTGTAATGGTTACAATTTACATATGGATATAAAAATCTGGCTGGGCAGCAGTGTTTGGGTTCCAAGTTCAAATCTCGACCATTGGTGAATTCGGCCATTAGTTTTTCCACGGCTGATGCACAACTCAAAGCACGCATAACAAGCATAAAAACAATAAAATAGCCATTTTAATAAACCAAGTACATGCCTAGCAACCACGAACTTTATTCTGCCGCACTGGCTCACGTCACCACACTTCCGGATTACCATTATGGACCACACCCACCTCACGAACCTGAGAGCTCCACTTGTTGCGAAATTCTGACGTGGAACTCCTGAAGCTACGGCCAAACGTGACTAAAGCAACCAGACCAATCCGTGTCACTGCCGTGACGCAACACATCCCCCTCTGGCGATTAAAACTGCAAACTGTTAACAAGGCAAGCAGGCATTCAAGAACTTGCAATGTGTGTCACCAATTAAAATGTATTCCCAAGCTCGTGATGCACACATGGAACAATGTGCGAATAGATGAATGGGGATTTGTCACTTTAAATTGAAAAATGTCCTTTTGATAATCTTAAGAATGACCAAGGCTATAATGAGACAAAACCATGCGAGTGGAAATTAGATGGTAAGAAACAGTAACAAATACAGAGTGAGGAGCAAGGTAGCGCCAGACAATACAAATGACACATTATAGAAGAAACACAATGACTATGTAAAAAACATTGCAAAGGAGACAAATGAAATCATGCAAAAACAGAAAAATAACCGTGTATAGAATTGTGCTGAAAGATGCAAATTTTAATTAATATGATTTAGGCTCACGATATATACATCAAATCACATGTGTAAGAATCTATGTCTCCATTCATGTTGTATGTAATGGGTTCATGTAAACCCGATATCCACTACAATTCAGCAAAAAAAATTACGTATATTTGAACAACAAAAATTGCCGACTAAATGAAACATTTAACTTCCACCGGTAGGCATACGTAACCAGCCTTCCCACGGCATGCATTGATCACAAAATCAAACATGTACTCCAAAATTAATAAATATCACAGGTAATTATTATATTTGGAAACCTGAATTCGTTCGGGGCAGCAGTGTTAAATGCATATGTAGGACATGGGGTTCAGAACACGAAGTATTATTGCTGACAGAATTCAATGTTAACCGTGACATTAAAACTATGACCGCACTTATTAAAATTCTTACATCAGTGCTTGGGTAAATATTAGAGAAACATATTTTTTCCGATTGACTTCTAAACTGCGAAATACATTTATTTTTTAAGTTTATTTCTGGAGATGTACTGTGGTGCCCGAAAACATTAAACGAAAAGTGCACATTAACACTGCCTAACAGAACATTTGCACTCAACTAATGTTGTGGGCAATGAATGACCGACTTGCGGATGGAAACTGCATCTTACACTGGACTACAATGTAACCCATTAATATTGTATTACCTACGATTTAGCAAAAACAAACATCCAGTTAAGACGTATGTATTTAGCCAACACCAGTTCGGAATGTGACACGGGACATGCATGATTGAAGGAGCTTACAATTAACTTCATGTCACTTTTTGAAAGGCGTTTTGGTTTTTAAGTGCACTACCTCGAGGTATTTAACTCATTTTGACCTTGTGACCACGTGGTCACGTGTAGCATTAGGTCAGACAATACATTTACATCGACCAATACAATTCGAAGAAAACTACATTCGGGTTAAATTCAGGCTAATCGGGGTTAAAGTGGGTTCAATAAAAATCCACCAGTAGTCACAGGGACAGCATACACCCACAACAGCAGCCGCTACTACTAATTCAGTCACCCAGCTAGTGCCTGTAGACAGACAGGGCGTAACGTTAGTGTAAGACTAAAAGAACACCAGAGAAATATTAAACTATCACAAACACAACTGTCGGCAAGTGGCAAAACATGCATACCAACAGGGACACTCAATTGATTTTGACAACGTTGAAGTGTTGTGTAAAACTAGTTAATACTGGCAAAGACTAATTAGAGAATCGATTGAAATTGAGAGAAACAGAAATAACTTTAATCGCTCAGACAGCTACAGGCTTAGTGCGGCCTGGAAGCGTATTATTAAATAAGATACATTACAATTCCTTATAAGGGAAACAAACACTAACTGATTACTAATGTAGCATAATCACAATAAAACACATTCCAAATTATTACTAATCTACAACTCGCATCGTAACAATAGCCTGATTACTAATCTAGTATATAATTACAATCACTCCCCCCTTGAATCTTTGCACCTGATGAGTTAATGATGACGTCACCTTGCTGCTGCTCTATATAAGAACGGGAGACACAGCAGAGCCTCACCATTCTGGCGAATTGCCCGATGATGCTGGATGCAATTACCAGCGAAACGTCGTACTCAAATTGTAAATGTTGTGGCTTGAACACACCGGTGGGCTAAAGCAGTGAACTATGTCTTTTGTCAACGTGACACTTTTTTACTGATTGGCCGTGTCGGGTGGTGGAGGGTTACGACACATTTATAAATAACGCGATCTAAACCCAAAAACGTTGATTATGAATAACATTGGTTGCGAAAGCCTACGTGTTAAACTGCCTGTATTATTACCATACTTGTTTATCCAGGAAAGCTTCAGAGGTCTCATGACTTTTTCAAGAGGGCACTGCCAAGCTTTTTACCGCAGTAGTGATGGCGATTGCTATGCCCATTCCAATCGAGTACAACCTATTTATTCTTGCTAATTACATCACGGAGGTCTTTAACGTCCACTGTTAAACAGGTGGGCGGGTATTTGTGGTCATTACTGTTCCTAGGCCATGTCATTCGTACCACTAGGCCATGTTGCTAATAAATATTCGGTCTTCACGTACGCATGTATCTTCTTCACAACAAAATACAAAGGTCATCCATAATGGTTACAGTACAAGCTGCGGGAAAATGGCACATACCTCAAGTGCCATCGTGACAATGAAAACACAAATTCCTCAGGCTTCACATGACAGGCAGATATGTGGCACAGTCACTCACCGCCAAAGTGTGAAGCTGCACTGCACTTGGAAGGCAACCCAGTAAACAGCCATAATATTCTAAACACACATCGACTGTCCTTACCAGGCGATTACAGTTTTGTTAGGTCTGAAAATACTTTTGTTACTGCGAATTCTGCATATTACCAAAAGATTCTCACTTGTAGAAACTTTAAAGTTATTTGATAATTAACAAGAGCTCAAAAACTGTGCACAAATCACAAAAACGGCTACTGGTTCGGAAACAAAAATTGTGTTTTTGGACTTATATCAGGACTTTGTTGAATGACACGCGTTCTGGAAAACATCACCATGAATATGGACCAAGTTAAAACAATAAACACGAAGATTCCTTGACAATAATGAGATTACTAAAAATGTAACCGTTTGCATTTATACGCATGCATAACAAACGTACACGTCTTTGTATAGGCCGTGACGTACTACTGCTAGTGTTCCGTTATCTACATGGTACGTAATCAGAACCATAAACGAATGGGTTAAAACAGCAATATGTCCCTGGTGCCAATTTAACATTCCACGGATTCATATCTCCATGGATTTTTACTAAGAAGACAGGAGACCTCAGTGATGAATGATGGGGTTGAACAGTCAAGAGGTAGAAGCCATTTGGAAACACAATGGGCTTTAAAAAGATTGGCTGCACGTAAGTGCGTCATAGGTATGGAATAGGGGGTGTAACGATTCACGCACCAGCGATTTAAATAACCGTCGCAGTTCGCTCTGAGAATAAATTATATTTCTTACTTTGGGGCGATTTTTGGCAAATCACGGTTAGATGCATAGTGAGCTCTAAAAATCATCATGCATGCATAACTACACTTATAGCAAGTACCAATTCACCTCACTCTACAATTCCATTGTCCTCTCTGGGAACAAGATTCAATTAATTATTTTTCATACCGTTACAGCACAAGTAAAACATACAACGCTAACACACTACGATGGCATAACATGCATTACCACATGAACCGGAAATAATAATTTCTTGCACGTACGGTTCAACGCATGCTACGAGCCGAACAAATACATTTTAAATAGTTGGATCTCTCAATCATTACATCCTGGGCATCTTACACCACATCATGGGATGGTACAATTTAAATCCCCATAAAGTGACACATTGTTGGATAAGCTAAACCGACAGGTTTCAGCACATCCCCATGCACCACAAGCAGCAGTTAATTTAATGTACTTAACCCTTTGGCAGAGAATGTAGAAAATGCATTGAAGCACAAGCTAGAGAGCTTCCTCAATAATTGTTACCAATACCTTCTAAACGATCGCATTGTTTTCAGCCAAATAACTGTAAACGATGCATTACACACCCTTAAGCAATTGCACAAGTATGAACACATAACAATTTAAGGTTAGATACAACCAACCAAAGAAAACGGAGCAAAATTGCTAAATGTTAACAGGCACAGAAGCTACCAAAGTAATGATTCTGCAATCTTATTAAGTTACTGATAAACACTTCCTGTATTAGTGCTATTTATACCCACCCAGAACTCAGAATGATGTGATGCTGCAGTAGCTTGAGCAATATTCGAATTGCACACGAACATCCATTAATGCGCCTCACTTTAAACAGAGAATTAAAATAGATAAGCAGTACCGTGTGCATACTCACGCAATTTTTTGTCAAATCAATAACCTAGGCATGCCAGCAGGCAAAGACAATTTGGATTTTGCATGTTATCCCCGTGGTAGCATACTTTTTTTCTCCAGGTGCTCTGGGTTTTCCCTTCCACATTTATTAACATGCGTCTAGATTATTTATATTATTTTGCTGCCATAAATTTCCACACAAGCCACTTCGTTGAGCAATCATTTGTGGTCACTTCTGAAAAAGCTAATAGCTCAGTGGGCTTTACCTGGTAAGATAAAAATTTTATGTTTATTGCATATTTCTTTTAGGTGATTTGTTTACCTTCCCGATACTTTGCACTCCTATTGTGATTTTGTATTGCTTGTTGTAACGTTCTAACCTGCCCCTACTGGACATTCGTGAAAAAGCTTGAAAGCTCGTTAGATTCCTCCAGCATAAAGTCCGAATTCTGATTTGTGGACACCCCTCACACACGCTGTCTCCAGATACTCGGCTTTCCTCCCAATTGAAGCAAAACACTACTTATAAAAAAGGCCAAACAATCCTAAAAGATAATCCTGCTGAAAAACGTGCGAGGCTTTCCCGAATGCCTCACATTAACAGTATTAAAAGATCAGCCCTTGTAAATATGCACCAATGCTATATGTCCCTGGAAGTCGAACTATCGAGTTTGTCAATTAATTATAGTTGCATATAAATCGACGGTGGATGTTGCAATGATACAATATAATTTCTCGCTCGGACTTTAAATGCCAAGTTCATCAACATCCATTTAAAATGTGATGTACGAATATGAATAAAGATGTACGAGGTATTTGCATTTTTCTACGGGTTTAAAGACATTCATAACTAAAAAGCCGCCATTAAGCGTGACAGACGACTAGGGGAAAGTGCTGTTAGCGAGCACATATTAAAGATAGACAACACCAGTTAGGAGTGTTATTGTTGGCACCACACGCGGCTGGTTTTGTTTTCCAGCTGCTGATGTTAATAGCTCTAAGATACCAACTCGGGTCACCAAATTCACCACTGCGACACCACTCCCCCTTCCCGTGTGAAGCACAGCCTACAGAGTTACACTGCAGTAAAGTCACTTAAAAACACACTAAAGCAGTACTCCTACAATTCCTTTTTAAGTATGTTTTTTTTCTCACTAGCAAAGCTTCAAACGACAGTCCTAGGTGGGTATGCGCAAGAGCTGTTTGTTTTTTTAGTTGCATTCTTCAAATAAACGCAGTGTTTAACCACACGGATACAGATCATTGCTGCAACACACGACTGTAAACCAATGTCACCTCCCATTGGTTGATGCATGTTTGGCACCATGGCGCCAACTGCTGCCAAAAACACATTACTTTTAAACATGTTCAAAATAATATGGAGCGTCAAATAGCCTCACCGAAGGGTCCTGCATTGAGATGAATGGCCAATTTACATTTAAAAAATGTGCTTTTTGCATGTGTGCGAGGAATCCAGAGTATGCAAATAAAACCTATGCATACGAGGGGGGGACACTCAAATGTCTCAGGACGCCCATGCAAAAGACGCAACATTTAATGAGTCTCAACGGGTGTATTCCATATCCCGGTTAAATAAAGCATACGATGGATAGATTTAACTCACTTGCTCCGTCACCTTCTGGTCACCTTCACACCAAGCAAGGTTTGAGATTCACAAATCTATGATCCACCAATTATTGCCTACAAAGCTTTGGAACCACTGGTTGAAACAACCAGGCCTGGGCTTGGTGTTACTCCTGATAGAATTTAGGCTCAAAAACACATTGTTGCAGATAAAACAACTTGAATTCCACAAGATATTGCTCATTACATGTAAAGCCAAAGATTAGCAAATACCCACCAATTAGTTGCATAATACATGGTTATTTTGCCTTCCATGTTGTACTACTTTAAATTACAAACTCAAACAACATGCAATGTATTTTATTAAAACTGGAATTTTTCTCGGTTTTAAGGTTTAACCAAGGTCAACAATGAAGAAATGGGGTCACATTATGATATACATTAGCTAAAATTAGTTTAGGAGATGGCTATGCTGCTGGCTGACATATCAAGTAAAGACACTTCACTCCTTATTAACAAGCGCCAATATTAGCTTAACATAGACCAGAACCACACACTGGTAGACTTAAAAAAAACACACAATCCAATAAACAACTCATTGCAGATACGTAAACGGGCTATGCAACTCAGGCTGTGCGACTCGAGGTTGTATGTATTATTGGCAAGAAAAAACACTTTTTAAAATTCAGGCATCTGCTCGGTTGGAGCACTCTATTGATGTCACTACATTGATGTTGCTGCATTGATGTTGCACGACGATATGGGAGGGAGATCTGTACAGTGCCATATTGAAATTATTGCCCAAATACAAGGTCCTTTTGCCTATCGTCAAGCTTAAGGCTTGCATCAGAAAACCTCGGACATGCACAGAGCCTGCCTGGGTGTTTTGCTACTCGTGAACAGCCATCCGTGTGTTTTTAGGTGGCATCTTCCTTTAAAATGGTGAAAAAAGTGGTGCAGTAGTCAGATGCTGCAAGCCCACCTGGTTGGTCTGGGTACCAAGGTAGGCGTCAAACTCGTCATCAGTCACCCCATCCTTTTGATGCACGGTTCCATTTTGAACTGCATGCACACAAGGGGGTGGGGGCGGACACACAGCAGGCGGGACACACATAAGACGAAAAAGAATGCACGAGACAAAGGGGGCGTGGTGGGGGTTCGACACGGGCACGTGTAGCATCCGGCAGGGTACACAAAAGTGTGGCTGGGCACGCGAGAAGGGTGCGGCCACATTGCCGGCAGCAAAGTAGAGCTCAGCTCTTTGGCCACGTCGCCACAGGCCTCAAAAACATTACCATCATGCGGCACAAACGCCCAAGGAGAAGTCCATTCTCAACAGCCATCACGTGCCAGTTACAAAATACTGTCCTTTCCCAGTTCACAACAGTTATAAGCAGCAAAGGAGAGCCAGGCTCCCGCCCCACTGCCTAAAGGCAATGAACGATATATCAAACATACAAGAGGGGGGAGGGGTAAAATAGAAGTGACGAGAGAATACAGGACTGTAAAGTCAGCCTGGTGCATGCTTGAGCTCTCACCTTTATTCCCTTGTCCTTTTGGTCTCTGGTGGGGAGTGGAATCCACGGTGCATGAAAGGTAGAGACAGACACAGTGATATCACAATTAGCACGCGGACAGCCAGACTGGGGAAAGTGGCATCTCGGCTCGTGTGGTTACTGGGCATTTGTGGGGACCTCAAAATTGGGTGGGTTGGTGCAGGGAGACCGGACTGGGCCTTGGTGTTGGGTGCTGGGTGTTTTGCAAGTGCTTGGTGGGTGGGTGAGTGCAGTGTGATACACGTGTTCTATTTGGAGGTTGCTTGGATATTGGCTGCGTGGCAGACGCAGTTAAATATGTGGTGAATGTTCTGTGCCGAGGGCTCCGAGTTGCGTTTTGACGGGATGCAGTCTCTTTAAACCAGGCCTTGGTGTAAGTGGCTGTATGTTGGCCGGTGTTGCTGGATATCACTGCCAAAGAGAGTTAAATGGGTGCAGTTCTTCACGTGGAAAGTGCTGGGTGTCAAATGTCAGATGTCTGCTTGTTTGTAGTATGGCAAGTGTGCTAACCATCGTAGGTTATTGAGTGGAGTGCACTGGGTGTATTTTACCTGCTGTAGTTGTATAGATATTAAAGTGCTAGGTGTGGTTACATGGATGCAGTGAGATGATTTTACTAAAGTAATTTTACCTAGTAGAGTTTGCTGGATGTTTTTTTCTGAGTGTCCATGTAACGTTATAAGTGTAGTTAATTGGTTACTCGAGTGTAGGCAATTGGTTATTCGAGTGTAGTGCAAGTAAGAGTGCACTTTACCACGTATAGTTTCCGGTCATTAGTTGCATTCTGCGGCCTGTAGTCGACTAATAATAATCAGCTCAAATCTCCGGGATGCTGGTTGTAGTTTAAGTATCGTAAACTAGTCAAGTTAAATTAACTTTTATATAACTATACACTATTATATTATTCCTATACACCATTAAATTGAGCTAGAGCTATGTATCGATAAACTATCTGTACCAGTAACGATAATTGGTTATTTCTTTTGTATTTGTAAGGATAGTTTACTGCCTGTGTACGCAGTTTGAGTTGTTTGTAGCCTCCAGGCTGTAGTTAACTGAATGTAACAAAATTAATAAAAATAAAATAAAATAAAGATCACTGTGACGGTCCCACCTGATGACGGAGACTTGTGTTGCCTCCGAAACGTCGTGATCTTTATTTTTATTAATTTTGATGTTTTACCTACGTGACTTTACCGAAAAAAACCTAAGAATATGAATCATAGCAGTCACGAAAGCTTCAAATTTAGAATGAATGTAACAAGTCCCCTACGTCTATTGGTGTTGCTGTAGTTAGCTGGTCGTTTATAATAAAGTACTGAACTTGTCGCGATTTAGAATCTCTTTCCCACTGGTAACAACTCAGGAGTTGCCGTGGACTTTGTGTGGTCGAGGCTTGTTTGTAGTTAACTGGTTGTAGTTAAATGAACGTACAATTCACCCTTAATCCCGCTGGGCACACTTTCCTGGTTTCAGCCAATTGTGGACATACTCTTTGGTTCTTTCGGTAAAGTCACGTAGGTATACAAATTGCACACAACTTGTCCGCCAATTGTCAGCCGGTCAAATCCGCCGTCGTTAATCGCAGCCGACTCCTCGGGGTCGTCCGATGAATCTGCTGCGGTAGTGATCGAAGCGAACCTCGGGGGGGGGGGGGGGGGTCCTGGGACTAGCGAGCCGGGGGGGTCCTGGGGCTAGAGAGCCGGGGGGGTCCTGGGGCTAGAGAGTCGGGGGGGTCCTGGGACTAGCGAGCCGGGGGGGTCCTGGGACTAGCGAGCCGGGGGGTTCCTGGGACTAGCGAGCCGGGGCCTTCTTACCTGCTCGATGCTGGGCGCGGACATCATCCCCGGCCACACCGGCCACTCGCCACCCACTCCTGTCTCCTCCTCGTCGTCGGCTCCCCACCTCGTCGTTCCTGCTTCTTAGAGTGTCACTCTCCTTCTGCTGCTGCTTCTTCTCCGCCACCGCCGCCCACACCACCTCCACCACCACCGCCGCCACCTCCTTCGCCTCCTCACAAATGGCGGCCGCCCTCGTCGCCGCCGTCGCCCGCCGCTCTTATTGGCGCGCGCGCAGTCCACGTGACCACCCCGCTTCCTCCCCCATCCCCCCCCCCATTCCGCCATCTTGGGTAGGGGGGGGCCCGCCTCGCGAGTCCCGCGCGGGGCGGGGCGGGGGCGGCCTCCCCGTGGCCTCTCCCCCCCCCGCCCCGAACCCCGCAGGGAGCCCCGGGGGGGGGGGGGGGACCCCACCTCCCCCCTCCCCCAACTCACCCAGCCCCGCCATGTTGGGTAGGGGAAGTCGGCGTCGCTTATAACGCCGCCGTCTGGCCGTTCGTGTTGTACTGTACTTGCCATGTCACTGAGCGGGAGTGTTGCATCGATTTGCACCGTACATTGATTCACACAAACTTATTCGATTCTTACTTTTTTTGGTTGTTTTCTCTTCACGTGACGCACGTAGAATCTTCTGTTTTTTTTAATTTGGAATGTTTTGAATGTCGCGTGGAGGGGCAGATACTTGAAGGAGATATGGTGTGGCCTATTTTTTGTATGACTTGTATTCTACGTAACGACGTTATTGCTTATAATGTGTAACAATAATACATTCACTGCTGGATGAAGGCCTCCCCGTACACGATGGAATCCAGTGGTGTGAATATAAAATGTATGGAATCTTGTGGAATGATTCTGTAATCCAGTGGTTCTGATCAAGAGAAGATAAGAGTCGTGAATTTATGCGTCAATTTACCCAGAACATTTGATCCTTATGGCGGTTACCCGGGGTACCAAATAATCCAAACGGTCCGAGGCAATTAAATACTTTATTTCTGGGACACTTTTTGTTTCCAGGGGTGAACTTAACTCCGCGACTGGGGTACCAATCAATCCGAATTCAGTGCCATACCCCGCGATGTCGAAACGCCAATCATCAGCATAAAACAAATCTGTTATCAAAAAAAAAAACTTTGAATAGTGCATCGTGTCCAGCTCGTCGAGATGAGTCGATAGCCACATCGCTGACCACCAACAGAGACTAAAGATGACTGCATCAGGGACATTATGCGAGAGCCGGGGTAACCGCCATAAGGTTCATTTCACCAATTCACAATTCGTAGTGACAATCCCACACCAAGAGATTGCACAGACACCCAAGTAGAAACCCGTGGAAGAGAGACTGAAACGGACACAAAGTGAAACAATGACACACCAAAATACACAAAAACAACACGTTGTTAGTCCGTGAGCCCAGATATACTCAAGCACGAGTCCCAGAACCACCCAAAGTGCTTCCCATTTTTTTAATACGGCCAATAACGATTAATTATTTGCCATATTTATGTACTGCTAAAGCTGAGCTACCATTTTATATTCCTGCCCATGGACTATCAAGAGACACAGAGACAAACAGGACACGTTGAGTACGTTTGGCACCGACAGCCCAGTTTTGGTTATAAACCGAAGTCATGAACGTCATCTCCCATAACCTAACAGCACAAGAGGACTCACAACCTCACGATGCTGCTACCTTATCATGAACTTAATCAGCTGATACAGCATCGCTAGAACACGGCGGTTTAAAGTCCACAGTCTGCGTCTTGTGCGGAACGAGAGACTTTGGTGGTACTGTGGGCAGCAACTGGGAACCCCACCAAAAAAATCGATTCAAGAGGCTCGGCAAAGCACTGTGGGTGGGATAATGGTTACGGATATGGGTATATCCAGTCACTGTATTGTTAGTTTGCTTGGTTAGTGTGGCTATGAGTTAAGCATATTGTTTATTGTTAGAAATTGGTTGCCTATGGGGCTATGTCTGGTTGGCTCATGTAGTTAGGGTTAATGGTCATGGATAGTGGTAGGGTCTGGTTGACTGGTGAAATAATGGTGCGCGTGAGTTTTACTGCGGCTAGGGCTAGAAATAGGGCAAGTGTTATGAAGGCTTAGGGATATGGTGAGGATCTGGCTGGTTAGATTAGCAAGAGCTAATGTGTGGCTAGCTAGTGCAGCAAATGACTAATGCGGTTATGGGAAGGAGTGGAGAGTGATAGGGTCTGGTTGGGTAGTACGGATACAGTAGTTTTATGGTTTGGTTGTCTGTGCTGTGTACCCCCATTGTCCCCACGTCCCTATTGACAAGTGAAGCCTTTCATCATTGTTGTTCACATCACTCCTGATTCATTATTGGTTGTTGGGTCACATTGCGTAAGTAAAATATATCGTAAACCGTCATCCGTCTGACACAATGAAGTTGTCGCTTGAAAAGTGCCAATTTATTCATGTATAAACATCTTATTTGGAAGTGTGGTTATATACTTACGTGATTAATCTAGTGATAATTACATTAATTGTACCAGATGGTTGTTAAATTACAACAAATTATGTGAGATGTTATCTGGAGGATATTTTCACAATTCTGGCAACTGCTTGATTATGCTGGTTGTAACTATCTTGAAACGTCATACCAAATCGTTAAAATATTTTGAAATTTCTCTCCAACACACCGGTTGTGTGCAGAAGCAGTAAAAAAAATTGGCACTTTTGTTAACATAACAAATGTATTAATTGGCTACATCAGATGGATGGTTGACACACATTTTACTTATGCGATCTGACCGAACAATTATGAAGCATCCTGTTTAAACTCTCACATTAAATATACCTGTTGGCTTGCTCACTTCTATATGACTTACAAATCTGAGTTTATTTTGTCAGCAGCAGAGGGCACACACTGTCAGTAAAAGCAATGATCACCTGTATGGTAAAACTACCATTACAGAACAGCTGTCAGCTGCTGGAGCAGTATAATAATATACTTTTCCCAGGAAAGCCAAACTCTCAAGACTCCTTCATAAGAGGGTACTGCATTGGGGTGTTTGGCCAAGTCAAATGTTAAAGAAGAATTTAACACCCAAAGGTCCACACAGATGTGGTCCCAACCCCATTTGCTGTATTGCCATAACCTGGTCACCTCACAGCTTAGCAGGTTCGGGAATTTCACAATTATTTATAATCTACGAACCCTTTCCGCGAAAGCGCTGGTATAACAGGCGTGTGTGGATAGTGCCCGGAACACACACAATGCACATCTCCTCTGCCAGTGGCCTTCATTAAGCGCAACATATGGGGGTTTAAATGCATTTATTAAATTGGAACCTGAAGCATTGCTTAAGCACTTCATACTACCAGTTTGCAAACAAAGAGCACGTTTATTTTTTTGTACACTCCGTAAGACAAAAAGCAACACAAGAATGCAGTACATGCAGAGAAGAGACAGATGCTCAGGTTTACAATGAAGCCATTACCATACAGGTGAAGTGTTTCTGCCGGACAGGGCCTGACAGCTGTGAACCTGAGTTCAACACCCAACCACTATGGAACCTGCAAAGACATGCGGGTGTCGTTATGAATTAGGTATGCAACGGAGAATCGATTCATCAATAAACATCGATCCTTATACACGCATGACATGCATGTGATCATGCGAATAACAAATTATTTTTTAGTTTTTCGATTTTTATGAACCAGACATGGGACAAATAAATGACAGTCAAATTAAAACGCATTACAATTCAGGGAGTGCAAACAAGTCGAATATGATATAGTATAAATGACATAATATAGATAAAACTGTGCAAATAAGACACATTACATAAAGTATAAACAAAATAGACGATACAAATGAAACGGTAAAAACAAGAAATTAAAAATGTAATAGTACTATACAAACATAACACAAAAAATAAATCGTGCCAATGTATCGAATCGTTTCATGCCTGTGAAGATTCATTCGACAGGACTAATTAGCGCAAGCATGGGGGCACCGCACGATACAAAAAGTGGTAAAAGCTGCACTCTAATTCCACATTTTGGCACAACCGCATCCATGGAAGCAATGAGTGTCCTAAAGGCTGATTTCCAGTTCACTTTTGATGCTGCTGATACGTAAGCAATGAAACCCCAGTGTAAGACGAAATGGAAAAACAACTAAATTATATCAGCGTTGGTTGCTATCACATCATCAGGATGAGGTGATGTCATTGATTGCGTATCTGTGTTTAGCGCATTGAGACCAAAGTTACGATAATATAAAAAAGGCTGGAAAATCTCTTGTGACTATATACATGCATTGGGGATAGCGGAGCATGTGTGGAGTCGTTTTGTATGTGAAAACACACAGGAAGTGATTGTCAATATTCCCGAAACACATGACCTCAACAACTACAGCCCGGGTACGTTAAAGGCACAAGTGGCCTATGGGTTTAGGTACTATAAAATCCCACTTTATTTATTTTGCCAAAAATAATTTCTGGTTAAAACGTCTACATACATCTATTAGAGTGAATTATTAAAAAGGGTCAGGTTGATGTTTATACAGCACCTATATTTACACAGCTTCTCCCAAAGCTGCACCATCATGCTACATAGGATCTATTACATTTTGCGACAATCACATCTGCATTCCGAACACCGTTACCCACAGATGAACACACTTTACTACACAACTGAAATCGACGTGCTATTTGTATGCAGGCACCACTACCTGTCAATGCATTTACAGCCATTTAAAACATGAGTACAGTGTCTGTGTTAGGTGTTTTCTATGATCTGCAATAAAACTATTCCAAGTTTTTTTTTTTAAACAAGTATTTTCATATGAATCCGGCATTGTACATGCAGGTTTACTTACATGGTGTCTGCTTGTCCTATTTTATCATGTCTAGTCTGACAAAACATTATAATGGTGCAATTGTAAGAGGGCAGAACACATGGAAAGAAAGATTATATGTCCACACGTTTTGATAAAATTGAGCTGTATTTTATAACGCGTCTTGATGCTACAGAGGTACTAAATCAAGCTTCTGACAGTTGATAGTGTCATACGTTGGGACTGATCGGGGCCAATGGTGGAGAAGCAGAGTGGTGGCGCTGCAGCGAAACACACTTCTGCAGCCAATCACAATTGGTTCTGGGGTCCAGCAGTCTGAAAATGGACATGTTAATGGCCCCACCAGATATAAAAAGGTCAGCATTTGACATGTTTGGGGGTTAGGTTTAGCAATTGGCTGCAGTACTAATTGCAGGGCAGCATTACTTCCTTCACAATACACCACACAGCTTAACATGGTCAGCACAGATCACAAGGCAAGGCTACTGCATGTGTTTTGCATTATTGTTGCTATAAAAATGGATAAGAGTAGCAAATTATCCAATGCAAGTGAGCTATAGTTGTATCGTAAGTGGCAGCTCTAGTGGTTGAGTTGTTCAGTGATTTAACCACACCGAGTTATAACAGCATCATGATCAATATATAAGAATGCACACCTGCTTGGCATTGTACCAAGAAGCCCACGTGAGAGTTTTAAAATAGTTGTCAATCCATTAACATTGTTTAACCATGCACTGTTTTAGCGGAAATAATTAAAAGTAAATTGAAAACAATTATTATATTCCAAACAACTCTAGCAGCACTCAGACAGCACGTACTTAACCAAACAATATTAATGGTGCCTGTTTAGTACACACACTAAATTACATATTAAGAAACCAATGTTAGGTTTGATTGTTACTGTTACTTTGGGAGGGCTTGCCAGTTAAATTTTTGTTCTAGCTATAGTCTTATAAATCACGTTTAGGATTTAATATGCACATTTTTTTTCCAATACGTAAAGGTGTATACTGACTGCTACAACACACTAATATTTCCTACGGTACTGCATTACGTGTAGGTCTGTTTTTTTTAAACTACCGTTGCCATAAGACCATAACAATGACATATAGGACTTCTGTAAATGAATGGGCTGAATTGAGAGGCAGAGTTGTCAATGCAGTGTTTGGAATTAAATATATTGGCCTGTAAAAGCCTCACCCTGTGCCATGTTTATCACCACACATGTACACATTACAACCGGAATATTTAAAATACCCCAAATTCTATTAGTTAAAGGAATGCCGTGAAGTTTCAAATATTCACCCACTCAACGCAATGTTTGATATAACAGCCTGAACGAGGCAGAAAGCAGGGAGCTGATTGTAATACACACAAATAAAAAAAAGACAGATTTGGCCAAAACATTGGTACTGTAACTCAAAACATCTTATACATATCATATTCACACACAGCTGTTCACTGGCCGTAACACTCAGGCGCAATCATTCGAAATCCCATCACACAGAGATCCGATATTGTACATGCAGATACATGTAACAGTAATGGGCTCTAATAAACAAAGTGATTAGATTCTGTTCCAATACAAGCATGTACCAGGCAGCATATTCTAACAATGTAACTATCATTACAATTTACTACTATGAGCCAAGAATGTCTGTGTCCTGCACGCGATGTCACTCCACGTCGACCAGCCCCCCTACCTGGCAGCCCTTTAATTGGTGGAAAACCCACCACCTCACATTAACTGCCCCGCCCATGCTACTGACATTTGGGTTATGCCCATTTTTAAACCTTTATACACAGTTTGCCTTTAGAAGCTAATCCCCTTTTCCTGATGATGACCGCTTGTTGCGATCGAAACGTCGTAGTTTTTTATTTTCTTTGAACCTATCGACTTGACTTTACTGAAAGACCCAAAGAATATGAATTCCTGCAGTCATGAAAGCTTTTAAGTCAAGATTTAATCATGAACAGGTTACGTCCTCCACATGGACCCCCCCCCCCCTCATTAAAAATCATGAGCGGGTGACGTCACTCCACATGGGGGGCGAGGCGCCTCCTCCCCCCTCCTCAGCGTCAACTTACAACCCTCACTACAAAGGCAGAACCCTCACGTCACACGATCTCCGTAACGCTGTTGAGACATAGAAGTAAAAAAGACGTCATGATGAACAAGGGATTATAACCTTTAAAATGAAATGTCTGTCACCGCACCCTTACAAATTGCACACGAATTCATGTAATATCACGTCGCGGACTGCTTTTCGCTTGCAAGTTTCAGATTTACTGCAATACACCCGTCCTTGGACGGGCACAAGGCTAATTGAGACAATATTTACGTGACCTAACCCAAAAAAAACCTATATCATGGATATTGGTCGCGAAAGCCTACATGTTCAACTAATGAGACACATTGTTAAAAACAGCTCTGCGAAGAGACTGCTATTATTGTCCTAAATGCATGTTAACTTGTATTAAGAGACTCAAAAATAGCCTTGTGAGGTGATAACTGTTCTGCTATGCGACACTCAAAAACCCCACAACTGCATACAGATTTTACAACATATGAATGCATACAAAACCTTTGCACATTGGTGGTGCATCTTATTGGTAATCGCTAACAAATAAACCTCTCCATGATGAATACCACTGCGTAAGGAACCGAAGCATGTATCAGCTAACATTAAAAATATTCCTTTGGCAATGTAGAAAAACAATTAGGACAACTTCAAAGAAAAAAACTCAAGCCGTACTGGAAAAGGATAAAACAGACGGATTCATTGAGACGTGAAGTGAGGAGATTTTTTTGTTACTTAAAAAACAGTTTATTGACTTTCCACACTGAGGCTGAGCCACTGCCAACAACGTTAGCTATTAAAACAATTTCAGTGTGTAAGATGTTTCAAAATACTGTCATTTTTTCAGCTTTTACGTTACAAGTGGTGTCAATTAATCCATGAAATATGACTTGTGATGGATTTGCCTGAAGATTACCAAAGTCTTGTAAAACAAATGAAATGCACAAAACCAACCTAAATTTAGCACAAAATCGAAAACTGCTACACATCTTCGGTGCCAAACACAGCGAATGTAACAGGTCTTAACCAATCTCAATGAGCCATAATATTGAACCAAATTTATATTTTAAAAATTCCGATTGACAAGCCCAAACCTTGTGCTTTAACTCTTAAAATGTTTCACACATCATACAATGATGCACACCAGGGAGACACACACACACAAGGCAAAACAAAACCTGTCAACATTTAAAAGCATAATTTAAGAAACTGGTGTTAGGCTGCTGTTAAAATATGTAACGTTCTTAATATTATAGAAAGCCACAACCAAAAACATATCAAATAGCTCTTATTTTTCAGGCCATGTATAGGCCGTGTATCCTACCTAGGCTGTCCCAGTATACATTTTATAGCTTCATTAACAAAAGACTTTAAAGCGACTATATAGCATGTTTTACTGAGGTGGCTGCCATAGCATCGTATTAAAATATACATAAACTGCAATGCTGTGATATTATTAGTGCTATGGTGGCACATATTAGTTAAAGTCTTTATTCTCCTTTTCGAAGTCGCAAACTGAAACGAACTTGGTATGCGCACAACCTAGGTGTGTATCCGTGAAATAAGAGATAATATTTTAGCTGCATCTTCTTTTGAAACAGATATATAAAGTTGTACAAACATACAAGGGACAAAGCTGGACCAGAAAAGCAGAAACAAATCATTTCACTTCGAAATCAAGTACTTTAGATTCAGGATAACCCAAAGATCACTCATCCTGGATTAAAATAAACTGCATTCATCAACGCTCTATTCGGATTACAGATAACCAATTTAATAGTTGTAATAAACAAAAATACTGAAAGACAACACACGACAAGAACCTAACACACACTGACATTTTAGCATTTGTCAATTTCTGCTCACACAGACTCAGGACTTAATCCCACAAAAGCATAAACTACACCAGCCAACCCAGGTCAATGTGAAAGCTTTCAAATTGTAAATAATGGTCTGTCTCACCAAGTAATGAATTCCATCAGCTTATGGGCTTCTTGGCTAATGTCTTCCAGTAAAATTTGTTTAAGCAGTCAGATGCTGGATAGGTTCGAGTGTCATCATCAGTGTGGAAACAATTTGTAAAGCAGGTCCATAGGTTTATGGACCAACATGCTATTTATTTTTACATGAATATGTCTTCATGTGTTAATTTATAATTTTAGTATCCAAAAGCCACAACAGTTCATAACAAATGTTATGAAAGCTTTTTATGCACAACAATTAATAGAAATGAAGCTTCCATATCTTCACTTGATGGAAATAATGCGTAATGGAAATAACGTGTAATGTACATTTCCGCACAATGTAGACTTGAAAGAGGGTTATGTATCAGTGTTTCCAGCCTCTTTACTCAAGGATAATTTGGAGTATATCGATTTTAAAATGCAAATATTATTTTACTATTCCATGCCCTTTCCACACGATTCAAATATCAAACATTCTGGTTACACTAGCCTTTTGCCCGTCCAAGGACGGGTGTATTTCAGTAAATCTGAAACTTGAAAGAGAAAAGCAGCCCGTGATGTGATATGATATTAATTGCATCAATTCGTGTGCAATTTGTAAGGCCGCGGTGACAGACTTATTTCATTCAAAGATTATAATCCCTTGTTCATCATGACGTCCTTTTTACTTCTATGTCTCAATAGCGTTATGGAGATCGTGTGACGTTAGGGTTCTGCCTTTGTAGTTAGGGTTGTAAGTTGACGCTGAGGGGGGGAGGAGGCGCCTCGCCCCCCCCATGACGTCACCGGTTCATGATTATTAATGAGGGGGGGGGGTCCATGTGGAGGACGTCACCTGTTCATGAGTATTAATGAGGGGGGCTGGCCGACGTGGAGTGACGTCACGCGCAGGACACAGGCATTCTTGGCTCACTAAAGTAGTAAATAACACAAATCCACATAATTTAGCACTTATTTCATGACTAACTGGACACTCAGCTCGTACTTAATTTATATATACTGTTACATTAACAGCTAATTTTGGAGAGTTTACATTTCAACTAAAGTACATGTTAAACAATTTCCAATACTATTAATTATTTTCTACAGTTCCAGTCAAAAGCTACTAAACATGGTGCATAACACCATGAACTTTTAACCATACAAGTGGATGAAATTCATTTTTAATCATCCAATTGTATCTGCAATCCACCTACAATGTCAGTTTGAGAAAGGAGTTTCTGCAATAAATGTTAAAGAACTGGCACGTAAAAATCTACATCACCATGAACGTATCATATAATGTTAACCTCTAAATGTAGCAAACTAAAAATGGTAAGAGATTCATTTTCACAGCTGTCCAAGTATGTACACAGGTCCAAAGACCCAACACGTGTATATAACTCTGTGCTCTCCACGGTAAGACAGCACTGCCAGGAGATGATGCCACTTCCCTCTTGGAGGCCGGGTCATCAAGATGCATTCGCAAACAAAGGAGTTCACAACATTCCCAGACGCAAGATCTTCAGCAACAAGCAGCTGGAAATGTCTGCTTACTGTATTTGCATAATATGAAATAAAAAAGCAGGTGGGTTGTTAGTTAATTTAATTGTTAGTAAAAATTGCATCCTATCTGCCTGATCTAACAATAACATTAAAATGTTGAGAAAATGGAAATAGTAGATGCACGAGTCTTCCTTGGGGTTTGTAACTAAACCAGTCTGTGAGGTCCCATGACACTGCACTTTTGACCTTTCAAAACAGTCTCTGCAACAACAACAGCAACTGCCGCAGTGGATGTCCGGGGGCTTCTACTTTGTTCCACACGTCTGTCCCAAGGCGGTCGCCAGCCCTCACACGCACACTACCCTCATGGCGCCACGCTTGCTCCCACATCGCTCGCCGCCTGTTCCCCCTCCATGGGAACCGCAGCCGGGGCGGCCTGGATCGGCAGCGCTCCGGGCACCGCCGTGGACGCTGCTGCCGCAGAAACCATTGCTGCGACGGTGGCCTCTGGGACGGGCTGCAGCGTGACCACGGTGCCGGGTCCCGATACCACCTGAGCACCCTGCAACATTGCTCCCAGCCCGGCGGCGCTCATAATGCCGCCGCCATCGCCCCCCTGCGCCGACACAAACTGCACGGGGCTCAGCACCTTGAGCCCGGACGCGGTGGAGATGATGGCCTGTGAGCCGATGACAGTGAGGCCACCTGGCGTCCCAGCCATGGTGCTATACGTCGCCGTGGTAGTCCCCGCGGCGAACGTCGGCTGCTGCTTGCCGAGCGTGGGCAGCTTGGCCATGGGGATGGTAGTAAGGCCGGGGATGGTGGCCATGGTGGGCACGCGCTGTGCACGGGGCCGCTTGGCCGGCGGCGGGGAGATGGCGATGGCCGACGGGGAGAGCGTGGTCAGCTGCTGGCGCTGCTTTTGCTCGATGCTGCGGCGGCGCTGATCATCGCACTGCCGCTCCAGCTCTGCGCGTCCGCGCCACAAAGGAAACAAGCCAAGCTCGGACTTGCTGTCGGGCTAGTGCTACTAGCTCTCATGGCAATCGCATTAACCGTGAGCAACTGTGGCAACTTGGTAAGGCAATAGTGCAGGATAACACAATTTGGTCAAGCGAATGACAACAGTTTGTTGAGATGCGTGTTTGATAAACAAAGGTCGACAGGACACACAACGTTAGGTAGTCACGTGATCATTTTTTGTGATCTGAATGCAAGTTAACATTCCAGTTCTCCCCCTAGCGGGGAAGCAATAAGATTTGTCAATATTTGGGCAGTGAAATTTTTGCCTATGATGATTTTCAGCGACGCATCTCCCTAAAAGCACCCAGGTGTATCAGAGCTTTTACCACTGTAAATTACAAGAATTATTAGTCAGTAATCATGAGAACTACGAGTCAAATATCTTCAAAAACATCTACAAAAAAGCTCAGACCAGATTAAAGTTTAATGTAGCACACTGATTGGAAGGCTGAACAACCGGTCACATGCATATAACTCAGGAAAAAGTCAAGCACACCCTGCGGCTTACATAGTCTCACAGCACTGCACTCCTTAATCATGGCAAAGCATCTCTTCAGTTCCTCAAAAGAGCCTCTATTGCCAGTAAAAATATGATAATTGTTTTTTTACCCTTATATCTGGCAACAAAACTGACACCTTTTTACAAGGAGTCATGTTTGCATAGACTGCAATACCTGCAGTCCTTAGAGCCTAGTCTCACATGGGTTGGACCAGATGACGCCAAAAGGCGCACAACTCAAAGACAATGCGCCATCAGAGTATGAGAGCTCGGGGCAAGCATCTACACTATGGGAACCTCTATTGCCAGTAAAATATGATAATTGGTTTTTTACCCTTCTATCTGGCAACAAAACTGACACCTTTTTACAAGGAGAGCTCTCATACTCTGATGGTGCATTGTCTTTGAGTTGTGCGCCTTTTGGCGTCATCTGGTCCAACCCATGTGAGACTAGGCTCTAAGGAAAGCTGTCTCGGGTGTGGACCAATCAACTTCAAGGACAGTGCACATTATCAGAGTTATGTCTTTTGTTTGTATTATGACTGCAGGTATTGCGGTCTATGCAAACATGACTCCTTGTAAAAAGGTGTCAGTGTTGTTGCCAGATAGAAGGGTAAAAAAACAATTATCATTCCTCAAAAGACATTAAGAATGAGTGAAACAATGCAAATGTGATTCACAGATTTCAAATGTAGATGAATACTGCGTGTAAACTGGCTCAGCGTAAAAGAAAAAACATTAGCAATGCTAATCAGGACCCATGAACAGAAAAGTGTCGAGCGTGCCTGACCAAAATTCCATTTCTCAAAAATCAAAAAATCTCTAACATCGCATCAAACAATAAATATATTTTAATTTCAACCCACTGAGACACGTGTCTCAGAATTGGAAGGGACACCTGGAATAAAAAAAAATCAACAAGAAATGTAAATGAACACAAGAATTAAAATAAATGGTAAAATCAAAAGATATTGTGAGAAAGTGAAGACGTGTGGGTGCTGACAGACAATGCAGTGGTGAGGTGCAGCGCACCTGCCAGGTCCCGTGTATACTGGTCGCGGTATCGACCCATCTGGGACTTGTGGTTGCCCAGGATCTTCTTAACATTATCCATGAGGCCAAAGTGTTGGACCACGCCGTTCAGCGTCGCTGCATCTGATAGGGGTCCACGCACACAACAACATTAGCAGCGGAAGCCTCTGATGTATGCAGGGAAATGTGACTCATAATTTACTATTGTGCACCTCCACTTGCCATTACCACTGAAACAAGGTTAATTTGAGAGCTGAATAGCCAGTTGCATTAAACATTTAAGTGAAAACCGTGCCTTATAGTACACGGACTTAGGAAAATAAGTAAACAATGTGTGGAAGCAGTTATGCAAATCACAAGCATTTATGCTATGGAAAGCAGCAGTGATCCTTCTGAGTATTTCACTTAACGAGTGATGGAAAAAACCACACCATAGGTGGCCGGCTGCTCGTGTTGGGAACCGTAAGGGCAGTCCCCTGGTAATAGACTTGCAACAATTCATTGCATAAAATCAATTCTTACACTCATGATACAAGTACCAAATTGTGTTCATAAACAAATTATACAAATTTTATCATAATATACAAACAACAAGAGATAGAACCTACAAATGAGACCGTCTAAATTAGATACAAAAAAATAATAAATTATTGGTGCCAATTCATAGAATATCGAGAGGGAAAGGGTGAAGCATCCATGCCTAGGTTTTAACAATTATGTACAACTAGCTGTACTACCCGGCTCCGCCCGGGGACGACTTGGATTCACCATACCCAGCCGCCTTTGTCTCCCCAGTGGCGATGTCCACACACCACACCAGTTACTCGTTTGAGGCTGAGTCGACCTAGGGGAGGCCCAGGACCAGTTCAAATAATCGTCACCGTTGGTGGCCGTGAGCGGGAATTAAACTCGGGTCGCCGGGTTCGTAGCACAGCGCACTAACCACTACACGACAATGTGTTACGCTTCCACATGCGCGGGTCACGTGACAGATGTGACGTCACAGCTCACTTGCCGTGCAAAAAATATATGCATTATTGAGCTCCTCCCCCCCCACCAAAAAAGTGTATTTTTTTATCATTTTTGCATGGTGTACAGTCTGGAAAGTACTCACATGGCAAATTTCAAGTTTGTTGCATGTCGGGAAGTACGCTAAGCATTTTGAACAGACACACATAATCACAACTTGCCTCATATATATGGAGATAACATAATGGGAAGTGCTTAAGAGGGTGTCCACGATGAGTGATTGATTTAGTAGGCAATGCTAGACATGCCAATTTGTCACCTCTCATTTCTCAAGCCACCGATTCTGTGATCCCAAGCTCTAAATATAAAAATCAGCCTGATACTCAAGAGACCAGCGCCACCGTGTGAAGCCACTTCACGAATAGACAATGACAACAGAGTAAACATTGGGCCTGTACCACTCATCTGCAGGGGGGAAAGCTGTATCCGCTGGCGCAGGGCCTTGAGCGTGTCCTGGATCTCCTGCTGCACCTCGTTCACAACCTCCCCGAGCAGCCCCACGTCAGCGATCCCCTTCCACAGCGAAAATACCTCGTCTGCATGAGCAACACACACAGAGGTGGGGTTGAAGGCAGTTAAAAGTTGACTCAGCGCTCCAATCAAAACAGTACAGCAGCTGTTGTATCCTTCCAGCTGCAGTTGAAGTAAGATGTAACCCAAAAACAAAGACCTCTTTACTTAAATCTTGACTTAAAGCTTTCGTGACTGCAGGAATTCATATTCTTTGGGTCTTTCGGTAAAGTCACGTAGATAGGTTCAAAGAAAATAACAAAAAACTATGACGTTTCGATCGCAACACAAGCGGTCGTCATCAGGAAAAGGGGGTTATAGCCTCTAAAGGCAAACTGTTTAGAAAGCAAAGAAAGGTATTTAAAATCCTTCAGGTGACACCATTACATGCAATAGTAACGTAACTGTACTGATATATAAAGCGGTGTGGGGGGTGTAGTCATAGTGATGTAACTCGAGTGCCACAATGAAGCACTTGACCTGAGATTTAAATTTCTCACTATGAAGCTTGAAACCCATGTCAGACAACTCGTGACACACAGCCAAGGTAGGCATCTATAAAGCACGTATTAGCAATTGGCTATGTACAGTGCGAAAGAAGTTCAACATATATACAAAGATAAGAGCCCTTTAATTTTTGGGGTTTGATCCCCTTTTAATTATTACAACCGCTGCTTCAGCAGTGCATTATATCAAAAGTAACAAATGTTATAAGGCTGTATTGTAAGATGGTTTACTGTTAACCTGTAATAATAAAATTTGAAAACTAAGACACAATATCGATAAAGCTGTAGAAATAATTCACATGACAGTTCAATTGACATTGCCGGCATGTAAATAGCTGCAAGGCAACTTGAAAATATTGTAGCTGGAATCTGAGCATAGTTGTGCTCTTATGATTTTAGTTCCAGACCTTATGGGGAATGTGGATCTCAGCCTGCAGTAAAAGTAGCGCAAGGCAAAGGCAGACAGTACCAGTCAGGAGGAGCAGAAGCTGAGTAGTGTGGACAGGGTGAAGATGAGTACTGTGATGATTCCCACCCACTAGTGCAAGTGCCGGCCTTAATAAATGCTAGCTAACAACACTTGCCATGACTGCCGATAAAAGTCTACATTAGGGATGGGGATCTTTGTTTTATGGGTACATGGGTGTATGTCTAGATACACGGGTGTGTGGGTACACCAGTATATGTGTGTGTAGGTACAGGACTGATGGGCGGGCACCTTTGTCACCTGGAAGTTCACTCGCGTCCTTGGCGCGCGCGCTATCGGTGCACGGCGTCGAGGGTAGGAAGGAGGTGGACGGAGTGGACACCAGCTCGCTCGCATCTTTGGCCGCCTCCTCAGCACCCCCGCACACCTGTGCGCCATTCACTGCAATCCATACACCTCGGTTAAAGCCAAATTCCTGTTACCAATACCAACACCCGCCATTCGCCACTAAGTGACGGTGACATCACCACGATGCCTGTGCCAGGTCAGGTACACTTTGAGGCCACGTGAAGTGTCAAAGGCTGGCTTACAGGAGATCACGGGACAGACCCAGGTGCCAAGGGTTGACTGAGATGACTGGCAGATGCATCAGCTGTGGCCCCGACTGTGCCAAATTCTCGTTACAGACACGAATACACAGACATGCTGTTGTACAAATATCCAGAATCAGAATTGTTTACTGAAATAATTATCATTAGAATGTTTAATGTAATGAATACATCGAAATGCAAACCTGTGGGACAGTGTTTTATGCAATCTGAGGTGTCAGAGACATATCTAACATTGTGGGTTTAATTTATAACCACACACAATGGGGTAATGAATGGTTTATTCCGTTTATTTGTAGTAAGGCACTTACATTCCAACAGGGTGAAGTGTTTATCCTTTAAAATGAGCATTGATCTCTAATGGTAGCTAAAAGCAAGTGGTTTAAAGCCTGGACCCTGCTGCATTTCTGTGGCAGGAGCCAGTCTATGAATGAAGCAGCCAATGTTGAATTTCCACCACTGGCTCAACACCACGATAACACACATTGGCAACTAAGATACTATATATATTGTGGTAAACTGAGCGAGACATGAAAATATTCAGCATCTTTTATCTGATCTTGCTTGTTATAGGCCAATTCATACATCCAATTCACTATATTCCCATTCAACATCGTTGTCAGTGTATTGATATTTAACCCTAATGAACGTTATTCCACATAACCACTCAACCGATCAGTATACAGGCAGGTGGTGCGGGATAAGGTCAGCAGTGGTGGGCGCTGGGAAAACTCACCGTCGGAAGGGGTTCCAACCATCGAGTACTCGCCCTGCGTGCCGATGATGGGTAAGCGCACGTTGTTGATGAGGATGTCGAACTTGGTGCTTCGGCAAGTGCTGGTGCACACCTTGTCGTGCTGGTAGAAGTCCAGCTCCCCCGAGTCCATCACCTTTCTGCTTGGTTACATGTCACGGGCAAAGATGGAGGCTTTAATTCAGCCGGGTCTGTCCGAGTCAGCAACCCGGACAATACCCACATCTAGTATATCTCTCGCGATGGCCGTGGCTACCATTGACGTGCCACCTACTTCAGAGTCCTTCAGCGACCAATACAATATTCAGTGACAAGCTCATAACTAGTATGTGAAAAGTGACAAAACAATGAAGCACATAAATGTGACTGCATCGCAAGGCACAATACAAACAGGGGGAACACATACGCATAGATTATTGAAGGATGGGGGAAAATAACTAATTGGAGAAAGAATTAGAGGCAGCTTGCTATAAGGGTAAAAACTGATCGGTATCAGGCTGCCTAATATTTATCAAACACCCTGCGCCATTTGATAAACGGTCATGAATCTGGGTCCCAGTTTGACTAAATAATTTATATGATCCCATCTCATCAACACTTTCATATTTTAATTTCCTGACTTGTTGGTTTTGTCTTATTATTACGGGCAACCCGCACGCACGTCCTTTCAGCGTGAATGTCCATCTGTCCCTCCCCACCAGCCAGCCAGCGAGCAAAACTTTGTCATTTTATATACAGCCCTGTCTCTCCGCCTTTCTCTTGCCTTCTCTGTATGGTATATTCCAATTTATCTCGATTTCTTTCTTTGACTCTGTTTATATCTCTTTCTCTATTCCTCTGTGCCATCTTTATCCCTCCCTCTAATTTCCTCTCTTCCCTCTACTCTATCTCACCCACTTCCCTGACCCCTATCTCTCTTTCACCCTCGCCTCTCCTTATTCCCAGCTCTCCCTTTTCCCTTCTCAAACTCTTGCCTCTCCCCAATCCTCCCTCCCACTGCTTGTCGCTTTCCCTCGCTCTCCTCTTTCTGTTTTGCTCTTTCTTCTCCGTTTTACACCCTTTCACTATCTCCTTGTCCCTCTCCTCTCCACTCCTCTCCATCTCTTCCACCCTCCTCTATCTCCCTCCATCTCTCTATCTCTCTCCTCTAATACATTTGCGCAGGATACACAGCTGGTGTGGAGGGTGGGTGGGTGGGGGGTGAGCGTAATGTTAGCGTGACAAATTGATTAACCCGGCTCAACGCTGTGGGATGTAGGTGACGTCATGACGAAGATGTGCGCCATGAAGTCACTACAACACACGCGTATTTGGCTATGTGCCAGCCAGGCAGAATGGAATCCAGGCAAGATACGTTTTTTTCTACTATTGCATGTCTTATTCATATAATTAAATAAAAGTACAATTCTAAATAATCAAAAGAAAATTCTTACACACTTTAATGACGGATGTAAATGTGAGCGACTGAGTTCTAACCACCACGAAGTTGTGTTATGTTATCAGCATAACCATGTTATGATGTTAATTTTCCCTGCATGATTGCAATAACATTTTTTTCTAACATTGACCTGTTTCATTTAAAACAAGCCAGTGCTCTTTTTGAGGTTAATGTTTTGCTTAGTGAGGCTTTAATTTCAGAATGCAAAGGTTTTTGTTCTCAATGATTATAGTTTCAAACATCATTTAACCAAGAGTAATCAATTTTGTCTTAGTGCAAATCTTTGATGCTCAGGGGCCGCATCTTTCATCAGAGAATGGCTCAGGAATATGACATTTTGAACTACTTCTGAGGTTACTTCAAAAGGCATCATATCAACACGAGGTGGCACATCTTTAACATGCCTTGAAAAAAAGGGTGTCCATCACATGTCAAACCAAAATTCCCAATTATAGGATCTGGAATAAGTTATGTAAAAATGAGATTAACATTATGTTTTTGGAATTTTCTTGTGAGGCACAAAGGCACTCTCTCCCAGCTCTCACCACTAGACAGGTGATAATTACCCTTCACTAGGAGTCGTAACATCTTACAATGGTGAAAATTAGTCAAATGTAATTACAATTTAAAAGTAACACAATTCAAATACAAAAAAACAGCTCAATTAAATCTAAATGTGTACTGTGTATTACTTAAAACCCAAATGATCATTCTGAGTGTGTCAACATTCAAAGACTGAGGACAGTGATCGGTGGATACAACGCAAAAGCTGGATGCCGGGAGCTGACCTCAACATGACCCCACGCATGCGAATGGCTCTCTTCCAGTCCTTCAGGGTCGACTTTCCAGCCATGTTCACAAACTCCTTTGGGCTGATCAGTCCGGTGTTAAACTACACGTAAAATATGGACATCACACAAAACAACATTCGACATAATTAAAACATTTTTACTAACATAATCCATACAAATTACACCATTAAATTAACTCACTCATCCATCTCTCCGCCAATTCATCCATTTCTCCACTCTCCAGATTCATCCACTCACACCCTCACCAAAACTGAATCACTCGCTTAGTCACCCAAACACTCACTGGATCATCCAGCCATGAAATTACTCCCTCCCAACTCACTAGCAATAGCACAAGAAACAAAGCAGATCAAGTATGATTCCATGCCATGTGAACACAAATGCACTCCTTTTCGGGCGACGACATCTGTATTGCATGCTCTACACTCCAACGTATAACTGAAAGAACTACAAAAGGCCACACATACCTTAACACATGGGACGTTGATGCCAGGGCAGACAAACTTCTTCCAGAGCAGTGTTGCCTTGTTGTCTCCACACGTGATGGGATACGCCAGGTTTGTTCCTTCCCCATCGTCCACCTCTTCCTCCTCCTCTACCTCCTCCATCCCCTTCTCTGGGAGAGTACAACCCAGAGACACAAAATACAAAGATAAAGATCCCCCATATAGCCTGAACAGACTGTTGGGGAAAGTGTTGTTATCTAGCAACTATGAAGGCCGGCACGGCATACGATGGGGTGGGTGGCCAACACCACGCCCGGCCGCCTTTGTCTCCCTAGTGGAGATGTTTACACACTGGACCAGGTACTCATTTGAGGCTGGGTCGACCTGGAGGAGGCCCAGGACCAGTTCAGATAATCGTGACTGTTGTTAGACATGATTGGAAATAAAACTCGGGTCACTAGGTAATGCTGCACCCTAACCGCTGCGCCACCGCTCCCCGCAGAGACACATATGCATCCACAGATGCAGAAGACACAAGGGCTCATTATGGCACATTAGGCATGCTCATGCATACTCAAACTGCGTTTAAGCTGCATTGGAACACGACAAGTGTGTCACATACATATATTATTTTATACACATCATACTAGAAAAAAAACAGGTTATTTTCAGATTATACTACACATTACAAAATACACTGTCCATTTCATAAACCCTACTTTTAAAAAAACCATTGTTATGAATTTCACCAACCAAAAGTTACACACACCCAGTCTAGAATCCACAGAAGGTACAATGTATAAATGGGTGGCCACAACACCAGCCATATCTAAACGAAGCATAAAGATATACACACACACAAAATACAACAGGCATGCACTACGTGCTCGCTACGGCAACATAACGAGATACCTGCACACAGTATACACAACTGAATAACTTCACAAATGAATCTGTTCTTGCGTATGGCAATATTTACAGGAGCTAAATGCCAATGTAGAGGTCTGCTAACCACAAGAGGGCTTGAGGACAGAGTTTGTATAGTTTTTCTATCCCTGAATTGAAGGAAGACAGACAAGCCTAAGCACTAGATGGTCCATAGTTTGGGTTGCATGGCATAGTCACACTATGGTTTAGCTTAAATTTTCCATTCATGAAGGAGATGTGAGCATCGGCCTGTTTATGTTCTGATGCGGTTGATGGTCACACCAGTGTCTTGGAGGAATGTCAAAACCAGGAGATGTGATGTCTGGGTCTCGAATGAGGTGTTTATTCTGGACGTCCGTGTTGTTCCACTCTGTTACTAGTGTTCTTCCAGATTTGGTTGAGATTCTAGGATGGTGACAGCATGCTCCACACAACTAATACTACCAAGTAGCTAAACACAATAAGACACAGAAGCAGATAACTATGAACAGTACACACAACCAAGCAGCTATACACAAAAAGAAACACAAGTACGTAGACACTTTTCACGACACACATAAAATGTGATATACATGCATGACAACACACACAAACGGCACAATAGGGTATATTGTATGACAGATGTGGTACAGTAAAACCTTGGATTGCGAGTAACTTGGTCTGCGAGTATTTTGCAATACGAGCAAAAAAATTTAAATAAATAAAAATTTGATAAACGAGCGATGTCTTGCAATACGAGCAGTACGTACAGTATACGCTTTGTCTGCCGAGCGTCACGTGATCACAACTGAGCCAATGGTTCTTCTCTCTCTCTCGCTGTGGGATTGTGGATAATCGTCTCCCATGCTCGGTCTCAGTCGGCGTGCCCCACTCATATAGTCAACATTCGTGCGAGCGTATACTGTTTATTATAGTGTTGTGACCACGTGTTTGTGCGTAAAGCATTTTTTTATTTTGTGTCCAAGTGTAGTGACTATTCTTTAGTAACTGTACTGCAAGTGAAAGTCGTCCTCCACAATAACCCTCCTCTCTTCTCTCTCGTCTCCCTCACACCAGCCACGATTAAATGTAATTAATAAATTTGATTACTTTATATTAAATAATAAAAATACAAAAAGGTATTTAGTATTAATCATTTTTATATGAATACAGTATTTTTGGGTTATGGAACGAATCATCCGAGTTTCTTATGGGGAAATTCGCTTTGATATACGAGTGCTTTGGATTACGAGCACGTTTCCGCAACGAATTATGCTCGCAATCCAAGGTTTCACTGTACTTGCATACACAAGGAGGTACCCATATACACACACCATACATACATGCAGATAGCTACACACTTGACAGTGGCCTCACAGCACACATACCACACCCCCATCGTGCAGTGAGACATGTGTACCTTCCGTCACATCTCCCGAATTGGCCATCTTCTCCACCAGTGTGTTGGCAGAGTACACGGACTCAATGTTGTCATCTGTTTGAGCGGCACTGAACAAAAGTATCACATCCAGCAATTAGCAACGCGATGAAAGAACGTACCGTCGTGTACATTCAACAAGTTCACACTTGTTCTGATAAACAAAAGTGCCACCGTTGTCCGCTATTCCTTGCCAAGCATTGGAAGGTATTAAGCTTTATTTGCACTCTCATCACTTTCAATGCAATATAACTTAGAGGTTAATATAGCATCTAAATGTGACTGCATCTTACGATGCTCTACACATAATCTGCCAGGAACAGTCAAGTTAAAAGGTAAACCAGTCATTCCTTTCAACAAATGAACATTAATTACTTACAGTTATCCATCTCACAGGAAATATGTATTCTACTGGAATTGGTTGTCTCCTGAATTATGCTGTAAACTTTATGTAAAATTACGTATTGCTGTCATCTATTCAGAACTCTTACGATATATTAGAATTTCATGGATTCATCATAGTTAAATAAAAGAAATTACACAATAGAAGTGACGAGTAGTGGTAAAGTGGTTAGTACTCTGCACTATTTTGATCATTGGCCAAGGCTAATATTGAACCGTTTAAATCGCTGCCATGGCTAATATCAATGGCAAGAGTTATCTGAACCATGGGCCTCGCCTAAACAGGTCCTGGGCAACCCCTAACCAACCGGATGAATTTACAAGCATGGTAAAATACGGTCAAACAAACCCCAGGACCATTTTTTTCTATTTAAAAAGTTTAAATTGCGGAAAAAGCACGCCTTACATAAAGGACCACAACTTGTGCAATAACCTACACTTCTCAGTGCCGCTCAGACCAGTAAAATGATAAAATATTGTCCACGTACGGGCAGACAGATGACGCTCATAATGCAACAATCATGGAGGTGGTCTCTTCCACCACCCCCCGCCACCCGCATCATCATGGTTACCTAGCGTGATCCTGCTTGAATTGAACCATCATGGCGGCACTTGAATCCTCCGCAGGGTCGGTGCTGTTCTGAGGTTCCTCCACCGTCACCATGACGATATCTGCTTCCCCTTCACTTCCCACCTCGCTCGTCGCCATGGTTGCCAAACGAGGTGAAGACGGATGGGCCTCAGAGTGGACTGCGCCTCCCCCTAACTCCCCCTTGCAAGGGGGTTGGGGAGCTGCACACACACGGTGCACAGCATCACGCTGTTATTACACTTACCTCCCTCGATAGTAAGCGCTTGAGAGGCTTATATAAAATTCACTGGCATACACTTATGTGCCCTGTGATATGAACACGAAATCCTGACAATCGAATCAAACAGTGTAAACAAAATTAGCAAGCGTTGTGCATTCATTATACAAATCTCAATTAAAGAATACTGTACAAGCTTGACCTATATAATTGTCCAAAATTTTTTGATTTTTATTAAAACTAAATTTTTGTTAGGGTGCAGGTACTTGTCAGACACAAGACGATTTTTTTGTTGCATTTGTAACATAAATCGTGCACCGAATCCGTCGTGTGCCATCAATCACCAATTCCTAAAATGTCCAAATGACCTTAAATAGTGTTGTAAATGGAGTAAAAACTGCTGTCGTTGCAAAGCGATGCATCGTTATAAGTTTCCCTTGTAAACATATACAGTACCGTGGATATTATTAGATTTCCATAGTGTTAAAGAGGACATTATGTTTTTAGGAAACAGGCCAAAAGTATCTTCTTGTGCGGCAGCGGGATGTCACTGCATGCTCCCACATGCAATGAACAGAGGCGGATTCGCACAGGTGGGCAGTTCTACACAGCCACCAGGCGTGAAGCATCACGTTTGCTTTGAAAGCAAACCTCAAAGCCTGAACTACGGACATCACCAAAGTCCCTACAGGCAGCCCAACCACCACCTCCCCCGTGGTGACGGCAAGTGCCGACGTCAGGAGGGCCACGGTCTGTGAGCATTGAGACTCTGTTCCCTTGATGGGTGCTCAATTGGGAATATAGCACTGTAGGTTCCCAACCGCCCCTCTCCGCGGCCGTCAAGCAGCATCTTACCACGATAACTGTAAATAACTCTGCAGCAACATAATAACATAGACTCATAGGCGAGTAGTGTTGGAGTTGGTTAGTGCGCTTGATTGACGATCTCAAGTTTGCAGTTGAAATCACAGTCGAGGACTATCATATGTACATCATTTATATGTTTTTTTAAAAACATCTTATAGAATGTGATATGCATTTCTGGAAGAAAAAAAAACATAACAAGCGCATGACTTCAGATGGAGTCAAAGAAGACATGGGGTTCCCCCATAAGTGCACGCATTAGGGACTTTACTGAACATCAAGTTATTAAATAACAGCTCTTTTCCAGCCACACATGCTGTAATTATATACACGTGCACGTATAAAATAAAGTGGCTTTCCACTCAAACAAAAACGAAAGATCAACCACTATTGCACACCATCCAGGCTCAAAACTGCTTGACTTACCGCCCTGACGAGATCGGGTGCTTTCTGGGTGATATGGTTAGAGGCCCACTGTGCGTGTAATGCCCCATTGGTATCCACGTGTTTGTCACAGCCTTTAATATACTGGATGTACTCATCGGCACACGTGGTTTTCCAATGCAATAATGGCGCAGAGCTAATTTACCAAAAGCTCCTGCAAATCCACTATTCTGAGGTCACACCACGTTCTCGAGTCGCTGTGCCCATGTGCGAAAATCGGTGTACGTGGGTGACGGGCGCGAACTTATACTCCTGTGTACACGTGTCGTGAGCACAGACGCACGACTGTTAAGCGATGAAAACGCGTCTGTACAAAACAATACCACCTTATTCGGTATTATGTCCCTGCAATACCGTTGCCTACGGTATTATTTTTGCCTGCGTTGTCCTGTTTATAATTGGCTGCAAAAACTAGGGAAATATCTGCTTGTAGTTGAAAATCTTTTATTTTAAACTGTATTATTTTGTACTGCATGGGACAGTATATTCAACGGTGATGTCATTGGTTGGATGAGGTTTTATCACAACACGAAAATACATTTGAATAAAACAGACGTTTGCACGTGAATGCATTGCTGAATAAAATTGGATGAATCAATATTCGTCATATAGTCTTGCTCGAATTTGCCTTAAACATTTTCGTAGGCCGAGCAGGTGCATTTTCTTGACTAGATGTCCTCCTGTCTGAACTAAGTGATCTTCTTTAGCTGGGTCGTTCAGACGAGAGGTGAGGGACGGCAAAATCACGTCTTGGCCCTTCCCACGTTGAACTGTCATGCATAGCAAGGGCGGTGATTGCAACTGCTTGAAGTGCAATGAGTGTTGCAAAACAGAAGCGATGCTGCTGCTGCTGCTGCATAACTGGACGCATGACTTTGCGCAACTTATTAAGTAACTGAACTGTTGGGTGGATCTACAAAATGCGTTTTCACATTGAAGGTAAAAAATAGGTCACGACTAAGGCGGGTGCATTTAATGCTGCCACATGCCACGGTCAACGATGACATCTTAATTTTTCCACGGTAGACGTCAATTAGTCAGCCAATGTAATGGGACACGGTGATAATATAAATAACTTCTGCAAGCTATGAGACGTCAATGGTACATTCACAACATAACAATATTAAGTTCCAGCAATCCTATGATTGAAGTTAATTCAGCGCATTTTAGAAATAACACACGAGCATGACGTCTGTACAACACCCCGTTCCATAACGGCAATAGTATAGGACGTCAATTACCGTATTTCAGTTCCCTACTACTGCTCAGCCGCTCTATCACCCGCTGCTTTGGGTGGTCATAACATTGTTATTGAACGTCACAACTCTACAGACGCTTAGCGCTGCATACATTGATGCATCGATGGATTGAATACTGCACAAAAAGCACTGTATAAACGATTACACTACCGTATAAACACCTAGGTTATAGCTTAACACGTAGGCTTTCGCGACCAATATTATTCATAATCAACGTTTTTGGGTTTAGATCGCGTTATTTATAAATGTGTCATAACCCACCACCACCCGACACGGCCAATCAGTAAAAAGTGTCACGTTGACAAAAGACAAATAGTTCAATGCTTTGGCCCACCGGTGTGTTGAAGCGTGAAACCACAACATTTACAATTTTTGTGGTGTCACGCTTCAACACACCGGTGGGCTAAAGCAGTGAACTATTTGTCTTTTGTCAACGTGACACTTTTTACATTTACGAAAATTGTAAATGTTGTGGTTTCACGCTTCAACACACCGGTGGGCTAAAGCAGTGAACTATTTGTCTTTTGTCAACGTGACACTTTTTACTGATTGGCCGTGTCGGGTGGTGGTGGGTTATGACACATTTATAAATAACGCGATCTAAACCCAAAAACGTTGATTATGAACCTGGATTATAGTTCAAATTGTATACGGTATATCACACCACTTTAAACGCTGAGGGTGGTGGCGGGAAGGGATAGTGCGTCGCAAAATTTGTGAATCCCAAATCTAATTGGCACCGAGGTAGCCAGAATATGGTAGTACACAACATGTGGATTCGTGAACCCGTCTGTGGGCATCTTTAAATGATATACCTCGTACGCGTGAGTTTACACCTCCTTCCATTAGACAAACAATTTGAACATTTACCAAACCTCCCAATGCACACTCCCCTAAACGTCTTCAGGCTCATATTTTTTTTTTTGACACCGCAGTAATATTTTACTTCTAAACCTCTGTCTGCATCAATGTCACAAGAACCTAGCATTTCACTAAACAATATAAACAAATAACAGTACAATCCCCTTCTTCTTGGTTCTTTCGGTAAAGTCACGTAGAAGGGAAGTAATAAAATAATAAAAATAAAACATATTACTTCCCTTCTACGTGACTTTACCGAAAGAACCAAGAAGATGAATCCCTGCAGTCACGAAAGCTTTAAATCGAAAAATACAATCCCCTTGATAAATGATTGCCTAATGTATAATCGTGGCACACTACTTTATAAAGCCCCTTGCAGGGTATAAACCACCGACATCAATATATAAACCCCATAATCTGGCCCTTTTGTAAATCCACCGGTGCATGATGGCCTCACCCGCGCCGTGCGGGTCGCGGGTTTAACGTGGCCATACTTCACCACGCTGGTCAGCCGGTTCTGCACGTGTGCAAATATCGCCACTGTAAACCACACACTCCCGAACGGATTCGCGCATGCGCACTACACCGCGCCCCGCCCCGCCCCCCCCCCCGTCACGCGCTACCTCCCCACCACCGCCGCGGCCCCCACCCCCGTCACGCACGCGCCCTTCGCGTCGCCGCGCTCTCTCACTGGCCGCGACGCATCACGTGTGGCGCGGCGCCCGTCCACGCCATTGGCTGGGGGACGCGGCGGCGCAGCGCGCGCACGGCGGCGGGGGGTGCGGGCGCCATGTTGACGAGGGGGGGACGTGGGGGGGGGGATCAGGAGAGCCAGGGGGGGGGGGGGCGCGCGCGCGCGCACGAGACCCATCGCACGCACGCGCCCGCTCACGCACGCTCGCCCCCGCCGATCTCGCACTCCCCCCCCCACCCAGCCCCACCCCTCACGCTCCCTGCACTCATTGTCGAACTGGCGCCTGCCTGCCTGCCTCCTCCTCCTCCTGAGCGCCGAACGAATTATTGTTTTTTTCCTAAGGGGGGAAAAAAAAAATCCAAACACAAATCCGAGCCGCACTTACCGCGTCGAAGGGCAAACGGTGCGCGGCGAGTAGCATGAGAGGCGGCACGCGCGCTGAGATTGGTGCCTCTCGGCGCCGATTGACATCTCCCATCGGCCGCGGCAACTTAACGAACGCGAGGCGGGCTACGTCGCTGCCCGCGGTGACGTCACCGGCCGTGCGGGTGACGTCAACGGAGGAGAGGAGGGCGGAGCCGGGGCGCGTGACGTCACGGAATGGGCGGGGCCCCGTGCCTGTGCGTGATTCGTTCGCGGCGCTGTTACGCGTGACGTCGCGGGGCGGTGGGCGGGACCCGGCGCCCGTGACGTCAGAGGAAGGCGAGGCCTCGAGCCCGTGACGGACGTCGCGGAGAGGGGGGCGGGGCGGGGGTGCATTGCGCGTGACGTCACGGGGGGGGGGTTAAATAAACGGCGACATTGGAAGTCGATTTGCAACGCCAAGTGGCAACAGCAGTGGGCAGTGGAGCGTAGGGTTAATTGTTGCACAGTACCGCACCATTAAATCTATGCTCCCAGGTCAATGCTCCCCCACCTTCGTCAATCACGCACTGAACGGCATGGTCACGTACGGGTCAAATAAGCCCCATAAGGCTAAAACACCTGTTGTTTATTATTGCATGGTGACTCACCCGTCATCCCCTTCACTATCCAGGCTCAGAGTCGTCTGCTGTGTTTTCGGGCGCGCATTCCTAGCGATTTGGTCTCTCCTTATTGAGAGGTCGTGACGAGGGGCTGTCACTGAACGTGTTGGTGGCGAGAAATCTCGCCCGGTATGCAGGTGACCCTGACGCCTGCTGTATTTTTGAGTTTGCTATTATTTGTGGCCAGGTCGATTCTGAAAAAGAGCTACATAGCTTAGTGGGCCCTTACCTGGTAAAATAAAAGGTTTAGTTTTCGTCATTAACAAACGTGGATAATAATAATTGTTTTTTTACCCTTTTATCTGGCAACAAAACTGACACCTTTTTTACAAGGAGTCATGTTTGCATTGACTCTGATAATGTATGCACTGTCCTTGAAATTGATTGGTCCACACCCGAGACAGCTTTCTTTAGAGCCTCGTCTCACATTGTGTTGGACCAGATGACGCCAAAAGGCGCTTTATGTTTTTTGTTTGCATTCCGACTGCAGGTATTGTAGTCAATGCAAACATGACTCCTTGTAAAAAAAAGTTGTCAGTTTTGTTGCCAGATAAAAGGGTAAAAAAATAATTATCATATTTTGCTACTGGCAAATGAGGTTCCAATGGTGCAAACGTGGATAGTTTGTGATAGTGACCAGCAGGTGCCATCAGGCCAGCGCCGAGAGAGATGCCATTGATGACTGTGACGCTCAAGTGTCAGCTTTATCGAGACTTTTTTTCTCCCCACTGCTGGATGGAGGTCAATACATAACAATTATTCGAGTAAAAAAGCTAATTGGAAATCCAAATATTGTATTACGACGGAGTAATAAGATAACACTGAACAAAGCAAGTCACGTACAAGTTTGCTGAAAGAAAGAAAATTATTCTTGAAGAAACACAAATGGGGAAAAAACAGCAGAATATGCACTCCAATGGCAACAGTTAAAGGGGGTTAGGGATCGAAATTATTAAATAAAGCGGCGAAAAACGGCAGGATGGAGGGCATTTTGGTGAACTGAATTTGATCATGAAAAGCCCAGTCCACCCGTGCCTGAAAATATAACTAGTTTTTAAGAATTCTATATCACCCGTTATCGTTTGTTGTTTGTGCTTCACTGCCTACGCAATGTCACCACATAATTATAAATGACATCCGCATCTGGGCGAACGCACGTTAGGAGCAACATATTGATTGTTGTGGTAAGTTTGGGCTTGGGCAGGTTAGGGACAACATTGATTGTTGTGGTAAGTAGTGTGGGCTTGGGCAGGACACGCCATGGCTAGAAGAGACGATGACCGGTGGTGGTCGAGACTAATGATTGAGTGGCAGTCAAAGGAGGTCCCACGCCCAGAGATTAGAACCACGAGATAAGCTCATTGCAGGTGCTTGATGGACCCGATGGAGGCCTTTATCTAGCAGTTAATAGATCATGGCAGATGATAATGATAATTACCCTGCCAGCGTGGATGTGTAGGCCCATCTCTAACCCCCACACCATCCGTAAACCGTGCGAGTAACATGCATATGAGATGCTGATGTTGCTTTTTGATAATGCATGCAAATAATAACGAATAGATAATTAATTATGATTTTTTTACATTTCTTCATTCAATTCTTGATAAGGAACCCCCTTCACAGTTTTAAAGGTGACCGAAGTCAGGGCGCTCGGCAAGGACAGGGCGCTGGGCTGGTACTGCTGAGATCCTGGGTACAAAATCGGGTCTCAAGTGTAGTAAGTTGATGGTCTCAGTCTGGTCACCAATGACTGGACACAAACATATACACCTACTTACATTGGTTCTGTACGTACAGAACCTCAATTCCAGCTGTGAGAATTACAAATGTTTTTTTCGGCGCTTTAATTTCTAACTCGATATTTTCTATAACTCTGCTGAGCTGGCTTGGAATTATGAATGATCAGCCGCCGGAATTGTTACCACTAAAGTGGAAAGTACCAGCGATTCATAATAACCATTTATTATTGTACACCGTGTCACTCTGATTCTACGATACCGCAATTTGATAAGGACAAAATAAGGCGAGATGGTTGTGGTGTGCCAAAATGATTCCCGATACAGCATTACAAACCGTCCGCGGCCCAAGTTAAGCCCCGGTAATACGATCTCAATAATATATCAGGGAGAGTAGGAAAATGCTGCCCTCTGCTGTGTAGGCCAGGTCCTGCGGACATATCCGGCTGAAATCAAGCGACATGTCTGGGTTATGCAATTGGCGACGAAATTTTGTGATATGACACCTAAGGTCACGGATTATATAAACGTTGCGTAACGTTGCTGAAAAGTAGATTGTGTACTGGGTTCAATTTGCACCACGTGCGATGCAGGTTGTGAATAGACCCAACAGCAAGCTTGGTGAATTGTCAGTTGTTCTGCAATACAGTGTGCCTCACCTCACGCCGTCTAGATATACGAGGGCAAGTGGGTTACAGGTTTGCTAACACACCCAAAGCGCAGCTACCTCACTTACTATATCCATCATCACTAGATTGCAAACAATTTCTGATTGGGGTGACAAAAGCACGGCCAATCTCGACTAAAACAACAACCAAATAAGTGACAATATCACGTTGTACCCCACGTTGTATTTAACGATGATATTGTTATCGATAGTAAAACTATTTCTTTGATTGGCACAACAATCTCATTTGTGCTGTAATGGAATGGCTATGTTACTAATCTGACTCAGGAGGAAGCAAAGACGCGTGGTTTTAACTTCTGTGACAAAGCCTCATTAGTTACGACTGTCGCTTTATACATAGCACACATCGGCCCAAACTGAAATAAAGTTGTCATATCTGGGGTGGAGTACACAGTATCTACATCACAGCAACTCACCGGTGGCCAGTCGCCTCCTCATCACTCTGCCATCGCTACTACCGACTGTTTGGTCTCGTTGCCATATGGTAGCGCGTTTCCCCGCTTGTTGTAAGAGGTTCGAATCCAGCTCCCGCCTTGGATATTATTTGCGGTGTAAATTACCATGAATGTGCATCGTCTGTTTCACGGGGGATGTTAAAATTCCCTTGACGTCATTCGCTAAAGAAGGTGATTGTGTGCCGACATTCAAATTTTACGCCGAAAATTACTCAATTTTAATTACAGTATACACATACACCAGTAACCATTACCCCCTACTGGCAGACTCACGTCACTTTTGAAAAAGAGACGTTATCGTGTTCTCGAGTTCTCGCCCGGATAAACATAAAATAAGGGGCCGTCCATAAATGACGTCACGGGGGGGGGAGGTCAGACATTGTGATAGCTTGTATTGCAATCGAAACGTCGTGAGAATTTGTATTGTTTTATTTTCATTATTTCCCTTTTACGTGACTTTACCGAAAGAATCAAGAATATGAATCCCTGCAGTCACGAAAGCTTTAAATCGAAATGTAAATTTACTTGCTTCAAGTTAGAACACGTTCCGCTTCTTCTCTCGCATAGTTCAACTTTGCAATTCCCCCCCAAGCATTTGTTCTTTTCCCCAAGTGTTTCAAATACAATAAACAACCTTGCTCAACTCAATGAACCTGTTAACCCTGCTTAATTGCCGTGTTGGGCCTATGCTTAGCCGCTGTGGTTTAAACAAAAAAAAACAACAGATGTCCACGTGGTTTCCTGCCAGAATGTATGCCGACGTCACGCCCCAAATTAGCTAAATGATAAAGATGAATTACTCAAATGGGAGATTACACAGCAACATCACCCCCTACTGCGAAACTAGTGTAGATTATGTCTTCGTGATAACGTTTGCTCTCTAAAGATGGCGTGAATAGACACGATTTGATTTAATGTTTTCATAGGGTCCCCCCCAGGATCATAAAAAAAACGACCCCAAATGTAATGCATTGCCACGTTCAACTCAGCGAAGAATGAATGCACACTTTAACAAATCCCTGGTTCCTGTAAAAAAAAACACGCACATGCCATGGTTCTGTTAAAAATGAGTATCTCTGAATACGGTCGTGGCAACGTCGGTATCAACTCGCCATCTCCCCTCCAAACACACAAAGGTCCATCACTTCCATTGGCATTACGCCCGGAATTAAGGGCCACAGGTGTTGACTCCCTCGGCTGCGTCTGCCGGCGTAGAAACGAAAGCATGCTTGGCAAAGATCTTGATGTCTGGGACATGCTGTGTAGCGTTCGCATGGACAAACACACGCGTCTCATCGGGAAGAAGCGTGACACTGACGGCCGGGGGGGAGAGGGATTACGCAACTAATGATCATCGCATAAAATACCACCGTTCTACACTATCATTCATTCGGGCGTCAGCAGTGAGCCGTGAAGGACGCTTCGAGAGAAGGAAAAAAAAGGGTGGCGATTCGTCAGAGTCGCTGCTTATTAGGGGCGGCGTTGGTTGGAACGTGACGTGTTGACATGCAGGACATTCGATAGACACTGATTTAGAGCGACCTAACCAGTCTGCTTCGGATAGTCATGAATATCTAGACACACACACAGAGAGGAGAGAGAGACAACATTTCACGAGTTGCTCCGATTTGCACGATCGGCTTACGTACGGGTTCGCGATAAGTTCCAAAGATACACACAGGCGCGCACACGTGCGCCACTCGTCGCGTTCGGCAGCGATGAATTTCGACGACGTTCTCAAGAAGATCGGAGGCTTCGGCAAGTTCCAGGTGATTTTGTACACGTGGATCTGCCTGCCGCACATCTCCATCGCGATGCACATGCTCGTGTCGGTGTTCGCGGGCGCCACGCCGGAGCACTTCTGCCGCGACCCCGCTGGGGGTCACGCTCAGGTGCCCTCGGCCACCACCACCACCGCTGCCACCACCACCACCACCGCTGCCACCACCACCACCACCACCACGGGGGAGTCGGCAGCTGCCAACGGGACCGCGTCGCGACCGCGGTGCGGCAGCCTCCTGAACGAGAGCGAGTGGCGGTCCTGCGCCACGGGGTGGGATTACGACCGCAGCGTCTTCACCAGCACCGTGGTCACCGAGGTGAGTCGGCCTGCAGGGAGCCTCCTGGAGCTACATCAGCATCACTAGCAGCAGCAGCAGCGGTAGCGGTAGCAGCAGAAGAAGGCGGCACCTGCTGTTGTAATACAATAAAGTCAGAGTCGAAAGTATGGTTTCCTGCTCAAAGGAACATTGAGGCGGTAATCATCTTTTGTTTAATGCCCCTTCGAGTCAGTGACGGGAATTTCACATTCCTATGGAGGGGGGGGGGGGGGCATGCAATAGGTCAATCACTTAAAACTTTCGTGACTACAGGAATTCATATTCGTGGTTCTCTCGGTAAAGTCACGTAGATAGAAAAAAAAAGAACCAAGGATATAGGTCAATCACTATTGACTTCTACACATCGTGTTAACGATTTATCGACTCCGGAGGGATGATGGGCTGAGCCAACTCCCCCACTTTGTGTCGAAAGCGCTCCAGAATGTTGCATTTTTATTTATTTCGCTGTTTATCTACTATAATCACCAAAAAATGTCTGTCCGTCCCGCGCGTGACGTCACTCCACATACCGTACCACTCCCAAATAACCATATACGGGTGACGTCACTCCATATGGGGCAACCCCCTCCCCCCTTATTAATAATAATGAGCTGAACAATTTTTCTATTGAATATTTCAGATTTACTGCAATATACTGTACCCCCGTCCTTGGATGGGCAAAAAAGCTAGTACATATTATTTAGGGTTGTATAGTCCTGTGTATACTACCATACAAAGCACACATTCACCGCAATTTGGAATCCTACTGTTGTCAAAATCTGGAGTGGAGCACCCAGTTCCTCCCTCACTGCACCGGACAGAAGTACAACATACAACATACGTGTTAGCACTTACTGGGAAGGACTTAGTCACGCATGTGGAGAGCACATCGCAAATAAAGGCCGTCCCCGGGTTACAGAAGACCCGACTTACGGATATCCGACTTACGGAACCCGCCTCTACGGGAATGCTCCCATAAATCATGTAAAAAAATCATTTTAATACTGTATGCATAAATGTTTGCATTAGTTACGTAAGCGCAAATAGTTCAGCGCGGCGAGGTTGTGGATGAATGCAGCGGAGCTAGGCGTAAGGCGGGACAGCTGCGTATTCCCGAATTTGGTTGTGTTCCTGCAGAGTGTAGAGCAGTCTGTTTCATCGCTACCCTGAGTACACTCTCCCCGCCACCTCGTCTCTTTTCCTTTTGCAGCATTACGTCATTGTTTTCTATTGTTCGTGGTATTCATAAACAATGTGTTCCATTAGTTTCGGCATGGGTAGTGTTTGGGTAGATATTCGATCAAATTAAAGAATCGTAGGAATTGCAGAGCTTTTGGACAGCGATAGTGGTAGAAAACAGACGACAGCGCGATACAGTACTGAGAGAAAACGGTAGGGGAGACACAGATATTTCCAACTATGGTATTTGATCTTGATTTTGGGGGAAATTTGTTCAGTTTACGACATACGGATCATTCGGGTTACGGATATTCTTCGGAAACTTAACCGTACACAACTACACACGCGGATGCAACCAGTACTATTGTCACAGAAGAATAATAAGAAACAACTGCGATCAAACTCTACACTAAATCAGTGGAAGGCGATGGGAGCAAAAATCTAAGGGCGATATTTCCATGGGATTCGCGGGGGAATACGTCGAGACCAAATTTCAACGTGCAAAATATGAAAGTAAAACAAATGCATAAACACACGTGTGGTGGTGTACATGTCAATCCACTGCTGGATCAATGTCTCCCCATGCAGTGTCGATCATGTGTCCGTGTGTGTGTGTCCATCTCTGTGTTCCCCGCGTGTGCCTCCGATTGCCTCGATGTCCCCTCCACGTGCGCGTGCGTGCGCGTGTATGTCCATGTCACCCGTGTCACTGGCAGTGGGACCTGGTTTGCACGAGAAGTTACCTCAATAACGTGGGCTCGTCCATCTTCATGCTGGGCCTGATGGTGGGGTCTCCCGTGCTTGGGACCATGGCTGACAAGTGTGTCTCACGTGGCCAGAACCGCGCACTCACAACGAGTCGCAGACTCACAGCGCACGCACGCACACACGGGTCAATTAATAACGATAGCAAGGGTAATCTTCTTCTGGCGTGTGGCAAGTGTAGCACGTGTAACAATATGCCTCCTGATTTAAGTTTGTGAGCCATGCGATAAAAGCTTCGGGAGTAGAGCGGCTCATGCTGTCCTATTCTTAGTTTTTTTCAGTAAAGTCACGTAGGTAAAACATTAAAATTAATAAAAGTTAAATAAAATAAAAATCACGACGTTTCGGAGGCAACACAAGCTTCCGTCTTCAGGTGGAACCGTCACAGCCGCGACAGCTGTATCAAGTAAATGAGAGATTGCAGGAGCTACCACTTCGTTTATATAATGGTTGGAGAGGGGGGGGGAGCGGCAAGTACAGCACACTTTTTATTCATATGGTAAGGTGAGGCTTAAGAGGGTGAGCCTTTGTTATGGAGAGGTACGGTTTGTGACTCAACCTGTGACAAGGAGAAAACAACTGAACATGGTAAACCTGTAATAGTTGTCTGTCAAATAAGATTGGCCAAATAAGTGTAGTTAAATATTTTTTGCATGGTTAATCACATCTTTCCAATGATTACTCAGTTTGTAACCATCATCACCGTTCCGAAGCGGTTAATGGAGCCACCACTGTTTTCTGTCTCGCTGGATCGATCAAAGCCATGCAGAGCTGTGTTCGGGCCCTCAATGGGGCTTTGATTAGGAACCTCAGCAACAGAATTCCACAGTGACTATGTTAATAATTAATTGTCACAGATAGGCCAAACAGATTTCATAAATGTCATGGACAAATGGGTTTGTGCCAAACTCGTGGACAAATGTTTGTTGATTGCAAAGCATTTTTTTGTGATTTTACTCTTGCGTACGGCAGTGTTCATGAACTAAATGCCAACGTCAAGGTCTGCTCGCCACGTCGGGAGGTCTTCAGCAGTTTGTGTCGTTTTGGCTGTTCCACCGTTGAAGGAACACAGACTACAGTGGTTTACTATAATAGTGTTGGGTTGCATGGCCACAGTCGCTGTGGTTTGTCGTTTTGTGATAACCAACGATAATTATATCACAAATTCACTTTTATATACTATATGCAGAAATTACTACCATGGGTGGACTCTGATCCATAGACGAAGCATGTTAATTTATCAACGTCGCTAATCACGTGTGCTTACTTACAGTGCAGTGTGCGAGGTGTGGAGCAGCTGGATTAGGGTCACGGAGATGGTTCTATTGAGAGGAGATGCACAGGGTGGTCGAGTATGGAAGGAAATGTGAAGGAGCTCGGTCAGCCACAGTGTGTTGGGGTGCCGTGACGCTGGTCATGGTCAATCCCGGTTTATTTTATTGAACCAGGTGAGAGCTGAAGACGTAGGATTTCGTGACCAATTTTATCCATAATATAGGGTTTGGTTTAGATCGCGTAAATATAAATGTGTCGTTAAACCTGCCACCACCCGACACAGCCAATTAGTAAGGTTTGTATATGGAAGATTTTGAAGCAAAAGCAATAGCTTCAAGCACACTAAAACCCTGTTTGGTTTAGATATGTGGATGACACATTGGTGGTCTGGCCACACGGTACAGATACACTTAAATAATTTCTAAATAATTTCAACTCGCAAAATCCATCCATCAAGTTCACCGTGGAAGTGGAGGCTGATAGAACTCTCCAAATTACGGATGCAATTGCAAGTGAACCTGTCGTAATACGAAGTCAACAGTTTTAGCATCAGATTATTCTTTAGATCGGAGAGGAAGAAAGGGCATTTTTTGAGCGATCAAGTTCCAAATGTTTTGGTCGGGCATTAACAGATCGAGAATGAGTGAGAGGACTTTACTGTCCTCAGCAAATTGTAGAGTGTGTTTATATCGCTGCCTCCTGGCCAGTGACTCTGGCTCTGAGACCCTGACAGATCCTCCAGGGTTCGTGCATGGACACCTGGCTGGACATTCCTCCAGTGTTTACTGTCGCCTGGCATAGCTCGTGTTATGTTCGCCTCATACCCTTGCGCTTGTTGTGTTTCTCTGGAGTGGACTCGCTCGTTTGTGTTATGTTTACCCCATACCCCAGCTCTTGTTTGTTTTGTTTCTCTGTGGTGGTCCCATCCATATTTATTGTAAAACGTGGTTTGCAAAGTTCAGCGTTTTGAGGAGGCAACTTGCATGAACGATGTTACGTAATATAAAATTATTATTAACATTGTTATATCTAACCTCTGGCTGGCAGGAAAAAACAAGAACAAATTATATATTATTTTCAATTAACTTGTGTGCCGTTGTATATGTTCTCTGAGACAATAGTTTTAATTTCGACAAGTGTGACATGTATTGTCAGGTAGGAACACCTTGAGACAGGTCTCTTTTTGGAGAGACATGGTTTGCAAATTAACAATGCATGGTCCAAAACACGCACAATAATCATTGACCGTAGCTGTGGAGAATATAAAGAGCGAATTAAATAAGCTTGCTCCACAGGCGACGAGTTCACAGTGCAGCGCGCTATCCGCCGTGCCACTGTTCCACCCTCCCATAAAACGCAGGGATCAAATGAAGCCATTCTCACGCACGAGGTTCGATGCGTGATTCCACGAGCTCAAGACTCATTAGTTTAGCAAGTGCTTCATCTCCGAGGCATCCAATCGCGCCCGTTGGTTCTCGTAGAGACTTCCGCAAAACTCCGTGAACTGGCCATCAACAATATACGACACTGTTTGTGCAGTGCCCCAGCTGGAGTTTGGGTTGTCACAAAGACCCGAAACGGCGGAGGTTGACCTGATCACTTGTACGTAGAACTTCGACTTAACACTGTGATGTTTCGCTGCAGGTACGGCCGTAAGTCCGTCATCCTCGTCTCGATGGCAATTCAGACAGCCTTCGGCCTCGGGGCGGCGTTCGCGCCCAACTTCGTGATGTACGCCTTGGCCCGCTTCATGGTCGGAGTCGCCATCTCGGGCGTCATCATGAACGCCTTCGTGTTGGGTGAGCCTCGCTTGGGGAAGAAGGGGCGTTGTTAATGGGTGGCAGTGGGGGAGCAGCCCCGCTCCTCAACTTTACAGAATACATGACCGAAATTAAGCCGTGGTCAGGCGTCTGGAAGCAGATATAAACTAAACAAAATTTTTTTTTAGCAGGTAAGGCCCATTGCGATATATAACTCTTGTTAAGAATCGACCTGGCCACAAGTAATAGCCCAACAAAGTGGCTTATCACGTGGAAATTTATAGTAGCAGCCAAATAATCTAAATGCATGTATCTAAAGGTCGAGGGAAAAACCGGAGGATGCGGAGACAAATCCACGTAACCACAGGGAGAACATGCAAACTGTAAATATATAGGTGTCAGGGTCGGGATCGAACCTAAATGCCAGGCGAGGTAGTTAACCTCTCGCCACCATGGCGGCCTTAAGTTCGTGCCAGATTAATGTAGAGACATTAATGGGACACCTATTTTTAACAACAGTCAGAAAATATGACTGCAGACCTCAGATTGGGTTCCCTTAACCAGAGTCTTAAATCACTCAGAGATGCTAGACTTAGTAACACATTGGGAGCTTAGTAACACATGGGCCAGGAACATGGACACTGACAAAATATAATGGGAAAATATAAATAAATCCTCGAAAGAAGCATGTAGAGATTCATGCTCGGAATTACACTGAGAAAAATAATAAGCACATGGATTGGGGAAGAAATGCAAAATCAGAGACAGAGATGACATCAGAGATGACATCGTGATCCTCTCAGCCGACAAGGGCAATGCCACAGTTATCATGGACAAAACCACATACAATAACAACATTAAGGACCTACTTAATGATGGTAGCTATACCAAAATTAAAAGAGATCCCACCAACCACCTCGTTACGAAAACCAACAATATCATCACTGATTTGACATCTTTGATCAAACCAACCAAGCGGTTTTCCTTAAAACCCTCTGCTGCTAGACCACCCAGATTGAATGGCTTACCAAAAATCCATAAAGAAGGGACACCTCTTCATCCTATCGTCTCCACCATTGACTCACCCACCTACAAACTGGCCCGATTTCTGTCTGAGACCTTACAACCATTCACTGGTAAGACCACCTCAGCTGTACTCAACTCAGCTCACTTGGTATCATTCATTAAGGACATCTCACTATCTCCAGGTGATTTGCTCGTTAGTTTCGATGTGGTCTCTTTGTTTACCAAAGTTCCTGTGCTTGACACCATTGCAATCATTGAAGATTTGGTCCAACAAGGACTGAATGCTGATGTACTGGCCCTGGTGAGACACTGCCTCACCAACACTTACTTCACCTGGAATGGAACATTGTACAAACAAGTTGAAGGTGCCCCAATGGGTTCTCCCTTATCTCCAGTTGTAGCCATTGTCGGGTTGGCTGCCCACCACTTACATTATCATTGGCTGCTGACATTTGGGCTATGCCCATTTCAAACCCTTATAAACAGTTTGCCTTGGAAGCTAACCCCCCTTTTCCTGAAGACGACCGCTTGTGTTGCGATCGAAACATCGTAGTTTTTTGTTATTTTCTTTGAACCTATCTACGTGACTTCACTGAAAGACCCAAGAATACAGAGACATCCAATTGATGGTTAAGAAAGGTGAGCCATCAGCATAGCTCGAAGTGATATTAGCCGATGGACAAGGTGGTGATGGAAGATAAGTCTAAGGAGTAAATGTGCACTAGAGGGCAACTACTGCGGAGATGGAGCGATGATATTGCGTTACGTAGAAGAATGAGATGGATTGTGGCATCGTCGCACTGTATGGGTTAGCCACAGCATGGGAAAGCCTCTATTCAGCAGTTGATATACAATTGTTGATAATGAATGCCTGGGTAAATGGGACATTGCTTTATTGTACTCGGAGATGATTTAAGGCAGTCAGGTCATACGTGCCTACCGCATCCACTACAATCTTAACTACCACCATTATCGACACCGCCACCACAATAATCACAACCACCAACATCATCATTCTCACCTTCATGATCACCACCACTACAATCAATATCACCATCATTCATGAGCACCACCTTCAATGACTGTGTATGCAACAATTGACCCCGACGACTCAATGAACTCATTTATATTCTTCTATTGCTCTATTGCTCTTTGCTTTTGTCTGCCTCGTTAGCACATCCACGCGTAACATTGGCAGGCAACTTAAAATTGACGACAAAAAACGAAACATGCTTCTCGAGTCAATGCCTGATCGCTACCGCTGCTGCCACCGCTGGCAGCCACGGAGTGGACGGGCATCGGCGAGCGCATGCTGGCCGGAATCGCCACTCAACAGGCGTTCGGCGTGGGCTACATGCTGCTCGCGCCCGTCGCCTACTTCATCCGCGACTGGCGCCACCTGCAGCTCGCCATCTCCATCCCCGAGATCCTCTTCATCGCCTACATCTGGTGAGGAGCAACGGCAGCACCGGCGGCATCGGCAGCGGCAGCAGCAGCGGCGAGGCCCATGCTTCTTACGGCGACCCATGACCCCGGCAGGGAAACGGTGGCGGCTGTCACGCTGAACTTTGAATCGTGTGGTCGCATATGCCGTAACCTCGGTCGATCCTCGTGCGTGAAATGACATTCGCTGGCGTGGTAATTGCAACTCACAATTTGTAACACGTGCATAATGCGCACACGTAACTCCGTGGGTGCAGAGCTGAGCTCAGAGTTCCCCCATACTCTCGTCGAAAGAGATAAGCCTCGCGGCTGCTGCTTAGAAACGGAGGGAGCGTCGCTGCTGTCTATTTGCAGAGGGATGGAGTTTCAGGCAACAGGTGCAGCAGCAGAGAAACGTCACTCGGCTAAGACCGTCATGGTTCTGGGGGCAGCGAACAGCGTCTGTGACGAGCTCCATCGTGGCCCCGTGACTCTCCGCAGTCCGCGGTGTAAGGAGACGGGTCAGATAAGGACCGTGAATGAGAGCTTGTCAACGCAGGACAGCAATTTGTATGCTCGATTTAGCATTCATTTATTTCAAACTAAACACTGTTCAGGAGTCAAGAGTGATTTTCTGCTCAACTGAGCATTGAAGCAGTGCCCCTCCCCTGCTGCCCCAACCTCTGGTGTCGGCGAATCTGTCTATAGTACATTCACTGTTGACTTGGCCACAAAATGGTACTGAATGTTTTCAACCCCGGAGGAATGATGGGCTGTGTCAACTCTCAACACCAGGATTGGAACTCGTAAAAGCTTTCGAAGTGCGTGCCGCTCTCTGGTTTACTCATTACGAATGTAAATCTTTGTAAAGTAAAGCAACAGTTGCAGGCATTTAGAAGGTATGTTGTCAAATAGTAAATAAACGTCTTGGTCTTCAAGAGGATCCTGCCATATTTTGAGGGCAATGTTGCTGCTGTGTGGAATCCCAGTTGAATAATTTGCAGGTAATTTTTAAGCATGTAAGCATGTTGAACTTCTTTCGCACCGTATGTAGCTCACCATGCTAATTGGAGGTGCTGCGGGAAGGTCCACAAACTAAACACAAAAAGCAACATAGGGATATTTGGTCAATACCAGTTTCATTTTGTCTATTCAGCTATGAGAGGAAACCCATGCAGAACAGGGGGGAGGAGAATATCCAAACTCTACAACCACAGGCACCCAGGTCAGATATCGAACCCAGGATCTTGCTGCGAGGCGCGAGTGTTACCACTGCATCTCCCTGGTCAGTAGTGAATGTGTTAGTGAATGTGGTAGTGAATGTGGTAGTGAATGTATTGAGTTCTGTGCCCCCAGGCTGCTGCCCCGCTCTGCCCGGTGGCTCCTGGCGAACAATCACCACGACAAGGCGGCGAGTCTGGTGCGCAGAGCAGCGGCGATCAACGGCATGAGCCTTCCTGATGACCTCCTGAAGTCGGAGGTACGGGCTGGGAACTTGCACATTGGAGCTCCGCACTCACTTCACTGCTGCTACGGTCACCAAATTGCGCAAAAAAATATTGAACTGATTATGAAATCGAATCATTCCGAGGGGGATTAATTGCTACATAGTGCTGAACAAACCCGCACAAACGAGGAGGCAAAAACGAGAAATATGGTGCCAAATTTATAATTTAATTGTTCAGGGATGAATCATCGCAATGCCTACCCATAATGATAATCTTCTTCATGGTTAGTGTGCATGTTGAGCATGCATTCTCCGTTGAGCATGTACAATGCATTCACTCAAACTTTCAGTTCAACAAGTTGAATTCACTACAATTGAAATTCAACTCCCGGCGAAGCCCGCACTCGGATTGCCAGGGGCCGAGGTGAGAAGCTGCGGTTTCAGGCCGGTCATGTCGCCTCTCTCCTCCTCCCTCCCGCCCCGTGCCTCTCGTGCCACAGATGCTGAAGCAGAAACTGGCGGCGAGCCCTCAGCAGGCCCACTCTGTCCTGGACCTCTTTCGCACGCCGCGGCTGAGGAAACAGTCCTTCATTCTCTTCTACTCTTGGTGAGCGTCACTTGCGCGGAAGAGAAAAAACAATTTGAGCACTTTACGGTGATGAACTTGTCAAATAGAAAAACGTGAGTGCAGATTGAATATAAATATGTTTTTGGGGATGTATGTTGAACTTCTTTCGCACCATATGTAGCCGACCAGATTAATCGGACCCGGTGTATGGTTATCCCCTAAGGCTGTGAAGGCCAGAATAAATAAGAGTACAGTGATCCCTCGTTGATCGCGGTTAATGGGGCCCGGAACCCCTCGCGACAGGTGAAAATCCGCGAAGTAGGATTGGCCCCCTAGGAATTTCCGTATATGTGTGTGTGGGTACCAGAATGTTTAAAATATGTATATTTATACTTTATATATATATTTTTACTTAAATCTATTTAATTATAAAACCTTAATATTATACATTCACTCTCTCTCTCTCTCATACGATACGTATTATGGTGTTCTACACTCACCAATGACAGTAGTATCTTGAGACTTGACTCCAGTAATAACGATGACGACGATGACAGACCTGTGCAGTTCGATGAATGTGATGATGAATGATGATGGTGTTACTGCACAGGTATAATGAGGCCTTTAAATCAGTTCGGGAAGCATCCTGGGAAACCGTTTCTCTCGCGCATCACGGTGAAATAACGCTGCTTTCCGCAATACGGCTGCCGATATGACGGTATTTTTGAATTTTTATTTTTCGATGAATATTTTTTAAAAATCCGTGATGCACTGAGGCCGCGAAACTTGAACCGCGAAGTGGCGAGGGATTACTGTACCTCCTACTAGTGTCTGTGAATCAGCACACTACATCTGTTTTGGCGAGCTGCAAAGGTCAAATGGGATGTACATGCCAGGTTTTAATTCAGCCTGAGCTGTTTGGGACTGAGCTTCAGATAATATGTCCTCGCCTCCACCCCCAGCCCGCCCGCTCCCAACCAAGACCCTTCTATCCTTCCGTGAGAAATGAAGTCCCGTGTGTGTGTGTAAATCATCATGAGGGGAGTGGTAGTGTAGCGGTTAGCGTGCTGCGATATGAACCCGGTGACCCGGGTTCGATTCCTGCTCACGGCCAACACCAGTGATGATTATCCGAACCGATCCTGGGCCTCCCCTAGGTCGACTCAGCCTCAAATGAGTACTTGGTGTGGTGTGAAAACATCGCCACCTTGTATGTATGCTTATTGAAGTTCTTTCGCACTGTACGTAGCCAACCGTGCTGATTGGAGGTGGAATGTGGATATTGCAAGAGACCACGTTGCTGTGTCAGCAACACCCAGTTTGCATGGCAGAGGACACAGCGATGGAACATGAAAGGTCGATGCACGAAATTTGAAATGTGAATAAAAAAATATTTAAGGGCAATACAGTAACTAACTGTAAATGTATATATGAGAGGGTACATGTGTTTTGTAGTGTTATATGCCACTGTTCGGGCGTGGTGCTGGCCGTCCACCCCCTCATGTACCGTTCCGGCTTTCATAGGTGCTTGCTAACAGCAATTGCCCCTACAGTCTGTTAAGGCTATAACGGGGGTTCTTTGTCTTTATCATCATGAGTGGCTAAATGAGTTGATGGCGAGTGAGAGGAGACGTCGCTTGCCGCCCGCCGCAGGTTCGCGATCACTCTGGTCTACTACGGCCTCTCGCTCGGCATCTCCGACCTGGGGCTGGACATCTTCCTCACGCAGTTCATCTTTGGCGCCGTGGAGATCCCCGCGCGCTTCCTCTTGCTCGTCACGCTCCCCAAGAGCCGCAGGATGTCCCAGGTCGGCTTCCTGGCCTTCGGGGGCCTCTTCTGCATCCTCACCGTGGCCGTGCCAAGCGGTACGAGCCTCGCGATCGTCGTCGTCATCATCCAGATGCCTCTCCAAGCCGTCACCATCCTCCACGGTTGTCCGATACAGCGCCATGGAGTTGGGGAGGACTGAAGGGGGCTCACTCTCCCCGCTAAAGGCCGAGCCCCCCCCCTATTAAATGCCTTCGGCACGACTGGGCAATGGGCGTCGTACTGCCACAGCCTTTCCTCGACGACGCAGGCTGTGGCAGCTAGAGCAGAACGCACGGCAGACAAGCGGAGATCGCATTGCCGCTCATTCTCTTTAGTGGCCAACATTTATTCTAGATTTGAAGCTTTCGTGACTGCAAGGATTCATATTCTTAGGTTTTTTCGGTAAAGTCACGTAGGTAAAACATCAAAATTAATGAAAATAAAATAAAGATAAAAATCACGACGTTGCCTCCGAAACGTCGTGATTTTTATCTTTATTTTATTTTCATTAATTTTGATGTTTTACCTACGTGACTTTACCGAAAAAACCTAAGAATATGGCCAACATTTGTTTCAAGCTTGTTTAAAATTCAGACTCGGACTCTTTATTTATGTGGAGGAATCCGACGAGCTATAAAGTTATAATTTCACAGATGTCCAGTTACATTGACAGTGTCATGCCTGTACCCCCTCCCTTCCCCTGACGTTCACGCGAGTTGCGAGGCAATGTCTCGTGACGCTGCACGTAATCTACCCCGAGAGTTACAAACTTGCCCCAGACGAACCCGAGCTCAGACTGTCTTTTGTTGCCTTCGCTTTACAGAGCAGACCGTAGATCGTGTCCCCCCACCGCGTGTCTCTCCACGCACACAGACATGCCCACCGTTCGGACCGGGCTCGCGATGCTCGGGAAGTTCGGCGTCACGGCTTCCTTCGTCGTCATCTTCATCTACACGGCAGAGATCTACCCGACGGTCATCAGGTTTGTAACTGCACAGGGGGGGGGGGGGGGGAGGTTGGGGGAGCAGTGGCGCTCGCCTGATATCCAAGGTGGTCGTGGGTTCGATCCTGACCCTGATGTCTGTATATTTGGAGTTTAACACGGAGGCTTTCACGACCAATGTCATCCATTATAGAGGTTTTTTTTGGGTTAGAACGCGTAAATATATAAATGTGTCGTTAAAACCCGCCACCACCCGACACAGCCAACTAGTAAGGGTTGTCACGTAAACAGAACGTGGCCAATTCGTCACTAGTACAGCACTAGTGTGTAGTATAGTGTAGTGTGTAGTGTATAGTACTGTAGTATAATAGGACAGCACACCGGTGTGTTGGAGAGCCAAGCCACAACATTTACAATCTGAGTACGACGTTTCGCCAGTAATTACAACTAGCTTCATCAGGCGACAGCCAGATTTGTGGAGAAGTCCACTTGTTTCGTTCCTTATATAGAGGCGTAGATGTGGTGACCACCCTTCTGCGCTCTTGCACAATGTGGGGGGGGGGATGACTGAGGCAACGTACATTATGCATGTGCATTATGCGAGCCCTTTGAACTTGTCCTTCCTGTCTATTGAGTTTATTAAAATAGCTGTACCAAAGGTAATCCCTATTGAAGTACGCTGCCCTTTGTTGGCATGCATTTAAATAATGTATTATTTGATGATTCGCTTCCACGCAGCACTAAGGCGGTAGCTATCCGAACGGTTAAAGTTATAGCATTTTGATTTCTTTCAATTTCGCTAGATTCTCAAATTAGTCTTGGCCAGTAGTAGCTAGTTTTGCACAAAACTTCAACATTATGAAAATAAATTGAGTGTCCTTGTTGTCACGCGTGTTCTGCTACTGCTGACAGTTGTATTTGGGAGGATTGAATATTTCTCTGATGTTCTTTTAGTCTCGTGCTGATAATTTTTCCTGTTTGCCCAACATAACATTTACCACACGTGCAGTTAATCCTGTACACACCTTCTGTTGATAACTTCGTTAATACATCTTTTGTACCAGATATTAATTTGTGTTTTATGTACCGTGCCAAATCTGACTCGGATGTTTGGTTTTTCCAAGCATCTGGCTAGTTTATCAGTTTCTCCCGCAATGTACGGTATTTTGATCGTTTTTATTACTTGGGCAGTTTCAATGCTCATGTTATTTGATTTGGTTTTGGCATTCAATGCCCTGTTAATTTGTGCATCATTGTAACTGTTCATTTTCAGCGCTTCTTTAACGTGTTGAATTTCACTTCTCAGACTATCATCATCTGACACTTTCTTAGCTCGTTGAATGAGCGTCTTGATAAGAGCAGATTTTGCGTGGGGTGATGGTGTGACTGCATTCAGATAGGCGTCTGACGCCGATCTGAATGCATCGAGCTAAGAAAGGGAAGTCTCATCCCTGATTGAATTGGGGCAGGAGAGGCATGAAGAGGATGGGGGAATAGAGGCTGGGGAGCAGTGTGGTAGATTTTTATTACGAAAAATAATCTCCTGCATGCAAGAGCTGAGTGAGGGGTTAGGGCATGAGGTGGTCTTGTTGAACTGAGTGGAGGAGCTGTAGCTGAGGGGACAGCACACGAGGTGGTCTCGTTTAATACAAACGACGGCGGCTTCGAGTGTCCACACCCAAGACGACAGGGGACAGGATATAATTAATTCTGCACCACCTCGGCTACATCATCTCCCCCCGCGGCTGTTGCCTCTCTGTTTTGGCGTGCCGCACCCCAAATCCACGGCTCATGGCAAACCACCCTCTTGCTCCCTCCCTCCTTCACCACCCTGCCCTCCTTCCCTCCCTCCCTCCTTCCTCTCAATCCCTCTCCTCCTTCCCTTCCTTCCTCCCTCACGCCCTCCCCTCACTCCGTCCCCTCCATCCATCCTTTCTCTCCCTCCTTCCTCTCGCTCCCCTCACTCCCTCCCCTCCCACCCTCCCTCCCTCCCCTCGTCTCCCTCCCCCCCTCCCTCCCTCCCCTTACTCCCTCCCTCCCTCCCCTCCCTCCCCCCTCCCTCCCCCCTCCCTCCCCTCCCCCCCTCCCTCCCCTCCCCCCCTCCCTCCTCGTCTCCCTCCCCCCCTCCCTCCCCTCCCACCCTCCCTCCCCTCGTCTCCCTCCCCCCCTCCCTCCCCTTACTCCCTCCCTCCCTCCCTCCCCTACCTCCATCCCCTCTCTCCCTCCCCTCACTCCCCTCCATCCCCTCACTCCCTCCCCTCCTCCCCTGCCTCCCCCCGCGTGCGCCTCGTGCTCGTGCAGGCAGATGGGCGTGGGGATGTCGTCGATGTTCGCTCGCTTCGGCGGGGTGCTCGCCCCCCTCGTGAGCCTCGCCTTCCCCCCGGGCCACGCGGGCCCGATGGCGATGTTCGGGGCGATGTCCCTGCTCGCCGCCGCGCTCGGACTCGCGCTGCCCGAGACGGCCAACCGCCCGCTGCCCGACTCCATCGCCGACACCGAGAGGAGGGATGATGATGATGATGGGGGGGAGGAGGAGGAGCGGCGGCAGGGGCGGCAGAGCGAGGGGTGAGGTGGCCCTGGGGGAGGGAGCCGAGGGGGCTCGAGGCGGATTCGCACGGCGGGGATTTGGAGATTTGGGCGATGAGAAGTTTGGGGGGGGGGGGGGAATTGTGAAACTAAACTTATTTTTTATTTGTATTTTACCTGTTTTATCACTGAACTGACCTATGCAGCTATGTTTAGAAGCGACCTGACCATCACAAATGATAGTTCAACAAAATTTATAGCAGCCGAATACTCGAAACGCGCGATGTCGATTCAAAACGTGGAGGTCGTTAACATCTCATAGCCACCGCGACGCCTGTAGCCGCGGGGACAGGACACGGGGCAGCTATAGTTTGACACGGGAATGAGTAACCGTAACGTCGTGGACAGCAGGTCCACTACACAACTGAAGGTTTGGGTTTATATTGGAGGGACATGACACATCAAGTACCTCTTGGGGCACCTACTGAAGATGGAGCGAGGTCAGAATTACGCAACGCAGAGGAGGGCGAGTGGAGAAGGTTGGGGTGCTTTTGGAAAATAATTGCAGTGGATTGACAACGAAAAGCACTGCGCCTGAGAAAGATTAAATCGGTGTACATTGCATGGATCATAAATACTGACGCGGACAATCGGAAATCAGCATTGTGTGTAAAGAAGCAGGGAGAGACACACGCTTGGAATAACACCGAGAGACAGAGGAACATTTATGTGCCTCTTCTGAATCCCAGGTTCCCCTAGAAAACGTTGACTTTTAGTCTCAATGGGTCGTCGCCTGGTTGAATAAAAAAGGATAAGACTATGTATTGTTAATTCGCGTGCATATGGCCTAGAGAATGCGTGTGTGTGTCCGAGTCGGTGAAGAAGAGTGTCATATCTGTGTGTGAGCAGGTGAGAACATGTGACCTGTGCAGAGAAGACACTAAAGACGCGTCTCCTGACGGCCGCTCCGTGACCTTCAGGGACAAGACGTTCTGTCTGCTGTCTGGCCACTGGTGCAAGATGTGTTGTGTCCAAGACCGGCCTTAAATGTAAACGATCGTGAAGTTAAACAATATGAAGTGTAACTTGAGCACGTGGCATTGAGAAGATTTCAGAGGCGCCATATTTCCCCCCAAAAACAATTATTTCGAATCAATGTTTAGTCACTGTTAATGCCATGCCACGTGGGTTTCACTGGAGGTGTAAAGATGCATCAATGTAGTTATATCTACGTCTCAGCTCACGATGCATGCATCCAATTTCGTATCATGGGACCTTTTTCGCCAGTATCAATGTATAATAACAATTACGTTTTTTTATTCGTGGGTTAATGTGACCCCTGTAGCCGCCAGAGGACGATATATTCACTACAGTTTAATGGTGACCCTGAATCACGATGGTTCTTCGAATTGCCACAAAGTTCAAGGATAAGGAACGGTTCGTTTTCATGCAACGCCAGCCTCGCGAACCTCGCTGGACCGAAGCAATACCGAGACGGGGTGGAAACGAGGCAAATAGGAATCTATTCCTGAATCAAACTGTGGTTCTGATTTGTGACAATTCATAGACTCGCAGGGAGGGATGAATTGTTACAAATACACCTCTGTGCTGCGGTAAGTTCCATTAGCGGGCACCTATGAAGGCCTGCACGGCACACGCGGGGGTTGGTGGCCAACACCATGCCCGGTCGCCTTTTGTTTCCATACTGGTGATGTTTACATGTTGCACCAGTTACTCATTTGAGGCCGAGTCGACCCAGGGGAGGCTCAGGACCGGTTCAGGTGATTGTCACGAATGTTGGCCGGGGGGGGGGGGGAATCGAACTCGAGTCGCCGGGTTTGTAGCGCAGCTTTGCCAACCACTAAACCACCACTCCCCATACACACAACGTCCAGCTTCCAAACGCCCAAAGATTACTGTTTGGAAGCCGGGTCGTGCCGTCAATTCCACACACAATTCCCGTTCTCATTCTCCCCAAATCAGCGTTTACCCATGATATGTTTTCCATAAATCTTGTACCTGGACAGCGCTTTTGTCAATCCACTGCTGGATGAGGGTTGGGATCTTGTATCTTCTAATAAAACGCAACATCTGCGGACTTTGCAGCTACAAGCTTGTGTTCATTTACACAGGCATAAAAAATACTCTCCGACTCTTGCAGTGCCAATAATAGCAAGTGCTTTGCCTCAATTTTGCTTGCAAGTCAAAAATAAACTTTTAGAAGTGCGCCGCATGGAACCCACACCCGGACGTTCCATCGTAGGCCGCATCACCACATTGACCTCTCATACAATGAGAGTTTCGGCATCCGTTCTCGGTAGCCCATGTAGATCTCAAGGCTACCTTTCGACTCGGTCGACCGCAAAGCTCTTTGGTTGCTCCTCTCACAAGCATTGGATTGATTACCAGCCAAAAGATTGTGAATTTGTTTAAGGAGCTCGACAAAGACACAATCAGTTGCTAATAATTGTTTTTTTTACCCTTTTATCTGGCAACAAAACTGACACCTTTTTTTTTACAAGGAGTCATGTTTGCATTGACCACAATACCTAAAACAAAAGGTGTCAGTTTTGTTGCCAGATACAAGGGTAACAAACCAATTATCATATTTTGCTACTGGCAAAGGAGGTTCCAATGGTGTAAATAATCAGTTGCGTTCGTGTAGACGGAGAGTTGTCCCGAGTGGTGCAGTATCCAAAGCGGCGGCAAGACAACGCTGCACCATTGCCCCGATAATGTTCCTTGCCCCACTGGACTGGATACTGCAGTGCACGGTCCACAAAGGCCTGCCAGGAGTAACCCTGGGTAAAGAGGCGCTCACCATCCTGGACGATGGAGATGATGTTGCCTTGCTAAGCTGAAATGCTCGAAGTTTTTACTCCCTCGCCCTGGAGATCATTCATAGTGAAGCCCTCACATTTGGCCTGGAAATAAATTGGGCTAAACCAAAAATACAGACCACTGCTGAGCAGCCATACAACGTGCCTAAAGTGGAAATAGCGGGCAACGATGTTGAATTGGTAACCATCTTTCACATCGCGACTGCACTATGCAACTCACTGGAAGCAGCAAGGCAGAAATTAAAAGACGAATCTCAATTGCACGCGAGACATCTCGACAAGACACCTGGCGCTCCAATATCACAACAGCAACAAAGATTCGGAAATACAACGCATGCATCCTCCCCGTACGACTGAACGGCACAAGAGAGACGTGGTCAATGACGGCGTCCCTGAGCAGGAAGCTGGATGCCTTCGACCGGTGGTGCCCGCGAGCGACGGAAACTTCGCATCCACTTCAGTGAACACTTCGCCAATACCGAGGTCCACCTTCGCACGGGATGCCCGACGGTGCATGCGACGATCAGAGCCAGAAGACTCGGGCTTTTGGGACACGTCCGGGCGGACGCATCAACAGATCACGCCAGAGGCCTGCGCGCGATCGTCGAGACGAGAGGCGCCCTCGAGGGAGACCACCACGGCCGCAGTGGACACGCACGACCGAGGTTGGATCTTCGACACCACGGCCTCGTCTTGCAGTCAGCGTGGCGGATCGTGGGGACTGCTACGCCCTGAGGGGCATGCACATGATGATGATACGAAATCGTGACCCCGGTTTTGTGACGATTTATCGAGGCGGGTGGAGAGCACAGCCGTTTAGCCATTGAAACTTTGACGTTAACATGGGTGCATGGAGGGTTGCACAAAATAACTGGGACATCCTAGGGGGGTTAGGGGAGAATGTTTCACTTCTTTCGCACCATACGTAGCCAACCATGCTTGACTCAATTTATCACTCGGCCTTAAGATTTGCATTGAACTGCCCATATAGGACTCACCACTGTGATCTCTACATTGGGTCAAACTTAACATCTCTTAGTGTTCGACGGCTTGTGCACCAGATCTTATTTATTCACGATGTACTTACAAAACAATCCGCAGACTACCTGCTGGATCTCCTCTCTATTTCGAAGAACAAATGTAACCTAAGGTCTTCGCTCATTTACTAGCTTCACATTCCTTATTGCCGTACAAATACTGGAGCAAGGGCCTATGCTATTGAGGCCCCCAGAGCCTGGAATGCTGTTGCCAATAAACTGCAACTTGAGTCACTACCTGTGAGATCTTCACTCAAAACTGCTCTAGAGGAGTTGTACACCCCTAGCTGCCACTGCTATTCAGTGACCTAAAATCAAATGTTTTCGTTCCGGATGACCGCTGCAACGTATGATTTTGTGTTTTGATTTAGTGTGCTGATCTTTAAAGGTGCATTTGAAAAATTTTGATACTCCTACTGATGCTCCTGCTGTTGTGAAGTGACTTATGCAGCCAGCTATGGCTACAGGGTTTGGTGGTACATGTTGTTTGTCGTTTATTGTGAAATTTCGGTCACAGTTCCTATGATCACTGTTACATTGCTTTTATGGCTTTATTTTGATTTCGAAAGCGTTTTTTTTGGTTTGGCCATGTTTGTTTGTTGTAGTAGGGAGTTAGAATGATGGCTTTAATCTAAGTTGTCTTGTGGTTGTTGTTGTTTGACGTGCATCCCACTGGGATTTTTGCACAGTATTGGTGTACGGTGCTTTTTTTTCTGGAAGACTTTGCAGTTTTTTCCTGGATTTTTCTGTTTGCGCATAGTCACATTAAGATGTTTTCTTGTTCATGTTTTTGTTTTTTGCCGAATGGTTCACAGGGCTATACCAAATAAATTAAACTGAAACTCATCGGAGGTGCGGGGGAAGGACAACTTCACACAAAAAGCAGTTCTAAAGAAATTCGTTTTCAATCTCAATACCGAAGAAGGGGGTGGGGAACTCCATGTAAATGCATCGGCTTCAGTGTGTCTTGTTGTGCGACTGAAAAAAAACGAACATTTGATGCCTTGGGAAATCTTTCAAGATTTTCCAGGACAACAACCCCAGAGGATGATCCTGGGAAAACCAGGTTCAACTAAAGAACGTTCAATTAATTGGCAGCCAAGGTCTCCGAAACAATCGTCACACACGCACGACACACCACGCACGCCAAACGTCGTGTTTTGCTGTTGTGAAGGCAACGAAAAGCGCCTAGCAGGCCGGCCTCGTCACTCCCGAGTTGCACAGGGCCAACTCTGCTCCAGAGGCATCAAGAAAAGCACTACGGCCCACGGGGTAGAGAGCACTACAACCCATTGTCTTGTCAAGCACAGCAGCAGTCATGTGAAGGTGTTTCGATTAACGTAGTAAAGCATGCGACGTTCACGCAACGCCAGCCAGAAACCCAGTTTGAACCCACCCTCGCATCCAGTCACCGGTGAAGATTTAAGTTACAAGCGCGACATATTTCAAAAATCCTTTATTCGCTTTGTAATCTTAAAAATTATTCACACCTCGTCATTGATTTCAAGATAACTCGGGACATTCCGACACTTTGAGAAAAGGCAATACTTTTGAGAAAATTAAATGAGGTCAATCACCAAATACGATGATCTAGCATACGTAACCTCATTCTCTCAATTCATGAACACCACTTGCTGACCGGTGCTTAAGGAACACAAATTCCACTTTCCATTATCGGGAACGGCATAGATCTATCCTTACCTTTTTACAGACTAGTGCTGAGATGTATTTACGACTAAAAAACCCTGAAGCACTTGTATGAGACTTCTGAGAATATTTCAATGGAAGCACAGGCAATGTGTTTCATACTTTTACAATTATTATCACTATCCATGCTCTTTAATGTGTCAATGCTGCATATAGCATATGGCTGTATGTGCAATCTTTTAAACGTAATCTGCTTTGATTGACCAACAAGATTGTGTAATTTCAACGGATTTGACATTGCGCTTTTAATTTTTTTAATATTCGGACATCTGATGAGGTTAATAAAACATGTGCAAGATTGTATAAGGCTAACAACATACCTTCGAAATCATGCACGTTCATTAAAACAGCGCTTAATATTTTCATGATAATGTCCCACAAATAAAAAAAAAATTCAAATGACAACAACCCCTGACACCAGAACCACACCCAATTCAGAATACAAAACTATAACACTCACCCAAGATCAGAAAATTAAACAAACCACACGAAATCAGTGAAATGTATTTTGAACGATACTATGGCAGAAAAGTGCCTCATGCGAACAAAAACTCAATGGCATTGGAGAGCAGCTGCGATCGGCAAAATGGCGTCGAGATTAATCGTATCTTCTCAAGCCGATTCCAACGGATCGGGGGTGAGCGGCGGGCGGGATGGGGGCAAGACCCTGAAATCTCCTGCGAGTGGCTCTGCTCACGATTGTGGCGAAGCTGGCGCCATCAGGCCAGCACGGCATAGGAGGCGTCCGTGGTGACGCCGCAGTTGTTGTCGCGCGTGGACATGAGCACGTAGCCGTCGTTGCCCCAGTACGTGGACCACGAGTTCTTGACGAGCCAATAGGCCTCCCCGTCCAGCGTGCCGTAGCCCACCCCCAGCACCGCGTGATTGAGGTCGTCCACCTTGCTGTCTGCAGGCGTGGGAAAGGGGGGGGGGTGCAAACGGGGCAGAGGACACACACGCGCTACGGTTTCCGCGGCCACTGGGGAGCCGATGCTAGCAGCGTTGGGCTGTTATTACGACCCGGCGCGGCTCGTTTCTTAGCTCGGCTCGTCGCAAGCCGTGCAGGAAACGTGGGCTCGGACACTCTCCCACTTCATTCCCCCCCCCCCCCACCTCCTCTCTCTGCCTCCCTTCCGTCTATAGCCAGAGGAAAGCGATCGGAAACATTTTGGAAACTTTTAACGAGGTTGAAGGTATGCTTGGGTGAAATAACGTTATACCAAGCAAAGAGAACGGTCCACAGAAGGAGGCACCATAGAGCTACCTCTGAGATCCCTTCAGTGGTAGGCACCAGCACCTTTCCCACCCACCCACCCCGCTACACAGTAATATTGATTGCATGACAGTCAAACTGACAATTTTAATTCTCAGGAGCTGGAATGTATTCAAGTTAAGTTACTAAAACATTTGGTGATTGGGCTCAGACCTTAACCTCACTGCAATAGAGAACCCGATTTAATTACAGGTGGTTGAAACTCATTAAAATCACAACATCTGTGCAGTGCTCTGACCTCTGAGCCACCTGGCTACCCCCAGAAAATAGAATTTCTTAACCACACAAACCTATACACGTATCGTGCAGAGGCCTGCGATGAATGGATGAAATACTTCACCCTGGTCACCTGGTCACCTCAAGCAGCGCGACACGAGTTGGAGCTCACGGAACATTTTGTGGGGGTCACTCACGGCACTTTGGCTCGTAGTAGACGCCGTTGCTGTAGAAGGCGAAGGAGAGGTGGCCAGCGTCGATGCTCACGGCCACAGGGCCGTTCTTGAAAATGGCCAAGCGGAGCGCCTGTTCGTCGCCCGACGTCACATTCACGTAGTGGTCTATGCGCGCCACGTGCTCCGTCTTATTGTAGTGGCAGAAGCCGTTCTGCGTGGGGTGACAAGGCAGCAGCAGCAAGACTCTCAATGCCACCACTGTGACAGTGGATGAACGCAAACTCATAAGACATCTGAGATGCCACCAACTCAAACGAGTAAAAACTGAGCACCATGTTATTTTAGGCAGTAGGACGATGAAAACAACCACATTGACCTCACTGTCGAGATGGGAGCGATTAAATCGGCTGGTGTGCAGGTTTCTAGGTGGATTGTTACATCGCAGTTCCACACGGGATGGCGACAGCTTGAGGGGAACTTCAACCAGCGGTGGATGGACCATGGCAGATGACAATGATGAACTTGACTTGATCGAGCGGCAGAGCAAAACGGCGCACGCACCTGTCCCTGGTATGGCCCATAGGTGTCCGCGGTGGAGATGCCTCCGTGCTTCATGATCCACTCAAAGGCGCGCCACTCCTCCCCACCGTCGCACGCATTGTTTCCGAACCCCCACGTGCAGTCGACGAGCATCTGCTGCGACAGGCGGATCAGCTGCCCTGTCTGCCACACGCACGCACACACACACGAGCTCACGCATGCACAGACAAGTAAACACACGCACGCGTGCAAATATAAGTGCACGCACACACTCAAGTATACGGATGCATGCATGCAGGAGGTATCGAGACATACCCAGGTTCACTGGTGTACCTATACACGTGCACGCACAAAAGCAGACCTAGATACGCATTTAGAGTCAGTAGGAAACATGCTGTATGCATGTAATTGGGATGTTTTAATGTAAAATTTCCATTATGAATAGTACTGCAAAATAGAGTAATAAAAAATCAAAAAGTCCACTGTAAATCACACGGGCAAAGGGAGGCCTTAATCTGTGGGCTGGATTGATAAATATTTACTTAACACACTGTTCGTGAATTGTATTATTTCACTTCCATTACAGCATGAGGTTACAGCTCCAAACGCACACTATGCAGACCTGGGATCAATTACAAACGTAATTGTGTCGTTCGTAATGATTTGCAATCAGTGTATCACTGTAATTTGAACTAACAATACTGCTGCAGGTATAATTAGAACTGACCCAAGATCTGGTTGTGTCCATCGCTGTGTCGTGCTGTTATTGCTAAAGGTGGGCCAATAGCACTGCCAAATGCCACAAACGCGCACACACGCACGCGCATCAATTACTACTCTCACTGGAATAGGCCTATAATAGGCCTATGCACTGACAGACGTGAGCAGGTGCACTAAAATTATCAACACAGTGTTGGTGCCAGGTCGAAAACATTCCCCTCTAGGAGCAGCGATGAATAAAGATGTTTGCAGCGATGGATAAACATCGTTTGCGGGGCCGTTTCCAAGTGGTAGGCCTCATGCGGACGCTGGCCACACACGGAGACCAGTTTCCCCATGCAGGTGCTGAGGGGACTGAATGGCCACTCTCCCTAAACGAACAGATGCTTGGCCTCCCAGACTCGCTGACCAGTCCCGCTGCATTCACCCAACAACGAGGTCAGAACACACGCACTTCACGTAGGAGCGAATCGAGCTGCTGCGCTGGTTTTCCTGCCGTCATCTTTGGTTTTTGTTCGGCAATTCCTCAGCCCCCACCACCAGTAATTTAGGGTCACGCTTTGATGTTTTATTTCTTATCCCTGTTACCTTCTCCTGTATTCTTGTTTTTTTTCTGTTCCATGTGTAACAATGTATCCAGTCAATTAGCCTAAGTGTCACTCAAGTGTATCATTTGGAAACATTGTAAATCATCTATTCTCAGGCTCAGTTATTCCATGCGTATATTGCGAACACAAGAATTTGTTTTTAGAAGCAGAGTTTTGGTGAAGGTGCCGGTGGAATTAGGATGGCACTGGTGACTCCACGAGACACCCCATGCTGCCTTCTTCCTCTATTTGAGCGAATAGCTCGTGAGCCCAGACCCTTTATACCTTGGTGGAGCCACCTGAGGTGGCATAACTTTAGTGGTTACAATTTCTTCATGTGGCCAAAAATAAGTAACAACAATTTGAAATGAGTGGGGGTTAGCAAGTAATTCACTCTCATCAGCCGCATAAATAAATCTGTACGATTCTTGCTCCGGCCAATGGGCTACGAGGTCTCGGTGATGTGAGACCGAAGCTCATTGCTCCCAGCTCAGGCACTAAGGGAGGGGAGGGTTTGCCTTGAGGAAGAGGGACCCCTCCAGTGTCCCAGTGGTGGCGAAACTCCAGCACGAGCCACAGCAAGCCTGATCCTTCACGGGAGTCACGGCCCCTGCAGGACGCAGAACAAATGCAAAACAAGTAGAGATAGAGAACATATATCGTGGACTGGAAAGCAGGAAAACAAGACATCACATGCATAGCAACAAGCAGGCACACAGCACACGCAGAACATAGAGAACACATGCCACACAGAGAACATGAATCAAGCGCAGGCACACAGCATGCATCACACACACACCGATATTTATATATATAGAACACGTATTTGGCACTCACAGAGGAAACATCAAGCACAGAGAACACAGCTCATGCACAGGTACACTGCGCAGGCACACAGCACGTGCATCGCACACGCAGCGCACAGGCACACGTTTGTTGAATTTCTTTCACACCGTACGTAGCCAACCGTGTTAATCGGAGTTGTGCATAGAGAATGCAAATCACGCATCAGCAGGCAGTGCACGTGGGCGCCGAGCAAGACGCAGAGTTGCGACGACGGCACGAACGCTCGGCGTGTAAGCGGCGCGCGCACCGTAGAGCCTCCAGTCCATGGTGTCCGGCGGCGTCACATTCACGTAGTTTTGCGCCGGGAAGGGGCGGCCGTTATTGGGGGTCGTGGGTTTCTGGCGACCCCGCATCAGCGCCAGTTCCTCTACCGAGCGGTCAGCCAGGTGGTTCAGCGCCAGCGTGTACGTGCGGTTGGCACGATTCGCCGAGTGGACGAACCTGGAACGTAACCGCAAGCGTGAGCTGAAGGCGTCTAACAAAGTGCCGCTGTTTCAGAAAGCTCGACTCGCGGTCGGAACATTGTGAGCGGGGCGTGGTGGCACACGCCGGCGACCCAGCGCTTTGGAGGGAAGTTTTTAAGGATCGCGGAAAGATATGCCAAATTCCAATAATCCGCTGAGTTACGAGGTCGCGAATAGACGACAGTAGGCATTTACTTCAATCAAATGCATTATATGCGATGTAACAACACAAGTACATCCTGGGTCCACCACCACAGCGTATGCCTGTGCGGAGACAAAATCATAAACTTTATTTAGACTGTAGGAATCCAATGAAGCTATGAAGCTCTTTTTCACACAAGTCCAGTAGGGGCGCGTCAGCAAGTTACAGCACTGTGAGCCGAGGGTAGCCAAACCGGAGATTGTGGACAAAGTTGGTCTTCCTGCGCTCGTGCTCGTGGCTGCCCGGCGGGTACTCCCGCCCGTGCTTGCTCGTGAAGTGTTCGAAGAGACGCTGGTGGGTGTCGTCCACGGCGCTCGGTTCGCTCGGCACGTACTGCGCCATGGGATTGGCGAGCAGCGAGTGCTCGGCCCCTGGGCCTGGGAACCCGACGCATTTGGTGCCTGCGTCGACGGGGACGAGGAGGAGAGAGGACGGAGCTACATCAGCTGATCGCTCGCGCTGCGCTGTCACCTAGCGCTTGTTTCCAAGTGTGGTCTTCAAGGGTTGAAGAGCAAGTAGTCAAAAATACCTGGCATCACCACATTTGAGGATGAAATCAAAGCTCATCGAGTGGTGGAATCTACACCGTGCACCTGGTCTCTGCGAAACTTAACAATCTCAATTCTGATGGCTCCGTGTGCTTCACCAAGTTTGACCAACGGTGCCTCAGCTCAGATAACATCATCAATGCATGAATGAGGTTGCCTAAATAAAAAAGAAAATCTGGATTTTTCTAAAAGTTGTATCTTGGGTTTGGGTGAAGACTGGGGGAGAGTGATATTACAGTAGCACTGCCACATCTGACGTACAGAACACCGGGACGTTTAAAGGGAAAGCAGTGGCCGTCACCTTTGGGAAGCTCGAAGACGGCAGGGTCCACCTTGTGACTGATGGTGTGGTAGTCCACGTTGTACTTGTCAACGTGGGAGCCCAGCAGGGTGTTGAAGCCGCGCATCTCGTAACGCACGGGCTCAGGCTCCCCGGAGGCGGTGGTGCCCACCCACAGCGTGTACGTGGCCTTCTTCTTACCCTGGTACGTGACATTTCTCCACACCGTGCAGTGCCGGCCGTGGAGCACCTCCGAGCCGGCCGGCTGTTTGCGATGAGACACAACAGAGCCGCGTCCAGCACATTGGTGCCGTGATTTAGGAGGCAAGTTTTTTGTGGATCACGCGTAGTTCGAAGCGGCGCGTAACTCCAAAACACGCTGGACTGAGCGGTGGCTAAAATATTTTAAGACAGTTAAATTGATACTTGAATCATCTGTGTGTAAATAAAGAGTATTATTATATCAACAGGTTGACACTCAAGGGAGAGTATACGCTCGAGAGTACATCCACCAGGCAGATGTAACGATGAAATCAGCTCGTACAGAAACGCTGGATGAAGTCCTGCACTGCAAGACCGTGAAGGATGACGATAGTTTAAGGAGGGGTTCAACCCAGCAGTGGATTGATCATGGCTGATGATGATGGTGATTCATGGTGAAGCGAATGATGCCAACAAGTTGAGAGATGCACCTGGAAGCCAGTGAGATCTGGAATGACGGCCTGGGTGGCTACAGGGCTGGCGCTGGTGCCATTGATTTGGAAGCATTTCTTCACGTTCACAACATCCTCCGTGGTCTCAGGAGTGATCTTGTATGCGATGCCAAACTCCTTCTCCGAGGCGTGCTGGTACGTGAGCACCTGACCTACAGAATCAAGGTCACACCAACGGATATACAAAAACCTCGGTAAGAGAAGACTTGAGTGTCGGTGATGAAACAGGCGAGGTTCTGCCTGTAGTTTGTGATTTTGCTCCATACAACCCAAGTATTCAAATCAGGTCTGTACCATCACGATATTCAACCTTGCTCTGTGATCTTAATAAGCAACCCAGCTCCATGCGGTTTTAATTTTCAAGCCTGCTCCATACAGTGGACGTATTCGACCCTGCCTTGTACTGCCAGAGTGCTCCGTACCACCATAGTAATCAATCCTGCTGGCTTTGCCACTCAAGTTGAACCAGGCTTTGAACGGCTCCTCGATCTCAGCGTAGGGCAGCAGCAGCACTCCTGTGAGGACAATTGCACACACATGCATAAGCACAAAGGACAAGGATTCCCCTGTGTAACCTGTATAAACTTTTGGGGGAAAGTGCTGTTAACGAGCACATATGACGGCTGGCACGCGCACGAGGGGTTGGTAAGGCGACCATGAAGTCCGGCCAGCTTTGACGCTCCAGTGCTGATGTTTACATACTGCACAAGGTACTTATTTAAGGCTGATTCGACCTAGAGGAGACGGTTCAGCCAATCACCACCGATGTTGGCCATGGGCGGCAACAACTCGGGTCACCGGGTGTGTAGCACAATACGCTAACGAGTGCCACTGCTCCCTACCAGAAGGTCGAGCGCACACAGACAGACAACACATGCCGCCCTCACGAGTCCCACGCCACACATAGCCATTTGTGAGGACACCTCATGTCAGCTCCGATTAGCGCGGTTGGCTGCGTACTGTGCGAAAAAAAGTGTAACATATGTACAGCCACTCACGGGCAGCACTTACCCGAGATGTGGTAGACGTCTCCAAACTTCGGTGGATCCACCACCGAGTCCACCGAGGGCCTGGCCTCTGTCGAAGCTGCAGACAGCACACAGTGGGAACATCCGTTTCTGGAAGGTGATGCGTGGTTGCAGACTGGACCACGAGAGAATTACACGATCGTCTGCGAACGTGTGCTAAAAGCCGAGGGGCTAGGGTTAATTTGGCATGTTACGACATTCTGACGGAAACGCATGCGGAAAAACGCCCCTCGACTGCGATAATTAGCGAGACACTCCTGAAACCGTATTGAAACTCAGTAATACTTTACTGGAGAGATAAATGCTCGTATTATTATTTTATAAATAGGCCAAGAATACGCATCTCCTTGCCAAGATCCGCTGTCTGCTTTGAGTAAGCTCCTTAGGCTGTAATGGATAGGGTGGAAAGGTCAGGTCCTCCAGTAAAGCAGGTATTAAACACAAATTATCTAGTCATACTGTGGTGGCAGTGATACACAAACACAGTAACAAATCAAATGTGCCATTGTACAAGACTGCCGAATGTATACCGATTTCCAGTATTAACACAATCGGCTATGACTGACCACAAAGGTTCAGTGATTTGCAACTGCACTGTAAAGCAGACGCAATGGCGTTGCAGTGTTTAACATGTGACATTTCAGAATATTTGGGGAAAAGTAATTGCCACACAACTGCAGTTACCAGTTCAAGTCAAATCTAAGTTAAACCGAAGAGAAAGTATCTAAAGTCTAAAGCAGGGAGCTTTTGGATGGGGGTGTTAGCAGCTGCTTTTCAGTCGAGTTATGTTGAAACTTTGATATTGGTCCATCCACACAATGTCTTCACATTTCTTTTGCACTTTTCGCATTGCCGATATATATGCAGAGCAACAACTTCAATGTGACATTCTTTTGCACTGTACTCTTATCACTGTGTCCACATCTCCCTTTCACGTCCCCATGTTCTTGGGTAACGTGCGACTGCAGAACGATGTCGTGGCATCACGTGCGGATAGATCACATCGAAGGGGAAACAAATCTCTGTACGTTCTATTTTGTATTCCTTGTGAAGTGACACGTGTCTGCAATGCAGCACAGGGAGACAGAGCTGGTGAATCACAGAGATCGTGCATTTGGAACAGCCACCTGCAAGGGCTCGCAGTGACCAGGAGGTAAAACTGCAAGTAAACTCCGAACCAATCTATATTACGAACCTCCCATGTGTGTGGGTCTCTTCTCTGGGGTTTTTTAGTTTCCTTCCCAATCACAAAACATACGATTGAAAAAACATGAATGGACTGAATCCATCCGTGTGGGGCTCAGTGCCTTATGCAACTAAGTTGTCTCCCACATGAAGCCACTTATTCATGGAATTGGCAAAACATCCCAAAGCAGGAGTCCTGAAAAATAGTCTTGAGACTCGTTGAGGCTTTCATAGAAAAAAAACCCAATAAGATATCTTCAATGTATACAGTTGTCATGAAATACAATTCTACCTGTTTAACCAGCACAGTTTAGGAAAGTATGATATATGGAGATTAAATCAAACACGAGTGTTATGCCAGCTTTCAAAGACAAACTTGTGCCCATCTGAAATGTAGATCAGACAGATTCATGTTTGTAGATTCCAACCGGTCCAGTACAATACTGTACTTTCCATTCACGAGGAATGACAAGGAAAAGTCAAAGTAGGAAGTGAGTAGTTTCACAAACTATCACAAGTAAACAGGGCATCCACACACCCACTGCCTGCAGTTACAATTTGGGCGTTTTTGCTTGAATCTTTCAAAGTCTGTAAGTTGCAATCACGCCACCGCTGGTGCACTGGTCTCCACCATCAGGAAATACACGTCGACAGAATTGGAAATTACTGTACCACAATTTACGCCCACCGCACTTGCCCTGTCGATCGAATGGTTACTGTGCAGTAGAGAATACGAGTTTGGGGAAATGGACTGCACATCACAAAAACCTCATACAGGTAGTCCTCTACTTATGATGGGAGATGCGTTACGACGACCCCATCGTAAGTCAAAAATATTGTAAGTCGAAGATGGCATAGCCTACCCAGGAGTCGTAAAGAATGGTGATAATTTAGCAAAACAGAGCAATTTACAGTACCGTACTGTATAAACTATATGTATTTATTAATTACAATACTGTATTGCACAGTAAAATGTAAACAACAAAAAACAAGGTAAATTCTTAGCCTACCTATATGAACTGCAATTTAATAGAAAGTTGTTTCAGGAAACAATCCTATCTGCTATCAAAAAGACTTTTAACAGGCATTGAACGTATCGTATCGCGATCGTAAGATCGAAATATCGTAAGTCGGACCATCGTAACTCGGGGACGATCTGTATAGTAGCCTAGTGCAGAACACCACCTTGTTACAAACGCCGAGGGCAGTTGCGTCAAATAACGTGTCCCAACTTGTGGCAAACGTGTGAATAACCACTCTATGGGGACATTCTTGCCACTATTAAAGTAGGTCCCATTTCATGGCTGCTCACCCCGAGCTATAAACGCTCTTGATAGTGCATTGTCTTTGTATTGTTCGCGTTTCAGCGTTCTCTGGTCCCACACTGGTGAGACTAGGTCCTAAAGAAGGCTGCTCTCTCTGGTACAGACCAATCAGGTAAAAAACACAATGCATATATCATCAGAGCATGTTTGTTCGCAGATTCACCACAAGTACGTGTGGTTAAATGCGAACTTGATTCCTTGTTAAATGTTTCTACTTGGTGTTTGAACATCTTAACGCCTGTTTAATTGCCAGAAAGTGTAAAACCTATTCTTGTGTTTTTTATAACCACTCTCTGTTATAAACATTCACCGACAACCGAACTACAACACACGGGACGAGAAATACGCGACTCGTGAGAGGGACACGAGGCACGACATTTGAGGTATTACACAACAGACTGGCGACAAAACACGACAGAAAATGTTGTTAGAGACAGGAGGAACACAATAACTGGAACATAAGACACACACGGGACACACACAAAGCAGACGGCGAAGACAAACCGAGAGCCGAACGTAGTTCCAGAGACACACGGGACACACAGGGAGACAAGGGATGACGGAGAACCACAGGGAGACGCAGGGAGAGAGAGACGTTTAGTTATTAATGCGGGACTTTACATGACATCTCAAACGTTTGAAATGGCACCACCGGTATCAGCTGAGGGTGAACTCTGCGCTTGTCCCGCGATTCGGGCACGGGTCTGCAAGGAAGGGCACCATTATTTCTACACGTCATCTAAATTGAGCAATTTGCGGGACAATTTTCGAATGTTGGCAAATGTCGACCACGACGCCAGTACACAATGGCTAACTCTTGCGAATTACGTAGATTTAACGCCCACTGAGAGACAGTGTATAATGGTTATTACATAATATTATTGGTTCTTTCGGTAAAGTAACGTTAAACAATTGTAAATAATAAAAAAGAAAATTAAATAAAAAATTATAAATTGAAAAATATTTAAAGGAAAAAAACCCACGACGTTTCCATCGCAACACAATATGAATTCCTGCAGTCACGAAAGTTTTAAGTCAAAAGGTTATTACATTCACAGTAATATTCAGGGCGGCCACTGGATTCGAACCGTGAACCAATTGCAACGGGCGGCGAAAGGCGCCCTCGGCTGGGCTGGGCCCAGGTCACCGCCCCCACAGGGAGACGCCAGAGGCACGGGGAGACCGCGGGCAAAGGAGACGCAAACATGGGGAGACGCTGGGGGACACGAGGGGATATGACGCGGGGAGACAGTGGGGACACGGGGAGACATTGGGGGACACGGGGAGACATTGAGGGACACGGGGAGACGCTGGGGGGCATGGGGGATATGAGGATACGGGGAGACACTGGGGGACATGGGGAGACACGGGGATATGAGGACACAGGGAGACATTGGGGGACACGGGGAGACACTGGGGGGCATGGGGATAGGAGGATACTGGGGGACACGGGGGATATGAGGACACGGGGAGACACGGGGGATATGAGGACACGGGGAGACATTGGGAGACACTGGGGGGCATGGGGGATAGGAGGACACTGGGGGAGACACGGGGGATATGAGGACACGGGGAGACACGGGGGATATGAGGACACGGGGAGACATTGGGGGACACGGGGAGACACTGGGGGGCATGGGGGATATGAGGACACGGGGAGACACGGGGGATATGAGGACACGGGGAGACATTGGGGGACACGGGGAGACACTGGGGGGCATGGGGGATATGAGGACACGGGGAGACACTGGGGGACACGGGGGATATGAGGACACGGGAGGACACGGGGGATATGAGGACACGGGGAGACACTGGGGGACACGGGGAGACATAAGAGACAAGGGGAAACACGGGGAGACACTGGGGGACACGGGGATATGAGGACACGGGGAGACAAAAGAGACACTGGGAGACACGGGGATATGAGGACACGGGGAGACGCTGGGGGACACGGGGGGACACGGGGAGTCTCGGACCCCCGGGACGCGCCGTCCTCACCCAGAAGTAAGAGCAGCAGCGACACCATCCCCAAGCCGGCCATGCTGAGCGCGTGACGACAACCACGTGATCCTGGCTGTCACGTGACTCGCGGGCGTGCGCGACCCCCGGATTATCACGTGACTCGCGGGCGCGCGCTCCGGGGGGAGGGGGAGGGGATCACGTGACTCGCGGGTCTGGGTCGTCACGTGACGGCGGCGGTCCGCACGCGCTGGAGTTGCCGCTTGTCGTCAACGTGCAACTTTAGAACCAGGGGATGTTCATCCACAGCTGGAGGGGGAATCCGATGAGCTGCAAAGCTCTTTAGCACAGATGTCCAGGAGGGCACGGGGTCAGAACGGAGTGCAAAGTACAAGAAAAGGGGCAAACACATCACCCAAACACAGACATTCAACACTAAACCATCCAGTTTAACACGGAGGCTTTCGCGACCAAACTCATCAATAATACAGGTTTTTTTGGGGGTTCGCGTAAATATAAATGTTGTTCAACCATCCCCATGCTACCAGGCAAAGCCCCACTGAGCTAATTGCCTTGTTTTTCAGAAGCGACCATGGCCACAAATGACAGCTCAGCAAAGTGGCTTATCACGTGGACATGTATGGCAAAATTAATACTGGTAGGAACCTCCTGGTTACACCAGCCCACAGGGGATTGTTGTGTCCGTCCGTCCGTCGTGCAGGGAGGGGCTGGGTGGGGAGGGGCTGAGTGGGGAGGGACTGGATGGGGAGGGTGGGGCTGGGTGGGGGGTGGGAGGGGTGGGGCTGGGTGGGGAGGGGCTGGGTGGGGGGTGGGGCTGGGTGGAGAGGAGCTGGTCACCCCGTGGTGCCCTTATAAAACTCAACGTTTAACCTACTCATGCCGGCTTGTGCCCGCCCTCACAGTCGGGCATATTTGCGGAATACACCACGCCACCGTTGACCCTGGCCATTGACCGAGCAACCCAACGTTCTTACCAGCTCCCTCCGCAGGAGGAATGTGTTCACAACGCGCGTTTTATAAAATTACGGCACCGTGCCACTCATGCCACGTGTTCGCGAACGACTCGCGCGCGTCTGTGGACACGTCCCATGGGTGAGCTCCTCCGGCAAGCAAGGCTGCGTTGGCTGGGTCATGTCGCCCGCATGCCCAGCCACCGCATGCCTCAACAGCTTTTGTTCGATCGGATAGAGGGGGGCTAAATGGGCACGGCACGGGCTAGAGATGAGATGGAGTGATGTGGTACAGGCAGGGCCGGATTAAGGCATGGACTTTAGGAGCTGCAGCCCAGGGGCCTCCAGAGATTAAGTGAAAAGTTATTTCATCTGTGAATGCTGAACTTTATTTGTTGTTAGCTTTGTAAAAAATACAATTTTATTTTTCTTTCACTTTGTTTTCCTTTTGAAAATATTACTGGGGGCCTCACAGTACCTGTAGCCCAGGGGCCTACAAAATATTAATCCGGTCCTGGCTACAGGAGGATGTGGAGCTGAGTGGACTTGCTAATGATTGGTACCAGCGGTGTCAAGATCGGCCTCTGTGGAGGAGGCTCGTGAAGGACGCTGCTGCTACTGGGCAGTTGGAGGCAGTCGCCCTCCAGCAACAACGGAGGGCAGAGGAGCGACGCTCACAACAACGAGCGAAGCGCCGGGCGGGTAAAACACAGCAAAGTTGGCACAGTAGGGGGCACAGTTGGCGCATCGGTCAATCTAGATTTGGCATCTGTCAGTCATCTCAGTCAGCCGACCCACGGCACCTGCAGGATCTGTCCCGTAACCTGCCAGCGGGCGTTCAACACTCGGCCTTAAAAGTGCACATAGCCTGGCACAAGCGCGCCGTGGAGACGTCACCGCCACTTCGTTAGCGAATGGCTGGGTCGTTGTTGTTGTTGAAGGCTTTTTTCGCTTGCGGGGCTCTGCGGTCAGCAGGTGGCAGTGCAGCAAAATACATCGCCCGGGACCCGCGTGTCTGCTGCTCCGTGCCACCGACCCCCCCGTCACCACCACCACGCTGACCATCATCGCCGTGAAGCAAGGGCCAGGATATTAATCCCCAAGAGCCGCGGGCGATGGCTCATCCAGCAATGGATTGACTAAAAGAATGTATGCACACATTGATTTTTTTGTTTGTTGAAATATCATCTATTGCATATACCAAGACACGGCAATTGACAGGGTTGAATGTGGTCAAGTACGGTGTCGTGAACACTCCGCTACGATACCCGGCGACCCGAGTTCGATTCGCGCTCATGGACAACACCAGTGACGATTATCTAAACCGGTCCTGGGCCTCCTCCCCTAGGTCGACTCAGCCTCAAATTAGTTCTTGGTGCGGTGTGCAAACATTTCCACGAGGGTGACAAAGACGGTCGGCCGTGGTGCTGGCCATCCACCCCTCTTGTGTGCCGTGCCGGCTAACATCACTTAGCCTCAAAAGTCTGTTGTTTTACGGGGTGTCTCTGTGCTTGCTGGGTCAGGTAGCCTGCATGCCCAAGCAGCTTCTGTTTGGCCGGATAGAGGGGGCTAGAACCGGCGCGGCACGAGCTAGAGAAGAGATGGAAGCTGATGCGGTACAGGAGGATGTGGGGGGCTGAGTGGACCAGCGGTGTCAAAATGAGCCTCTGTGGAGGAGGCTCGTGAAGGACGCTGCTACTGGGCAGTTGGAGGGAGTCGCACTCCAACAACAGCGAAGGAGCGACGCTCACCACAACGAGCAGAGCGAGCGCTGGGCGGATAAAATTCAGCAAGTTTGCATAGAGGGGAGCACAGGTGGTGCATCTGCCAGTCATCTGTCAGTCAACGTATGGAGTCATGCCAGCAGCGAGCCTTCAACGGTTCACGCGGCCTGAATGTGCACCTATCCTGGCACGCGCGCTGTGGTGACCTCACCGCCACTTAGTGGCGAATGGCGGTGGCTGGCGTATATAAACATATTATTTATAGGGGCTTATTCTAGCGGAAAACCCATCCGCCAGCAGTGACGTGAGCAAGGCATTGCGGGGCTGTACCTTTAGCTTTACAAATGATCAGGCTGGATGGCATCGTGGAAGAGCGCTAGAGATCCACAAGCTGAAAGTTAAGGTGAGGTGTTAATTCAGCCTATCATTCTGGGTAGATAAAATAAGTCCCGCTTTGTGGGAAGTCAACAACGGTCATCTTACCGAAAGACTTTCCTGCATTTCTGTCGTTGCTTTGACATTCTCTAGAAATCAATAAGTTAAAAAGCGATCCTATCCCCGCATTTTATCAAAGCAAATCAACCCTTGTTGAATAAACTCAACACATAATCATCTAATTCATGGTCAAACTAGAATACCACGTGAAGGAGGATGCAATTCAAAAACACGAATAGCATCTTGAGATGTGTGCGTTTTGTAGATACACGCATAATGATTGCACCCAGTGCTGTCTGACATTATGCTGTTATCCCACAATGAGAATAACGCGTTTTTAAAGTAAAGGTGATGCACTTTTAAATCCTTTATATTAAGTTAACTTGCTTGCTTGCTTGCGTGCTTGCGTGCTTGCTTGCTTGCTTAGGACCGTGCAAATCTTTCGCTCGTTTTTTAACCCACTTCCCGTAATCCAATCGAGCTGACATTTTGCACACAGACTCGTTGTGCATGACAATTTATTTTCGTGAAATTTTTTTTTCTCCAAAATTTTACACTTTTTAGGGAAAATAAAATTCATATTTAATTTAAAATACAATGTGATAAAAATGAAACTCTTACTAAAAAAAAACATAAATGAATAATAAAATAAAACCGATGCCACGCATATAAAGGATTTATAGTGAAAAACTTTGTTTTTACGGGTTAAATTTTTCATAGTGCTCTCGTCACATAACTTCGATAATAGTTTTTTTACCCTTTTATCTGACAACAAAACTGACACCTTTTTTTACAAGGAGTCATGTTTGCATTGACCACAATACCTGCGGTCGGAATGCAAACAAAAAACACAACTCTGATAATGTATGCACTGTCCTTGAAATTGATTGGTCCACACCCAAGACAGCTTTTCTTAGAGCCTCGTCTCACATGGTGTTGGATCAGATGACGCCAAAAGGCGCACAACTCAAAGACAATGAACCATCAGAGTATGTTAGCTCGGGGTAAGCATTTAGGTGTCAGTTTTGTTGCCAGATAAAAGGGTAAAAAAACAATTATCATATTTTGCTACTGGCAAAGGAGGTTCCAATGGTGTTACATTACTTTATGCATGTATTAATACTGACGAGGGTGACATCGTGAAAGTGCAATGATGACACTTGAATTTTATTGAGCAGCCTGGGCCACACTGCCGTGGAAAGCACATACAAGAACTGTGGATATTATTGTATTGCCCCGTGAAATAACATTTCCTAATTTTCCAGCTAACCTGCACTTATTAACATACTCTTTCCAGGACCAATGTCTGACCTCAAGTGCCTGTCATCGCTTTGCACAATTGTGCACAGTGCGTGCACTTGTGTAATGAGCGACTTCCACGACACGTCGTATAGAGGGTACTTCTTTATTTCTCACACTGGGCACAAGACAGGCCAACACTGGTTCTTCCTCTCACTGACTATAACTCTAGGCAATAACACCTCTACTGGCTACACGCACAGCCGATCACTCGGCGAAGTCCTCTCGCCTTCACTTGTCTCCGCCGCTGGCTGGCGGCGTGACGATGACGGCGATGGAACCCACGCAGGAGATCTTCCATGTGGCCGTACGACGGAGAGAGATGTCGGTGAACAGCGACACAGCCAGGACCCAGGACCTCACACACGAGCCCCGAGCTCCGGGTCCGCTCCTTCTTATATCCCCCCAGGCGTGGCTAGGCCCCGCCTCCAGCCACGCCCTCTCGTGGAACCTTCGAGCAGGTTCCCGGAGCATCTCGGCTAACCCCTCCTGTTACCTTTCCCCAGATACGCCTCCTTCCCTGATTGGCTGTTACCTCTGTGGCTGGACCCGTGAAACCCTTTCCAAGCCAGCAGGTGTCACTTTGTCATGTCAGCAGGTGTAACTCTGTCATTACACTTGTATGCAAGCCTTTTTTACATCTTCCCTTTGGTAATCACAGGGCAGTAAAGCTCTGAGATTTGTGGCGTATATTGCAGGTTGGGGTAGA